TACAAAACTTAAAAATTTTAATGTTATTTTATACGTTTAGTGTTATTTTCTTTGGCGTTTTATAAAAATGACTATTGCTATCATGTTTTTCGTACGGCGTCATTTAAGCCAGAACACAATTTGGGACAGACGAAGCAACTTTATGATATGGGTGAGGTAATACGTTAATGTAGCCACGATCTAAATTCACTGTTAGAATACGTTTGAAATTTATATTTAATGGGTATGGTAGTGTTCCTATGTCTTAGAACTACCTATAACCTTAATAATTGTTGGATTTGGTAATTTAAAAGCAACGACCGATAATTATTTATTTAAGGTGTTGTCGGGGCTCGGGAACACTACTCTAGTCATTAATCAATGAGGTTGTACTAACTTGCCCAAACAAAGGTAACAATCAAAATGAACGCGTTTGTACCTGTTTTACCATGTTCAATGTAGTTTACCATGCCAGATATTTTTTCTGAAGTGTACTCTTACTCTTAAGAGGAAGTTTCTGACACAGTTTTGATTTATAATACCTCAGACATGTTTACTTCGCTTTAAACTGATAATGATTTACCTAAAATTGATTGCTCAAATTGTTCTTTGTGCAATCTCACGTTTCTTACTACAGATACGGTTTCTTTGAAATAGCCAAAAGAATTACGTCTGTCTGGGGCTATCCCTGGTTTTTTGTGGCTATAGACAGCAAATTAATAAAAATTTTGATGCTCAAGTAAAGTACTTTGCCGTAGCGATGTGGCGGATCGTTAAAGCGTATGTATTTCATTGCTCTATGTCTTTTTATAATAGAACCTAAAAAGTCAGACAAAATTGTCTATATGTGGGTTTTTTCCACAAAATAACAGTATAGTCAATGTACAGCACTTTTAAAAAACTTTTAAACCCAGATTGGATTCACACATTAAGAATTTTAACCAATATTCAAATCGTTTATTTTTTACGTGACCTATTGAACTTAAATCTTTGCGTTTTTTGCAATTAATCAATAGTGTTGTAATGTTCGCTAATGAACTTTGAATTGCGGTTTCATAAAAAGGGCAATGATCATATTAAACGTCGGCGAAATTTTGCAAGAATTTTAGAAATTTCGAAAGAAATTTACAATAAAAAATATATAAATTTGTAAATATTCAAACAGTTTGCTGATAAGAATTAAAAGGGTTTTTTAGTTTTAAACTGGTATTTAATATAGAGTATAATAAATAATTGACGTTAACATCTCTTTACTGATCTAATCTGAACTCCTTTGTTCCTTTCTTCACATTGTATATAACATAGTTAAGAAGTGTTATTTTATGTAAAAAAGCTGACACTTTATATGTTAAATCCACTGGCTTAGTTTTATATATTCCAAGAATTATGCTTTATTAATTAGTTAATTTGCATTTACTGTAGTTTGGAAATAAGTTTGGTTTGTTTGTATAAGAAGTTAATTTGTAGCCAAACATTACAAATAAATTGCATTAAGGATCAAATGTTTAAAAATATGATTAAAAAGTAGGAATATTTTTAAAGATACTATGCGGCACATAGCTGTCTATGATACTCAAAAAATAACAAAAATTAGTCTGTGCTTGTAATTTTTCATGTAATATGTTTAATATTTTTTATTTTATTACACTATGTTTTTTGTAAGATTCGTTTTAATAGATTAAAAGATTTGCAACTCTGTAGGCTTGTAATATAACATAATAATTGTCGAAAAAATGTAATGACACAATGTAAGAAACCACAGCCTTCTCTCCCCCTCCCCCTCTCTTTTCTTGAATATTATACAAAAAAAAGTGAAGACAATCCTTCTATAGCATCAGCCGCCTGTTATAGTGTACAAAAACTTATTCTTTACAACACCCCTTAAGTGTTGTACTATTGACTTAAAGAAACCGGTTGGTGATCATCAATTATTTAATGCTTAATGCTCCGGTATTTCATAATTGATTGTTTTGAGAACGGTGATAACAACATTACTGCTTAAGCGTTCTTAAGTTGTTGCATCCGTCAAAATATGTTTTGTTTTTTGAAAGTTGCACATGACATTAACAACGTCAACAGAGTTGTTTCATTTTGAGAATATATATTGTATCATAACGTGCTATTACTTGTGTTGCCACAAAAAAGAACAATTATATATAAAGTGCTGGACAAAAGAAAATATAATAACTTACGTCTCCCCACTTAAATCATCTTTGTAATAAAGTATGTATGCAATGCGTGTAACCGAATTTGATTACGGGAAGTTAATAACTAAGTATTAAACTATTCTTTTTTACTATTGCTACAACAATTTTAACTTTTTGTGTAGTTTTTAATTTATTTATAGTTAAAAAGTTTATTTTATCAACGGTGCTTGTCGCCGAGTTTGAGAACTATTATAAATAATATTATAAAAAATGTTGTTCGACATAAACCTTATTTTTAGTAGACACTGATATTTACAACTGTTTAAACAATGATTTTATATTTACATAATTTTAAAAACAAACGCATTTGCATATGACTAAAACACCCACAACAAAAGTATAATCATTATTTGTTAAAAACGTATATTAATCATCGCTATTTTTAGGTGTTTGTTAAGAAAAGAACAAAAATACAAAACCGAAAATAAAATATGCATCTTAAATAAGCAATTTAATAATATAGTGATCTTCACATTATTCTGAAACAAACTAATGTTATATGTATATTATTCTGTATTGTAGTTTTTTATTTGAATTGTTATAAACGCCTGAAACTTAATAAATACATTTTTTGCAAAAAAATCATGAATATTGTCGTATGCTTTCGAAATAAATTTTATTAGCCAAACCAAATGTCATCATTACAAATACCGCACTCATTTGCATATTGTTATTGTCTCGTGTTTAATGTTTAAAGCAGTTATCCGTGGGAAAAAAAATTCTTGGCAACAGTTTTGTATTTCGCAATTCTGAATCATTGTTTCTAAACGCGAACAATAGCTGGTGCATCAGGAGAAAACACAAGTTTAATGTATTATAATAGCTTTAAGGCATAAAAATCGCTGAAAATGTAAAAATTTTTATGTTTTTACATAACACATAGAATTCAAACTTATTTTATAAAAAAAATATTTACGAGACTAATAAGAAATAAGCTAGTGATAACCAATATACTAGCGTTTTAATTGACTTTTGATTAAATAATTTTTTGTTCTTTAATTATGAGTATTCGAAATGATTAAACTTTACAATGCGGTCAGAAAGCACGCTACTTCTTTGAACTTGATATTCGTTTGCACTTGATAACAAGCTATTATGTTGGCTTATAAAAACTAAGAATTAAACACGATAACTTGTTTTTATCGAAAACTTTTTATTGAAATTATGGCGGAATAACAAGTCGCCAAAACGGTGCCAAAACACATTTTTTGTAAATGTAATTTGTCGTACTTGATATATAAAAGCTGATTGGTTTTGTCTGAGGTTATACAATACATCTTTAGAAATTTTAAGGCAATGTTATACTATCGGGATTTCCATTAGGGGTTTGACTATACTTAAATCAATTTTTTAAAAAATATTTTAAGTTCAATATGTAAATTTATTACACAGTTTTTACAAAAAATTATTACTTCTTTGTAAAAACATAAAATTTCTTCGAATACCTAACATTGATTTGGAATGAAGACTACAAACAACACACAGCTACAAAAGAACATGTGCATCCATATAAGGAAAAATACTAAACTACTACGAAACGTTGTATGTAAAGGCCTATAAAACGTAAAAAAATACTGTAATTCATATTTTAAAGGCATACATTACACTCTCGGCTTATTATATTTTGACTTGATTCAACTTTAAATGTTTTTGTTACAATATTTAATTTTTTAGACTATTAATTGCGCTAACATTACATTAAAATCCGCTTTTGCACTAAATACAACACAACTTTTTTGTTTGATAACAAAATCATAAAGTTAGCCGGAACTGTTGGACCAACACCCACTTGGTCATTAAGATGGGGGCGTGGTCAGAAAGAGTACAGTAATACTATCTTGTCAAGTAGACAAGACCGTAACTATTCAGCGTTTGATTTTTGTTTACTAAGAATAACAGGTTTTAAAACAAAGGTTTTTTAAAAGTATCGTACTTTTGGCGTCTGGTGGCCACGCCTCTTTTGGTCTTTCCCACTTAAAGGCTTCGTTCGGATTTTTTTTCGGTCTCCACCTTCTCTACTTTGCTAGTTGTACTACAGTCATAAAGGACAACAACAATCGCCAGAGGGCGGTACTTGCTATATAAAAGACGGCTGACAAGACTTTGGGTCATTTGTCCACACACGTTGTGATACCAGGAATTTCTTTGTACAGATTAAGGATTTAGGAACTGCGTTTAGACAAAATAGAAATGTATAAAAGGGATTGGTCTTATTACTGTAGTAACAACTTTTTATTATAAAATTCATTTGCATGACGTTTAAATCTACCAAGTCTTAGCGGTTACAATGTTTTGTAATTGCTGGATACGGTAAAGACAAAAAAATATAAAGTGGTTTACGGTAACAATGAAAAATATACTTATTACTTCTTGTGTGTGTCATTTACTATTTTTAGCTTATTAAAATTGATTATATTAATAATTAAAAATAAATTTATGTGGGAAAGTTGGCTTGCAAAATTAAAAATTTATATTTTTCTACTAACATGTTTAATACAAGGATTTTTAAATTAGTACTATTTTTATTTTATTTTTTGAATTTTTGTGAGTTTACATTTATTGTTTATGATATTGTTGTTTATTCCTGTCATGCAAAATTGTTATTTATTTTTATGCTTTCCTTGTAATATAAAATTAAAAATATTTGCGCGTGTGTAAGCTTTTGCTACTTTACATATTTTACGTTTAGTTACTGCAATGATACTAAGGAATACGTTTCTGTTCGTTGTTTTCTGTCTACAATGTTCTCAGTCCGCCAAAATACTTTTTGTTTCGCCAAACTTATCAAATAGTATGGTCATGTATACCGGTCGAATGGCTGATGTATTAGTGAAGGCGGGGCACCAAGTTACGTTTTTTATTCCGGAAACGAGCACATTCAACAAACTTAATGGTACTAAGCTAGCTAAAGTTGTACGAATGCCGAACTTAGGACGATTTTTTGATGATGTAATGATGTCGCATGGTGATCCGTTTGAAGCACAATCGCCTAGTTTCTTCGACCATCGTATGGAGGTTATTTCGCAATACCGAGTTTGTGAAGGTATGTTTTTGTAAAATTAACATCCACAAAGGCATTTTTGAAACCTTTTACTAACGCAATATCTAATACTGCTTAACATGCAATTTCAGAAATTTTAAAAAGGAAAGAAGAGTTGGAGATGCTCAATGCCGAAAATTTTGATCTTGCTATTGCTGACAATGTTGACTTTTGCGACATTTCACTGATCCACATGTTAGGTATTCCCGTTCACATTTGGACTACAACAGGCCCAATGCACGAAATTACGGCCTGGGCGTTAGGTGTACCACCAGAACCAGCTTATGTTCCAACGACATGGGACAATTTTCTTAGTCCTATAATGGGCTTAGGGGAACGTGCTTATAATTTGTTGCAACATTACATTGGTCGTATTCACGCTCTCGAACTGGATATTCAGGTGGGCACAAAAATCAGTAAGCATAGGAATCACATTAGGCATTTACTTGTAACAACTCTTTGTTATTGTTTACGAAAACTGTTCATAACAAAATGCATTTTCCATTGTGTACATTGATAATGAAAAACGCATAAGAAAGGCGATTGTTTGATCAGAACTTAAACCCTCAGCTGACGAGAAAAAATAATGGTATTGTAGCTGATAGTCTTTTTGACAGTCACTAAATTAACAGAAAGAACATGTATCGTCATTTTTTAGTTTATATTAATACAAAAATAATATTACTACATTTTTTATTAAAAACACAAAAAATTTTAAGCCGTGATTTTGCTGGGTGTGTTTTGAGGAATGTAATAAGGAAAAGGGAAAAACAAGTTTGGTATACAACAATAACAAACTGTGTTGCTGTTATGTTTTAAAATTGTTCGGTGCACACTAATCACAATAAAAGCACCAAAGTAGTATAGCAGCCTAGTGATGATAAGAAAACGGAAATGGCGTCAACGAAATTTAGATAAACGTAATATTGTTACGCACAATTACATTTTATAAAATTTTTAATATTATATATATAAAAAATTATTTTTTATTTTAAACGTCAAAAAATTTTTAATTAACAAGGCTGTTTTAAGAAGTTGTTATTATAGCGTGAACTAATCAACAGAAGATGTTTTTCCTTCTATTGTTGTAAATTTTCAAATTTAGGTGACACGACTGTTTCGCAAATACGTACGCGGTGATTTTCCATCAGCAGCAGAGCTTGCCGCCAACTCCGCTATTATGTTCATGAATGGAGATCAATTTTTTGATCCCGTGCGTCCGCTTCCTTCAAAGTGTATCAACATTGGCGGTGTTGGGCTCATTAAACCTCGAGAACTTTCTACTGTAAGTTTAAGATACCTACAGTTACATTCGCTGGTAAATTTAGTTCGGTTTTGGCCGCTATATTTTTTCTGATTTTCTCAGAGGGTGTTTAAAAAGGCCCGACAGGGTACATACTATAACTGTGTTACCGTTTTCTGATAACTTGTGTTTGTACAACAAACTTCGTAGCTAAGCATGACTAGTTCAAAGAGTCAATTTTGTCGATCAGTTGAGAAACTGATAAAAAATTAATAAAAAATGGCTGCGATAAATAAAAGTGCAAAAACTTACTAATTGTATTTTTATTGATAATGAAGAGTATCAGACAAATGATAAAATTTTGAACGCAAAAGATCACAATTACGTGTTTTTTTTATGTTTGGTATAAAAAAAGTTTTTAAAAAATTTTTATTTTTTAATTTACAAATACAAAATTAATTATAAGTTACCATAACTTTTAGGAGTTCAAAGATATGGCTGAACAAGGCAAAAAAGGATTCATAATATTTGCACTTGGAACGGCAGCTCCAACGCGTGCTGTGGCTTCATGGCGAAAAAAGGCTTTAGTCGATGCCTTTTCGACCTTTACCGACTATCATTTTATTGTCAAAATGGACGCAGAAGATTATGACTTCTTGAATATGACAAGACAAGTTGGCAACATTGATGCTGTTAATTGGATTCCTCAAAGTGACTTATTAGGTAATTTTATTCGCTTTTGTGAGAAAGTAAACGTGAAGGCTGAATATTATATTTGAAATATTTCATATAGTTTTAAAATGTTTTAAAAACGTTTAATACGACAAAAAATTTTATCAAAAATATTGTAGCTCATCCTCGCGCCAAACTTTTCATTACTCACGGAGGCTACAACAGCATAATTGAAAGTGGTATTCGCGGAGTACCCATGCTTGTTCTACCACTATTTTTTGATCAACATCGCAATGCTAAAGCCATCGAGTATCGAAAACTAGGGTTGGCTTTGGAACCTTCGACCATTACAAAATCCAACCTTATCGCAAAATTAAACGAATTATTGACCAACCCGGTTTACCAACAAAATGCCTATCGAAGCGCAAAACTTTTCCGCACGAAACCCGATCAACCTGATCAAACTCTTGTCAAATGGGTCGAATTTGTTTTGGAGAATGGCAATTTGCCAGAACTGAAACCAGAGCTGGCAAACATGAATTTTATCGTCTACAACAATTTGGACGTGTTTGCTGTTGTGTTGTTAATGGTATCTTTTTGTAGTTATACGTTTGTTACGGTTTGTAAAAAGTTTTTGCAATTCGGAAGGAATCGGTATCTCACCAAGCTCAAACGTGCTTAAAATACGCCTTGATTCTTTCAAATTATTTGTTTGATACTCTACTACCCCAATGCAATGGTTGTTGTTTTATAGTTTCTCATACCCATATACTACTATGTTTGTTATGTTTGTTTTACAACTTTGGTATCCAATATATCTCAAATAATTCTCGCAAAAAAAATATTTAAAAAGCTGTCACAATGACACTGATCTGTGTAATTTACGTTTACGTTTCACGCTTTTGATCTTCATTTTTGTCTGTTAATGTTTTTGTTTTATTTTAGTTGAATATGACGGTTACTGCGTCAAACATATGGTCTTATATGTATAAGCAATAATGTTAATTTATTTTCTTTTAACATACAAACTTATAAAACACTAAAATATTGGTCAAAAATAACAATTGTGTAAACTGGAATAAACGGTAACAATTTATTATGAGTTGTTGTTTCAAGTTATTTACAAAAAGAATTTAAAGAAATAAATGTAAAATATGTATAAGTTGCTTTAATCCAACGAACCACATTGATATATCAAGATAATGATTTTGGTAGCCCTAAACTTTATGTATTCTTCAGCACTTATATGGGAACCAAAGTTTCTGCCCACAATAACATGGTGACATCTATCTATAAAAAACTAACTTTTGCATAAATTTTAACTAAAAATCAAAGCTTCAACAGGATCTTATTGTAGAAAATATACCTCGTTATTTTCCCAATGCTTTGCTGCCTCAGCACCAAAACTTACCAGTGATGTCATCAAACCTTGTTTTGATAAACGACGCAATTTCACTTTCACTGCAACAAATGTCCAAAGCATGGTTAGCAATCTCAACCGCTTGTTTTTGTTTGTCTTCGTTGAACGTTGTGCTTTCAATTCGTACTGACATTGGCATGTTCTCCTTCAATGGTTTTTCTTCTTCCCCTTCTCTAGCGTATTTCCATCTTCTTGTGCCATTTCTAAAATTCTTTATTTTAATTTACTACGAAATAATTATTATTACAACACATTGATCACTAGTAGTTTGTAATTTTTTACATTCTAATATATAAAGTGTACTTTTAGTTTCGGAGTTACGGTAAAAAACAGACACGGAACATGAGCTCTCAAACAATAATTTCCTTATTCCAAACCTTCCCACAATACATAATTTATAATAGGTTTAACGCAAAAACAAAACACACAACCTTAGTGGCATTAAACTACATTGTTTAGTCGTTGAACTATATTTCTTAACACTTTATGAAATAACTGAGCAGTACTTATAAAGCTTGGAAAAAGTAACAAGTTTTTAATGTGAGAAAATATATTGAAAATATTACAATTCGTTCATAAATAGTTTAAAAAGTATACGTGCATAATTAAAAGTAAAAACGTGTTCTTTTCGACTATGTATATACACAATTTATTTCAATTACAGTACTCTATATAAGTAATCCAAAGGGTCCAAAATTTTGTGTTTACTATACCCTTTACAGAGCGATTTTTAGTGCAAATTGAATTGGCAAGGCCAATTTTCCTGTTTACTATAAAGGGAGTTGTTTATACAGATGATTCACTATGTAGAGAACCCACAGTATAAGTAAAATTCAAAAACTCACCTTCGAACACTAAATCTCTTACGTTGGTACATATCCCACAGTTGACAAAATAATAAATAAGTTTTTTTTTAGAAATATCGAAAAATTCGACTTCAGTATAAGTTAAAATAAACGCCTGTTGTGTGCCCTCCAACCCCAACCATTACGAGTTCTTGTTATATTGTTAATGAGTAACACATGTTCACAACAGCTCAAAAAACAAAATGTTCAATATAATCAATTTGTTGATCTATTATGCACAATTCAACAATATAAATTTTAAAAAAACTAATTTAAGTATATACTACTTTTAAATGTATAATTAATAAATATTTTTCGTACCGTAAACATTAATATTTTTATAACTACATACATTTTTTAAATGATTGTCAGCAAAAGACTTGTGAAACTGTTAATCATCTCAAATTGAATCATTTTTTAAGAAAATGTTTAGCTTCTAAACCATTACAAATTTCTTTTTGTTTTACTTTCAATATGTATTACATTCAGCGATGGAAAGCAGTGTTTCAAGCTTTCTGAAGATCAATAGGATATTCAGAAACCCTACCCTCAGTGCCGGGCGAGGACTTTTGGCCTGGGGGCGGGGTTCGAAAAATTCACAGGGGGGACCACGTTCAACTTTTTTCGAAAATTTTTTTTAGGAGGGGGGGGGGTTCCCTTCCCGTCCATTCCCCCTCTCTCTCAGCGCCCGCCCTTGCCTGCCCTAGTTTGCCATGCGGCTTTCGAAACACAGGGCATTTTTATTTTGTTTTTGCTGTTGATTGTATTTTAAAAATTCAAAAAATTTACGCTTGATTTTCTTTGTAAAAACTTTGAACAAAGATAGCTAATCTCGGAACACTTAATTCTCCGACTTTTGACCTTCTCGTTTTCTCGCAATAATTGCTTCTTCAAACATTGTTTTATCCGCTACTTTGTGGGTGTTGAAGCGTTTTGTAAGTCACGATTGTTGAGGGTTTTCGTCAAAATGTCAATGGGTTTTAAAATATGTCATATGATATAAATAAACAATAACTTTTGAAGTTTAAAATTCTGTGTTAACTATACTAAATTAATAGCAAGGTTATGAGAGAAGACCGTGCTATCATTCTCTTTTTTCAAATTATTTGCTAGGCAGTCGACTTTATTATTTTGAAATCAAAAAATCAAACTTTATTCTTTAACTTCAAAGGTTGTTTGTAATAACAACACAGCAAACAAAGCTTTTCAATAAATTTTTAAACGTAAATGTGAGAGTAAAGAAATGTTCGGTCTTCTTAAAGACCGATCGATTTCAGGGTTTATTTGCGTGAACGACGTGAATAAAACGTTTTTTATTCAACTTATTTAAGTACACCCATATAAGACAGCGTTTTATAAATCTTACCTTAAATAGTAGTTCAATTTTATTGTCATGGAGTTAGGGCATAAAACTTGGTAAACTTTTATTATTGTCATCATTTGCTCAATCATAACTTGTCTTTCGTTTTTGGCCAACTGTGCGTTTAATACTCCTGTATAGCAAAACTCATTTATAAGAAACAGTAGTAAAATCAGCAAACGGTCTGGTATACAGATATTTCACAGTAGAAGATCTTTGTAATTATGTTCAAATTTGTATAAAAAATCTTCATTTAGCAGATTAAGCTGTAGTTAATCCGGAAGCTGATTTATAACAATATTAATCATCTTTTGAACTTGAGATTAAATCGCCTAAAGATGCTTAAGGGTGTCGACACAAGCATACAAATATATTAAACATTTTTTTCTCCCTCTAACATTTTTTTAAATTTTGTTTGCATATTTAGCTAATGACGGCAAACAGAAAGTTCATACTACTAGGCTCTTTTCAATTATCACGTTAACATACTTTACCGTTTACATTACCGGTTTGCGCAAAACAAACGGAAACTTGAAGCAATTAACCTTCCTTCGATATATTTATTATTGTTTTGTAATTACCGACGGTCTTTGTATGACTTTGGTTAAAACTGACTTTGGTATAACGGAAACTTATAATAAAACATTTTGTTAATACTTACGATTTGATATTGTATTCTTATGTTTTTGTATATGTCTTACGCTCTTACACTTGTATAAATCCAACTAAATTTGACCATAATATCACTGTTGCAAATCATACATATTATCTCACACCTCCGCCCCCCCCTCCTACTCGTCCTTCCCTTTCTTTCGCTTCCCATCTCAAAAAAACGATATATGTCTACAGTTAGCGAAGTCTTAAGTAACAATAATTTTTCATTATTCTACTTCACCAGGTATAATAATGTTTTCGCTGTACCTACCGCCCCATCTCAAGGTATGCTGAAGGGAAAAGAAGCGCATAGAAAACGAAGCTGATCAGAAGACAGTGAAAGAGAAAACAGGTTTCGATCGCGCCCTACCGCGCGCCTTCTGTCATATTCCACGGCGGGTTCACATGGCGTTTAGTGTTTTGTCGAGGGATTCGGTTTTTAATTAGGTGTTTAGCTTAACTGCTTCCTCTTATCTACGTAGGATTTTTGTGTCGCAAAACTTTGCGGATTTTTTTTGAGGCGAAAGTTGTGGTTTTCCGAACGGTTGGCAATTATGTTTTTCGCTATCGACATTTTTTCTTAATTTTACACTAATTTTTTAGCCTAATTTTAAAATTTACATGTTAGGTTTAAAAAAGTAAAATACCCTTTTTTAATTAATTTAAGTTTTTTTATTCTTTAACTAAAAAACGTAAGGTTTTTGTACTTATGACAAAGCCTTTGATTACAAAGGGCAAACAAAGACAAAATTTTTATTAGTAAGATTAGGCTTTCAAATATTTAGTTTTAATTATTTACGTATTTTTAATTCAAAAACGATTTAAAAAATTGTTTTTTTTTAATTTTTATTACTAATTATAAAAAATCTTATTTTATGTATGTTTTTAGTTAGTCACGAAAATATCACTAATGTGTTTGCATGTCTGTGTAAAAACAATTTGTGGATATTAAATTTTATCGTCCGGCCATGTTTTACATTTTACATTATAATCGATTTTTGGTTGTTCTTTACTGGATTTAAAGTAGTTCATTGAAGATAGAAAGAAAGTTTTTAAACAAAACGCTCTTTGAAACTTTTAAAATAAATATGGGATCAGACGTCGGTTGAGAACTATATTTCTTTCCCTAGCTACTCTCTTGTTAACCTTTTCGTATTTACAGCTTTCTTGAACATAGTATACGTCATGTTATGTCTTTTTTTTCTTATTCAAAAAATCCTCTCTGAAGACGTCCAATTTCCGAATAGACTGGCACTTCGTTTCCCCTTTCATAGTCATGTTCTTATCACAGTCCACATAGTTTTTTTGGCCGGGTTCTATTCTTGCTTCACGACTTCGACTTTCTATTCCGGTTGAATAATATACGCTATACGGGCCGCAGTTTTTAGCTTTTTTACAAAAAATAACGCGGATATTTATTGAATGACATTCTCAATATGTTTTTGGTTTTAGGTTATTTTAAATGTCTCTAATTTCTTTTATTTGCGCTCTTATAAAAAAAGGCTTTTAAAAAGAAGCTTCTGGTCGGCAGACTTTCGAGCCGGCCTTAAAAATGGCTTTAAATTCTGAAAGGGCGTCAGCCAGTTTAAGTAATTGGCATTTTATAGTCAATTTGCATATTTAGTTTTATTTTTCAATTTATTTTTTATTTGAAATTAGTTTTTTTTTAGTTATTCTTTCGTGTAAGACGGATTTTGAGTTAAAATGACATTACTTTTTTTTGTGGTTTTATTGAAAAAGCAAAATTATAAAAATTATTGAAAGTTAACATAAAAAAGGTGACAAAAAAGTTTATTAGAATAAAAAAGTTTACATAACGTAATAAAATTTAAATGTGTCATCTTTTGCTAAAAAGTTGTTATTTTGATTTAAAATGACATATAATAAAATTTTTTTCATAACTTTAAAATTCGTAATTAAAATGCTGCCTAAAGCCGTTTGTTTATTATGTGGGTCAGTTTAATGTGTTCTAGGCAAAAATAAGCTTCTTCTCTTTTTCATACAAACGCTATGTTCCGGTTTCGAAGTTTTCTCGACCTGAGATTTAATAGTAATAGTTTTTTACGCCTCAACAGCCGCGGGTTTATGCTCAGCAGCTCTACAAACGCTACATAGAAGAGAAATGGAGGGGTTTTTTCCCGAATTTTTGTGGCGTTTTTCCATCAGCTAATATGGTGATTTTGTGCGAGGTTGAACTATAGGTTTAACCCCTTTTTAGGTTTTTTACTTTTTATTCGAAAAATATGTAGGTTTGTACTTAAATTTAAATTTTTTGTATAATAGTTTTCTTAATTATTGCAAATTTTTGTTGCTTCATTAAAATTTTGTTTTCTATAGTTTATGTTTTAAAGCAGTAACTAAGCTTGTTAAGGCGCCTTATTATTTTTAAAAATATCCTTATTTTTGTTTTTTCTTCTTAATCGACTTTAACATTTAGCACGAACTCTCTGTATTTTTTTAAGTTGACCGTGGTCTCGGGCAAAATCTGTCTTTACTCCTTCTCTCCCCCCCCTCTTTTCCCAAACAAGAAGCGCCGACCAGCTAATGGTTGTAATAGCTTACTTTTTAATATGTGGTCTTATCGTTTAAGTCTTATGATAATGATGACGCATTCCAATCATTTTATGCTCTTTTGTTAATAAATTCTATTAAATTCTATTCAAAATATTTTACCATTATAATATTCATATTCATAAGCTTATGTAATACTTTACTTAATTGTAATATTTCTTGTTTTGAAAATAATTCCGGTTACATTTTGAATATTAATAGCTGCCTGCTTTACTTGTATTACGTTTATATATTGGTATAAAGTTTTTATTTTTGTTTTGTTTTTTATATGTTACTTTGGGTGATTCCTATGTTTCAAATTTTACTCAGCATTCAACATGAGTACTTTTGTTTACTTTTAAAACGGTGGCAGTGTTATTTGAATTACGAATTAATTATAAGCTGATGTTTGAACATTTACTTTAATGTCAAAACATTGGGGGATTTTTTAATTTTTATCTCTGTACATCAACTTGTTATGTGTTTTTTAAAACTCATCACTTGTCGTATCACACATTGTTTCGAATGATAAAATTGGTTTCGGTGTTAAGAATAGAAGACTCCAAGTTCAAACGTGACATCAATCAGTTTATTTTTTGTCGCTTCGAGAAGGTGAGTGGAAGAGAGGGGGAGATCACACGTCGAAGGAGCTCTTTTTACTTGAGATCTCTCTTTAACCACATGACTGCTAGGACTTCCTTTTCTTTATTCTTACTTTTTTATGGGTATTTTAGGGTTTTAAAGGGTTTTATTTACTTGTTGACTAATATTTTAAAAGTTGGTACTTTTTAAAACCTTTCTCATAAACGTTTTTAAAAATTATATTTTTAATTAGTAACTGTAGTATTGTTACTAAAACCTTTTTTTTAAATAAGTGGATGTTTTACTAACCCTAATAAATTTAAATCGTTTGTGGTTTGTGCATTAAGTCAGGTAGAATCTTTTTTTTATTAACGAAAATAATTCTTTTTACGCTGTTACTACTTTTGATTACTTTCATATACGTCGATGAAACTGTATAATTATTTTTGCATTATTTACAGCGTTATTTTAGCTAGACATGAGAAACGGGCCGGGCCGGGCCCAATTTTCAGGCCCGGCCCGATCGGAATTTTGCTCAAGGCCGGCCCGTTTCTCATGTCTAATTTTAGCCACTTTTTGTAAGAAAAGAAAATATTCTTTTTAAAAAATTAATTTACTAATAAAGGGTTGGCGTTATTGGCATTCTGCACTACGCGTTCCCGCCTCCATCAATTTTTTGTTTTTTAGTGATCCTTTACATAGTTTCATTTTTACATTCCATTAAATGTAAATAACGTTAAGAATATACCGCTATTCCTTATTATTATTCGTGTTTAATAATTTTTTACTTGCGTTAGACAAAGATTCTTCCTATTATTTTATTTTTTTCAGAGTTTAATTTTGATTGAATGAAGTGGACTGATTCGGCGTAGAAAGCAAACCAAACAAGAATTGATAACGGGTCCTACTGATTCTGGTAAGTGAATAATTTGTTTATTTTATTCTTTCAATGTTTAGCCGTCGTATGGCCAGTTGTTTTGATTTTTTCAGCGCAAAAGTTGGCTTAAACATTCAAAAATGCGCTGAGATGGCATCTGTAATATCCAAACGCTTTCTCAGCTAGCTTTTTCGTTTATAGGATTTGAAATTACTTTAGTTAGATTTACTGAAAACTAGCGTTTATTTTTCGGCTTTGGGTTTAGGTATCTTTGTAGGTATTATTTTTTCGAGTTATATTGTTTTAGGATAAAATTTAGGAACCACGTTGATTTAATTAACTTTCTTATTTTTCTGTTTTCTTTTATAAATTGATAGATTTATATGTACTAGCTTTCAGTATTACTCATCTTGTTTATAAAAGAGTTTATCGTGAAAAATGAACAGAAGCACTTTATGTTTGTGTTCAATAGTTGGAGTTAGTCATATAAAATTAGTTGGGTAAACTTTTTTGAAAATAAATGAACAGTTGGCGAGAAATAAGGGTTTGATTGTTAACTATGTTTGCATGATTTGAAATTCATTTTAACAGCTAAGGTTATAATTTTTAAATTATAAGATTAACTTTTGTTAGCTACTTTTTTTCAGACGGGATGGAGGAACGAACACTGCCGATTACTCGCCAAGACCTTACAGTGCAAAGCCGCGCACACGGTCACCATCCTTCTGCATCTAATGCATCGCAAATCAGTACGTCCAGCTCGTCCAACACCGACGAGTCGGAGGAAAGCTATTTGGACTCGTTGGAAGAGGGTCGCGCACCGTTATTAGGCGAAGACGAAGAGGACAATCGACGGACTCATTATTGCGATGACAACAACGCACGGCATCATAGGTTTCCCAAGGAGCGATTTAAAACTGTGGTAAGGTAGTTACACGTTATAAGAAGCAGTTTGAAATAAAGCTTTCTAGATAAATTATAATTAAGTTCGGTGTTTTATATAAAAATTGTGAAAAATGCTTTAATGCTAATTTTCAGATAGCGTGTGTTTTGCTATTTGTTGCTGGCTGCTCAAACGACCTGGTTTTGTCCTATATTCATGACTTTGTGCCAGAAACAGCTCCTCTTCCTGACGTTGTGTTTGCCAACACTCCGTACAAACCTGGACTTTTAAAGATTAGCGAATACTTGATGTTGTCGTCGTTTGCCGGCCTCATGTTGCTCACATTACTACACAAACATCGTTGGATTGTGTTGCGACGAATAGCGACCATAGGATCTTTGTTATACTTTGGGCGGTGTGTTACAATGTTTGTCACCCAAGTTCCGGTGGCTGATCAAAACTATTATTGTTCGCCAAAATTGTCGGTACGTTTTTATCAAATTTATGATTTTGAGCTTGTGTGATTCACGAGTTATGAAGTTTTTTGTCTTGCTTTAAAAAGCATTTTGAAAATATTATAAATTTCACGATATTTTGGTAATTTTAGGGGGTTAATAACAATAACTTCTTATTAACGTTGCATTTTTAGGGAGAAAATCGTACGATAGGTGCTATATTCTTACGTGCTTTACGCGTATTAAGCGGTGTTGGATTGTCTATAAACGGAAAACACACATTATGTGGTGACTACATCTACAGTGGGCATACTGTAGTGTTTGTTACGTGTTACTTGTTTATACGTGAATGTAAGTTTTTGTTTTTTTTTAATTTTTGCATAAATATAACTTTTAAGTTTGAATTTTACTCTGGTTTTTAAGACAGCCCAAGGCGGTGGAAACTGCTTCATTACACATCGGCAGTGGCATCTTTAGTTGGCGTAACATGCGTGGTAATATCACGGGGCCACTACACGGTGGATGTGATTCTGGCCTACTGGATCAGTACACGTGTTTTTTGGCAATACCATACAATGGCTGCGTTTGCTGTACTAAAAGACGGACGGAACGAGAATAATCACTTGATGAAAGTGATATGGTTTCCATTGTTTAAGTTTATGGAGATCAATGTGCTCCGACCGTTGCCTCGACAGTAAGTTTGGTGTTGTTATCGATGAAGAAAATTAAGGATTTGTAAAAATAACATATCTAAAATAATTTTAATTAATAATATTTGTTTTAGCAATAAACATTATCAACGATTAATTTTCAGTTATGGGTTACCAGCACCGCTAGATCGTGTCAAACGGCTACGTTTCCCTAAGCCTAACAATCGTTAAAGTGGATCCGAACCAGTCGACCAGTTCTCAACGTTTCTCTTATTGTACAGTTACGATTGCACTTGCACTGTATTGTTGTGTATATTCTTCTTCTATCAGATTTATATTGAATTTTGTAATTGAGTGAATACTGACTGCAATTGTTTTCTGAGTTCAGTTTTGCCAACGGGTACCATTCTCTTTTTCTCTTATTTTGTTAAATAGCTCGAAGCAACTTTTTGATTTTTTGTTCTTGGGAATATTTTTTTTTTTGAAGTATTCGCAGAAAAGTTGCGAAGGAATTTTTGGAACTTTTTCCCTTTAGGTATTCATTTTCCCAAATTTAAAAAAGTTGTTTCAGGGTTTTATTTTAGGTCTTAATCGATTTTCAAAGTCTCAATTTTTAGTGCCATTTTTTACATTTTTATTGAAGTCGGCAGCAAAAATACCAAGTTGGTGTTAAGATCACATTTAGAAAAATATAATGGAAAAGTAAGGAATTTGTAGTTGATATTGTCAAAGATATAAAACTTTGACTTCATATTTTACAAATTTTCGTTTCAATCGTTCTTGCCGGCTTCAGCTCCGAATAGTCATACCATTTTTCTTAGCCATCGTAACAGCGCCTTAACTACTTGTAGGTTCTACTTTTTGATTCGGGTCTTGTTATAATATGATTCTTGAGATTTCCAACGAATAAACATTGAATAATACGCTGACAGATTTATGGTAATGTGGTTGATTTACAGTTTTTATATTTTCTGCATATTGAAATACGCAAGGCTTGTTGTTTTAGTATATTGGCACTCTAAGTTAAAAATTAGACTGATATACAATAACACTTTAAATATATTCGTGCGTCTGTACGAATTTTGGCCAATATATTAATAATGACAATATGTAATTGGAACTTTGTCTATTGCTCCTCTATATCTACCTGCTCAGGATTGGGTATTTCTTGATTACTTGGAGGTTCGGTTTGCTTTTCCAATTCACCGTCAATAGCGGTCATCAAGTCGATTCCTAAAGTAACAAAATAAGGATAGGAACAAAACATTTTGCGTTTAGTAACGTAAAAAGGACAACCAAAAGGTCATTCATGATCAAGTAAAATAAATAGTTAACAAAAAAAACATAATTATAGTTTTCAGAAACCCAGCAACATTTAAAAAACCCACCTTGGCTAGGGTTGTCTACGTTTTGACTTGAATTTTTTCGGCTTAGACTACACTCGTGTTCAGCTTGCTCTTCCTCAAGAGGTGACTTCAGCGCCTCGCTTGGATAGAACAGCAAAAACACCACGAAGAACAACAAGTTCGCCACAATAAATGGTATAAAAGCGTAGCCGGGAAGGTTGGCTTGTAATACCGAAAAAATCAACGGTACAACGAATGCGAAAAACGTCACATTGAAGACGGAAAGAGAAGCGGTGGCTGGAAGCGCTTCGATTGGGGTGATTAAGGCACCATTGAAGAAGCAAATCTTTTCCACCGAATTTGAGAAAGCCAATCCGAAAATTAAGTATCCAGCACAAATACAGTACATTGGGACGGCCGACTGTGGGTTGGTCTGAAATTCAAACGTTATAAAAGTTATTTTCGGTTCTCCTAGTAAATAATAAGAAATAGCTGGCACTGAATGTTACAAAATTGTAAAAATTTTAAACTTGCATTAGCGTAGATCGCACTGAAACAATAAATGCCGTTTACAGCAGCCATTATTGGTAATCCAATTAATAACAGTTTTTTATGATTAATATGCGCTAGAAAGAAGAGTGCTATTGTAACACCAACCAAGTTCGAAGATCCTAAAAAGAAGTTCATCACTCCGGCCCTGGTCTGAAAAATAAATCATAAGAATTTACAATATAAGAAAAATAAAAAATCGTACCGAAAAAAGTTAACCTAAAACATTAAAAATACAATATAAAAATACTAAAGCAGAGGGATATAAAAATTATATTATAGTAAAATAAATCACTATGTTTTAAAATAAAATTAAATTTTACCGAATCTAGGCCACCGCTTTCTCTCAACATTGTCGTGCCAAAGATTGCCATAGCCGGTACGCCGGACAAAAGTTGAGCTTCTCCAACGCAAGCAGCCATTAAGCACGGCCGTCTGTATTGTGAGTCTTTCAGTACTTCCAGTATGCTTAAATTTTTTGTAACCTAAAAATGTTTTAGTAAATTGCGTCAAAAGCTTACGTAATACGTAAAACATTCATCGACAGTATCGAAAAGAAATATTTAAATTTAAAAATCAACAGAAGAAGATAACGTTTGCAATAGAATGCATGGAAAAACATTAATTTATTAAATTTAAAAATACATAAATTCAAAAAAAAATTCACCTCGTGCATTGATGCTTCAATAACTTTTCTCTTCTCTTCGGCTTCTGACGAGGTAATGTAATCGTAGTACTGTATCGCCTCTATCGCTTGTTCATCTAATCCATGTTGTATTAGGTAACGAGGTGATTCTTTGCCAAAATACATACCAATGGCTCTAAAGTTGTACGAAATTAAAAAATTTTAAGGTACAGTACGTAAAATCTTTTCAAAACAAAAAAAACTTACGCAATAACACTAATAAGTAATGCAATTCCAAACATTAACTGCCACAAGGTTGAATTGCCAAGTATTACATCAATACCTAACAAATTTGTTCCAGTTGCTGCCATTTCAATACAAACTGGGACAATTGAGTTTAGAAAACTTTCCATTCCCGGTTCACTAATTTCCTGAAAATATTCGTTTTAAAATTTTTAAACATCAAGAAAATAAATTAGCGTCGGATCCTCCACTCTTTGATCCACAATAACGTGATATTCGCCTTGACCTCATAAATGTTGCAAAAAGCTAAACTAACGTACCATAATCAACGTAGATATACTTCCCAATGAGTATCCAATTGAAATACCAGCTATTATCTCTCCAAAAACTAACAATTCGTACAAATCGTATTTAGATATAATTCCGCAAAGTGAGCTAAAACCGGTTGAAGTTAGGTTTGTAAAGGGGCCGCGCCGGGCCCAATCTGTCAGCCTGTCCCACGGGCCGAGCTTTGGGTTGGGCCCTCGGCGCGGTCCTTTCAAATCTGCTTCGACTCCGCAACTTATATAAACGCATTTACCTAAAAACAAATATGACTTGGCATATAATGAGTAAGGTTCTTCTGCCAAACCGATTGAACATAAAGTTATAGGTCACGCTACCAATCATGGATCCAATTGCAGACGATCTGAAAAGTAGTATACGAATGTTGACTAAAGGATGCATTATTTTACCGTGACAAATACTGATGTACATACCCTGCTGTAGCTCCAAAAATCCAACTAATATATTGTGGATTGGCCTCCAAATCAAAGTTGTAATTTTTTTTAAATGTAGATATCATCAATTCAATAGCTATCGGAGCTAACGGATTAAGAATTGTCAAACTGAATCCGAAACGAAATCCGGAGCCAAGTGCACCAAAAATCACCATCCATAATACCCTTGATCGTGGCCATTTCATAACACCGGATTATTATTTATCTATAAAAATAATAAAAAGTAATCATCAAGTATTTTAAGTTGAAAATTTTTCTAAAATACTACTTACATTCAAATCTAACAACCGACTTCCAAATTCGTTATATAGAGTTTTGAAAATTATTTTCCAATTGTAATTTAGACAGTAAATTTCAAAATATTTTTTTAAATTTGTTTTGTATAAAAATTTTAATCCGCTACTTACTAACACATTCTGTAAACTCATTGTCAAATGTCTATATGCCTAAACATAACACATTAATCACGAGGTTAATCACAATAAATTAAACTTTCTGCCATAATGAAAAATACATACGATTTTTAAACATTTATTCATGTTTTCGTGAGTTCGAATAACTGTAAAGAATTTAAAACTAAAAAACAAAAATATATTTCGCAAGAGCATACGAATTGTTGCAAAGTGTAACACAATTTATTATTAAACTTATCAATAAATACAAAAAAAGTACGGTTAATTTAAAGTATTTTGTGTCCCATGTTTCATTATATGATAGAACATTTAAGCTTCAAATGGTGGATACCATGGATGTCCTTTCGCACTAAAAATATTACTGTATCTTTAAGCCCAAGCCTACTGGGGCTAATCCTACTAAGACTACTAAGCGTAAGCCTACTAAGGCTAAGTCTACAAAACCTAAGTCTACTAAATCTAAACTTGCGAATTCTGAACTCACAATGAAAATGAAAAAAGCCGAACGTCTTCTTTGATTTCATCAAACTTTTCAAAATCCTCTGGTTCTAATTCAAAGTCAAACACGTCGAAGTTCTGCTTCAATCTCTCAGGATTGGTGCTTTTTGGAATTACACTCACTCCCAGTTGAAGCAAATGACGCAATAAAATCTGAAGTTAATTGTAAAAATGTAAAAAAACGTAAAAAATTTTAATTTTACTTTACTTTAAAACATTTATGTTCTAATAGAAAGCCTACCTGACCAGGAGTTTTTTTGTACTTCTTAGCCAGTTCCTTTACTATTTCATTGCCTAAACAGTCGGCGTCTGGGTAATCTCCAGGTCCAAAGCCTTGTTTTCTAGCTGGTGATCCAAGCGACGCATATGAGGTTACCGCAATATTCAACTTCTTACACAAGTCCAGTAGTTTTCTCTGTCTGTGGTAAATGTGCAATTCTATTTGCAAGTTTGCAGGTTTTATGCTGGCTTCATTGTAGAGCTGTTCAAGTTGGTCACAACGGAAGTTAGATACACCAATAGCACGTAGTTTGTTTTCAGCATAGAACTTCTCGAGAACCTTCCACGTTTCAACGTGTGGTGTTAGTTCGGGGACGTTTAGACCGTTAGCATCTTTCAAAAATCCTCCTTCCGGTGATGTTTTCACACCACAAGCGTTGTGGATAAGGTACAAATCTATGTAATCTAAACGCAAATTTTTTAACTGTTCTTTGATGGTAGCTTTTGTATCTTCCGGCTTGTGCTTATGGAACGGCAGCTAAAAGTGTTTGATAATGAAAAAAATGCTTGTGCAGTCACAACAAACAAATTTTAAATGTAGCACAAAATTATAAACTTTACGATACATAGATATTAACATACTTTAGTCGCTATAAATAATTCTTCACGTTTTACCACGCCTTCGTTGAAAAGTTCTTCTAAGCATTGGCCAATTTGAGCTTCGTTGCCATAGCCATAAGCAGTGTCCAAATAACGATAGCCAATATTAATGGCTGTTCTTAACGCATTTCTCAACTCATCTATGTTTTGAGCCTAAAAATTTACATATGTAGTTAGTTTCAACGTAATTATAGCAAAAGTAGTCATTATTGCATAAAACTTTTTTAAAAAATATTTAAAAGGAAAAGACCCTATAACGAAAACTTATTTACCCCCCACCAATGTTTTTAATAACTATTTATTTAAGGTTTTACCTGCCAAGTTCCAAGACCTAAAACTGGTTGTTTAACGCCGTTGTTAAATGTGTAATGTGGTGTAGTATACACGCTCATATTAAAACTAAAATATTTTCGACTTTAAATGTACGAAAAACATTTGCAATCAATAGAAATAACGCTAAACGGTAAATATATAAAGCTTTTAAATAAAAAAGAATAAATTTTTAATATAAAAAAAATCCACTAACTCTATTTTTCAATACCAAATTATCTATAATAAGTAAAATAAAAGTTAGAATGAAAAAAGGAATTCAGTATTCGCTCTTCTAATGCCCTCTCAACCGCACGTAAACAACAAAAAATAAAATTGAAAAACGCGAGAAACATGCAGAGTTTACCTTATAGTTTGTGCTTTATATTATAAATACATTATAAACATAAGCATGTTTGATGACAGTTATTTTACATTGAGAGCAAATTCACGTTTTGTTTTTTTTTTGTTAATTGGTAAAAATTAAAATCCTATCTAATCACGCTACATAAAATTTTATTACAATACCTTAAATACACATAATTAAAATTTTTATTTAAGATTACTTATACTAATACTTCTTTAGTCGTTATTACAAAAATGTATTTTCTACAATAACTTCGTGTCCAATTACAGTTTCTTTTTTTTGTATTACAGTGTATTTTCGTTATAATTATCGTCAAACAATAAGTCTAACAAGTTATGTAAAAAATACCCAAACAAAAAACTGTTAATCTCTATTCTATACATCTCCACCCTTCTAGCCAATCCTGTCTATAAGTAACAAGAGGTTTTAGTTGATAATGTTGCTATAACACGCGTAGGAAAAGTTCTTTCGTTTTGCCTTTTCTTCGGCCGCCATCACTAACGCAACATCTTCGTATAGCGAGTTGCGGGGATAATACTTGTAAAACACAAACCAAAATACCAAATTCGAAAAAACAGATGGCAAAAACGCAAAACTATGGAAGTTCTCCATCAAAGGAGCAAAGAACAATGGTACAATGAATGCCGTTATGTTAGTCATCAAAAACGACATTGACGCTGTAGCGTCGATAGCTTCTAATGGCGTTATTAAAGCGCCGTTGAAAAATTGAATCTTCTCCAGAGTATTGGAAAATATAAAAGCAAGACTGAACAGAGTACCACCCATTCCATACACAACAAATGTCGACACCGTAGTACTGTTGTTGCCTACAGTAAACAAAAAGCTGGCGAACACAACGTCACACATTGTAACTAATGGAATACCGTACAGAAGAAGTAAGCGGTGGTTTATGTTCGTGAAAAACATTAACGCTACCAATAACCCAGTAAAGTATGAAGCGGCTATGCCAAAGTTGACAAAGCCAGAAGTTGTCTAAAAAATTTAATTTTTTTCATGACCTATTAAAAAGGATAATTTAAAAAGCCAATAAAATAAGCTGTAAAAAATTTTTTAATGCCTACTTCGTCCAAATGAGCTTCTTTTGTTAATATCGCCGTTCCAAAGATTGAGACAGCCATTGCTCCAGAATTAACAGCACATGCAGTCGCACAAGTTGTCATTACAATTGAATTTTGTGTTCTCGGATTTCTGAAGGTCTGCAGAATTGTTTGTCGTTTGACTTCCTGCAAAATCAATATTATAGTTTTTTTTCATCGCTTCGCTCTAAACGCCTGCATATTGTGCAAATTACTCTTAAGACTAACTTTTTCGTTTTCACTAAGAGCAAACGCGTTCAATTGTAGCTCTGCTTCATCAACAGCAACGTCTAAATAAAACACGATCGAAGCTAAAGCTTCCTCTCGTCGCCCTTCCTTCAACAACCATCGTGGAGTTTCTTTACTGTAGAAAAATATCCCAAGAAAACTAAAAAATTATTTTAAAAAAGTAACAGTTTACTAATAATTGCAAATTGATTAGAAAAATAAATTCATTCAAGAAAACACTAAGATTTAATGTTACTTACCAAACGACGTTAACAATCATTGGTATGATGATCATACAAAGCCATTTTTCCGAAGTACCAAAAAATATTTTCATTCCTAGCAAATTAACCAAAGCATCTCCCCCTTCCATCCCAACAGCTACCATACAATTCAAAAAGTTTACATGTCGCGCATGCGATACTTCCTGAAAATACAGTACTCAGCAAAAAAAGGCGTTTAAAAATAATCAACACGTTAATACACAAAGTTCCAACCAAAACTTACCATGATAAAGGCAGTAGCCGTAGCCATTCCAAAAGAAAGAAAAAACCCAGTACCAAACTGAGAAATCAAGAATAATTCGAATAAAGCATATCGTGACACTAATCCTAACACTGAACTGTAAATTACTTAGAAACTGTAACACAAACTTACAATACTACCATCATACCCTGCACAAATAACAGCATCGTTTTTCTACCACAACAACTAGCTAATTTATCGTAGGCAAGAACTCCGAACACACAGCCAAGAAACAGTGTTCTAAATACAAACATTGATCACTTCTAACTTACATTTTTTAAGTGAAAGTATAAAAATAATAAAGTTTAAAAACATCATATATTTTTCACTTACCCGCCGGTCAAGCCATTAATATAGGCCACCCAATGAAGATGTTTTGGAGACCTCAAATCCCAGTCGTATCTGGAAACCATGGTATCTTTCATCAACTCTTCCAACACATCGTTTAATGGGTTCACAATCGTCATATTGTATCCAAAACGAAAAGATGTGCCCAGAACTACCAGCAACACATTCCAGAACACGGCTTTGTTGGGGAACATTTGGCCGACCTTCAATCAAGAAGTAATATTAAAAAAGTATACAGAACATTCAACATAACACAAGTAAAAAAACACATTATTATAACTGATTTTCAAATCGAGCAGACAGTGGCAACTCTGGTAAACATATAAATTTTCCGTTCATGGTTTTTAAATTATTGAAACGACGCAATCCAACAACATTTATTGTTTAGAGGAATTAATACATAATTAATGCAATTTTGTCGTGTGATAGATAAAAAATATTCATTATCAAAAAACAAGCATGATAAAGACCTACGAAACTCATTTTAAAATAAAGAACAGTGAATTGCCATACCATGTTACATTTAAAGTTGAGTTTAAACTCTTCTCAAAAACATAACAAACTTTTTACAAAACTTTTGTTTTCTATGTAGTTAACAAGCTTGCACTACCGGTTAGTTAACTAACCCTCGCTGGGTTACACTTTAATAACCTTTGCAAATTCTTTTTGAAAACTTATTTGCTTGTATTTTTAAAATATCTTTTTCATTGTATAACAAAGTTTTGCAGTCTGCTAATTGAAAAGTGGGCGCAGTTCGAAAAAAAATATTTTTTGGCAAATTTGTCGGTTAAACAACTACAATATTTTTGTTTGCTATAACCAAATTTCCTTTTCTTGTTTCAGGCACGTTTTATACGTTTAGGCCATTTTTCGTCGTGTTTTACTCCATCTAGCGACGAAAACGATAAAATTTGTACTTTTGAAAGTCTTTTTAAAATGGACTTTGTGCCTTCTTTCGAATCGCGAACTGTGATCATTAAACAAACTCCTTGATACGAGTTTTGTGTACGTTTTGTTTTTGCTGGCGCTTGTTGTTTTATAAGTATTAAACCTTATCTTTTGAGCCTTTTAATATTTAAATATTTTCTCATCCCCACCTATTGTCTAAGGATTGTCGATTAAATTTGGGTAACAATTTTAGTTTTTGCGTTTTTTTTTTAATTTTGAATAACAAGTATAACAAAACTTTAAGATCTGTTTCAGGCAAACGGGTGCCGATTGTCCTGTAAGAACATTAATTGACGAGCAACAATGTCGACTGATTTTGTGAAGAGCTTTTTTGCTGGTGGAGTTGGCGGTTCCTTTACGGTGATGGTCGGGCATCCGTTTGATACCGTCAAAGTTCGCCTTCAAACGATGCCAACTCCAAAGCCGGGAGAAAAGCCGTTGTATGCCGGAACCTTGGATTGTTTCAGGAGTACGATCGCCAAGGACGGAATCACGGTATTTGACTTTTTTTGTTTATTCTATATTTAGAACACTTAGATTTGCTAATTTAAGAAACTTTATATATTACTGCTGGAACGGAGGTTCCCAGAATAAGTTGATATCTGCATTTCTTACCAAATACTAAAATTTCAGGGTCTGTACAAAGGCATGGCAGCTCCGTTAGTTGGTGTGTCGCCACTGTTTGCTTTGTTTTTTGGAGGATGTGCTGTTGGAAGATGGCTTCAACCGAAGAAACCCGGCCAAGCAGATTACACTTTTGTACAAAATGCGAATGCGGGTGCTTTTGCCGGTGTACTAACAACCGTAGTAATGGTACCCGGAGAACGTATCAAATGCCTTTTACAGGTTCAATCTGCCGGAGGGCCACAAAAGTACAGTGGTCCCCTTGACGTGGTTAAACAGTTGTACAAAGAAGGTGGTATCAAGAGCATTTACAGAGGCACTGCTGCTACATTAATGAGAGGTATGGTTTAATTTGACATATGATAATAACTCAATAAGTTAGTTAAAAAATTTGTAATTATTTATTTTTGAAACTTTCAGATGTACCTGCATCAGCTGCTTATTTATCCGTCTACGAATATTTGAAAAATTTGTTTGCTGGCGAAGGAAACAGAGACAAGCTTTCGCCGACAGCCACACTTTTGGCCGGTGGATTTGCTGGAATTGCGAATTGGTCAGTTTGCATTCCCGCCGACGTTCTCAAGTCTCGACTTCAAACCGCCCCAGAAGGAAAATACAAGGGGATCCGCGATGTTTTCAAAGAGGTCATCAAAACCGAGGGCCCAGCTGGATTGTTCCGCGGATTCACGCCAGTCATGTTGAGGGCGTTCCCAGCCAACGCCGCTTGCTTCTTCGGTGTTGAATTGACTTTGAGTCTTTTCAAAGCTCTCAATTTGTAATTTTGACTTGTCAATTTATCAAAGCATCTTTGAATATAAAAATATATTGGTCAAACCAGCTAACGGTTGAGGGTATTACGGTTGTTTTCATTCTTGGATTATGTTCTATATTCTATTAGGTTTTTATATACTATATCTATTCTACTTTTATATATTTATCCTAGTAACCAAATACCCAATAAATTATCTTATAACCGTCGACACTTATTGGTAATTTATTGTCATAAAATTGTCTTTAAAGACGATCAATATATCTTACTTTGCGATAAAAACGACATAAACCAATAAAATTATAAAAAAGTAATGCATTTAAAGTGTTTATTAACAAACGTGACCGAACAACATAACAAAAATAACTCGACGTTGACAAGAGTAAAAATATGAACAATATGTACATACAATAATAGTTGGTGTCGTCAATTTACCGGCGTCCACAGTCGCTAAAATTTTAATTTTTTAGTAACGATTATTAAAAATACGAACAAAACGTCACACACATCAAGAAATGGTACAAGCTTTATATATTTATGGTTCTATTTGTGAACTTACTACATGTGACGACGCTGTAGCAAGCTGAAGATAATTGGGATTAAACACCACGTGATTTATTGTGTCTGTGTGGTCGACAGAACCGCATTGGTAGATCGGATCTCCAGTATCGCGAGACCAACCGGTAAGATAACCACCGTCGCCGCCGCAGAAAACAAAATTTGAGCATGGGGAAAACGTAGCGGTCAATGGTTCTTTCTGAAATATGATAAAAATGTAAGAGATAGTATTCAACTAATATAAAATTTAAAATACGTCGTAAATTAGGAGTAAATTTTTTTTTCATTTTTTTATAAAACTGCTCATATACAAATTCGTTATTAAGGAAACTTTTTCGAAAATTAAACCTTTTATAACGTCGCTTACGTTATAATTATGATGTCCTGTCAACTTATGTAGTGCTTCACCGCTGAAAGCATCTACGATCAACATCTCCTTTCCGTTCGTCATTACAAGTAAACTTAAGCCGTCAGGAGAAAATGTGACATCAGTCCAATCGCCATCCAAAGCCGGGTATTTGAACGTGGCAAAAGGTTTCACATCAAACGTTCTTAAGTCATAAAAATCCAGCGTGTTTTTGCCACCAACCACAAAAACTCGTCCAGTAGGATCAAACGCGATTAAAGGACATGTTTTTGTTTTCATCATTCCCTGTGCTGCTTGAATTCGCATGTCCCACACTCGTATGGTATTGTCTTGAGATCCGGAAAGAAAGACTTCTTCACACGGCGAAACCTTTATCGTTGTTACAAGCTTTTCATGTCCTTGAAAATATCGCACGTACTGTGTCGGGTTGAGTGATAAATATCGTATTGTATCTGAAAATGTTGCTTCAATCGTATCAAAATTTTTGTCATGTTAAAGTTAAGCTAAATAATTGTATCAAAGACTCAGATATCCGTTCTAGGAGTCATACAAAACTTGTCAACCGTTCAATAAGCAATAAAGAACTTTTTGACAGTCTATATCCTGATCGCTTCTTTCATCATTGTCTGCCTAAGAATATAAAACTAAAAAAATAATAAAATACTTACTATCAACTTTTACAGATGAATGAATAACATTGTTTGTCCCACGAACAAAATGTACCAAGCTGCATCCATATTTTTTGCTGTATACCTAAAACACGTTAAAACATTGTAAAATACATTAAATTCTTCAAAACGGACTAAAATCTTTAAATTTAAACGAATTAGAATATATTCTTTAAAACACACTAACCGTATTAGAAATGCTCCCTTGCACACAGTCATACAGTATTATCGAGTCGACATCTGAAGAAGCAATAAGGGTCTTTCCATCATCCGTTATATTCATGTGATTAACTTTCCCATGGTGATCATAAAAGGCTTTGACAGCTTTGATACGGCCAAGATTTTGACCGTCGAGCAATATCTTTTTGCCTCCACTGTTTTTACGCGTTGTACCATTCATACCTATCTAAATATAATAGCATAAAACTTTAAAAAGAAAAACAACATACCGTTTGATGAGCTAAATCAATCATCTACTCTATACAACGGATAAAATAAGCTAAAATACCAACTAAAAAGCATCAATAGCTTTACATGATCTAACAAGCCAACTGAAAATAGCTTAAAAATGAGCGGGCAAAACCATTTTTTAAAACGAAATGTCAAAATTTTAACGGAGTACCACGATTGATTACTCTATTTCTAATAGTTAGGAATTTTTCAAATCTTCGTTTGTTTATAAATTTATTATCAATTTTACATGTTAAAACTGAAGCATGTAGCAACATATTATGTTAGTTTTCATGTACATATTACTTTCAAGATTTTAAAAAATGATATTTTCAGGATCCTTCCAATCGTTCCAATTACTAATGGCACAGAGAACTCAAGTCGTTTATCCAGATGGGAAAACTGTTAACGTAAGTGAATTTAACGTTGTTAGGAAAATGATAATTTTAGATGGATTTTGACGTATCGTTTTATAGGATGAACTTTATGTTAATATAGGTGACACTTTTCTTATTTTTATTTTTTTTTAAGATTATGTGTAAAATATGATAGGTATGAGGTTTTATATAATATGTATTTTTCTAATTTAGGTACTAATTCCAACTCCTCAAGGGTCAGTTTGGAATGAAATGCATTCAATGAGGAACGGGGAGGATTCATTAGACAGACTGTTGGAGTATGGATATCGACGGATAAATTTCCTGTGCCAAAGTGCTTATCCCGGTTTCAAATTGAATAAGAACTTACCCGGCCCTCCAGGCCCACCACCAGAGTCACCACCACCACCAATTTTTGTCCATACTAAGAAATCCGATGTTACTCGAAAATTCTAACAGCTTTAACGTTACGATAACTTTTCACACAACGATCTCACTTTTATATACGTGTTCAATAAACTTTCAAATTGTTTTTTGTTGTATTATTTATTTTAAATTTAGTTAATAAAAAATATTGAGATAGTAACATAACATTTATTATAAAATTTAATAAATACAATAATTAATATTAAAATTGAGGACTTTAGGTCACATGTATGGTTTACTCCGTCTATAATTCGTCATTTCCTAGTTCACCAGGATCTGAAAATATACATTTTAAGTTATTATACATAAGATCGTTTATCAAAAAATTCAAAATAATACATAATTTTCTATCAATTGTAAATATTATTTAATTAATAAAGACGTGAAAAAATTGTATAAAAACGAGTTTTAACAAGAAAAATAAACGAAATCGTATAAATTAGTTGTAATAACCAAAATTGACCTTAGATGAACTTTTTCATGAGTTTTTTGGCTTCATCTGGGATTGAATTGTGATCCAGTTTTATTTCGATGAATATAGTAGAAATAAATGCGAAAAGGAGAGATATTAAAGCAATTGGCGAACGATGAAAGGCCAGTATAAAGCCGGCAACAGATGTGAGACCGGCAATTGCGATAAAACGAAGTGTACGGTCAGGTCTCCAGAAACCGTCGTAGGGTTCCGCTGTAAAATTGCAAATGGAATTGCGAAAATCTGTCACACAACATAAACACGCTTTTAAAATTAAATGCAAAATAAGGAATAAAGCCAGTAATATAATACATACCAAAAAAAATATAAAGACGAACACAAGACTGAATTAATAACAACAAATACCAAATAAAACGTTTAAAAAATCATAGATACTGTTTTACTCACCGTTCACGTCCAGAATGCACTCATCCGAATCAAAATCACGTTTGTACCCGTCCTTGCATTCACAGTTGTATGAACCCGGAGTATTGACACAAATCTCGTTGAGTTTATCGCACAATTGCTCACCATTGTCAGAGCATTCATCTACATCGACACACCCTTCATTTTCTACCATTTTATACCCGGTTCTGCAAGCAGTACAGCCAAGAGGGCCAGAAGTGGTACAGCTAGTCGCGCAACCATCAAAACAAGCTAAATAACATTGTTTTATTAGTATAAATAGAACAAATTACGTTACACGTAACTGTACTTAAAAACAGTATAGTTAATTTCCACTTTATAGCATTTTACTACTAACCTGCACATTCAATTGCTGTGTCATTCTTCGAAAATTCATAAAAATGAGCATCACACGTGCTGCATCTAACACCCGCGTATCCTTTTTGACATTCACATTTACCCGTTCCTTGTCGTGTGCCGTCACCCTTAAAAAGGCAATAATAACAAGTCAAAAACAAGAAAAGGTAAAAACTCTATATTAAAAAACTTACACTGCACTTTCCTCGTTTAAAGCATGTCAACCCCTTTAAACTGCCAGGACAAGGCGAACAATTATGTCCAAAATGTCCTTGAGGACAACATTTTTTAAGTTCATTTATACATACAAAATCAAACAAATCTGGATCAGACTCTTGGTGTTTGAAGAACCATTTTTCTAGTACTTCTTCACTATCTTCAGCCATATTATTACACTAAAAATCAATATTAAATAAAAAGTTCAATAGACTTACGCGGAATTTAAGCTCTTTGAGGTCGGAAAACTCTTCCAAACTTTCTAAATGCTCTTTGTGGCACACGTACTCCATAATTTCAACAAAACGAGTCTCACTAAAACTTACTCATATAAGCAAAAAGAGAAAAATAAATAGAGCTATTGCAAACAAGTAGCTTTAATTTTCGTAACAACGTATATGACTTTATTATTAATTACCTTGTTTTAAATTTTCCTAGTTTTCTTTCTTCCCAGTCAGTGTTACCACCAGCAAAGTGTTGATTTTCTGTCTTTTTAAGACCCTGAAATTAATAGGTTAACGTTTCAATACCACCTTAATAATAAAATATCAATTAAAACCAAACTTACACTTTTAAATGTCTCTACCATAAATTTACAATATCCGCATGGATCATCGGCTTTTGCGGCGTTTCCTAATACCAAAAAGGCCGTCACGACCAAAACCAGTAGATAAACCATTGCATAACACAAAAAGACGGCTCCCAAGAAGACCTTAAATACAAAGTTAACCTTATTTCAAACCAAATTAACTAAAACACTGTCAGCGCAAATCGCAACGTATAAAAGCGCACGAAACGATATAACACATCTCGAGAGTCCTGTTGGAAATTGTCTTGAAGAGATTTTTGTTGGAAAATGCAGAATGCCACAATATTTAACCAGCTTGTTTTCGTTGTGGGATTTACAAAGTATAAACGTTACGATTTCACTGTGATTTAATAATAATTTAATTTCGTGTAATAAATTAATTAATTAAAAAGAAACACCACTACATGTGTTGATCAATTTTTTCCATTTTTTAATTCTTGAACTTTCATAACTTTGGCAAAGCGACTTTATTTTAAAACTAGCGCTGAGTCTGAATCAATATGTTTGATAAGATAAATGTCATTTGTTTGACTTGGAATACTAAAAAGGGGAGTGTTGACTTACAAAGTAAAACTGAAAGGTTAATTCAAAAAATGGGCTTGTACCGAATTGAGCATTAAAAAAAGTATGCTACAATTTAGATATAAATTCATTGTCAAAGCATTGATCAAGTACATCTTCATTATATTGATAATTTTTTTCTTTGTAATATACAGTAAGTTTATTAAGTTTAATATTTTCTAATTTTTTTTATTTTCTGAACATGTGTCATTGTTTTTGCAGTACGACGTGAATTTATACCAGACAATTTTGATTTTACTCCGGCTGGTATGATAAGCCCGCCAAATGTCAATTACAAATCACACATTAAGTTTAAAGATTTACATAAAGAATATAAGTTTGCTAACGCTCAGTGTTATGGAAGAATTATAATAGCTATAATTTGTGGCCCACATGATATTCAGTATAGAGAAGCTGCTAGAAAAACATGGCTACAGGTAAAATTAAATTTAGCTTTTATGACTTTAGCCTAGTGTACAGGAAAAGATTCCACGGGAACTTTTCTGGAAAAAACGCACAATAGGTTTATGCCTACAGTTTTCACAAAAACAAAAATTTTATTTCATGAAATTATAGAATATACCTTCTGATGTTACATACAAGTTTATAATTGGTTCAACAACGGATGGTTATACGGAACATCTACTACAAAACGAATTTTTTTTGCATCACGATATCGTTCGATATGACTTACACGATAATTACAATTATTTAGTCTTGAAGTCATACGTGTCCTTTGATTACACAATCAAAATGTGTAAAAATTTTACGCATTTTATTAAAATAGATGTAGATGTGTACCCAATCGTGGATTTGTTATTAGAAGAGGCTAGGAAGACGTGGTATAACGACGTAGTGTTAATGGGTGAGATAAAAGAGAATACCCCGATTTTCAGATGGCCTGATAAAAAGTTAGTTATTTTAGTCATATTATTGTTTTTTATTCATATGCAAATATTATTACATCTTATCAATATAGCAAAAAATTATTTTTTATTTTGAATTTAAAAAGCCATGTCTCTTCTGAATGGTATACATGGAAAACAAAAAATGTTTTTTTTTTAATCTCTAATGCCATAGTTTAATTTATACGCAATTTTTTTGTAGTTACATTTTATCTCGTGATATAGCATCCGACATAGTACCGTCTTTTTGTCGCGGAGCTACATATATTTACACAAAAGCAGCATTAACAAAAGTTTTGGAATATACGTCAACCGTGAACATATTCCGTGCTGAAGATGTTTTATTTAATGGTGTCGTAAGTGCTATTGCTGGAGTGCAACAAAGAAACATAAATGGTCTTTGTGCAAATTTAGTAGGTCAAACTTACTTTTTTTAAAATTTTTTACTAAACATTTCTTCTTCTAGTTTTTAATTTTTGTTTTTTAATGCTACCAACTTAAAAAATGGTTTTAGAAAAAAACTTGTACAATGTCACACCACTCACATATTGTGAACTTACACCAGCACAACTATATTCCTACTAGTAAAGCATAAAATTGTTTCTACGTCTGAACATTTAATGAAGATTTTGTCACACAAGGGTTTAAACATACTACATAAAATAATAAACCATTTGTTTGTATTTGTAACAAGGTTGAATCAGCGAACAGGGGTAACTGCCGAGGGCAGAAGATAATCCGCATCGCCTTCTGTGAAATTTGACAAAAATTTATGTTATTATAATGCAATTACCTGATATTAAACTCAAATCCAAAAAAAAAAAAACAGTTTATATAAAACGGTGAAACAAAGATAACTAACTACATATTATAGGGTTACACTATAGAAATGTTTGTCATCCGGGTCGCTTGCTTGTTGATACTAGTGGTTGGAGCTACATCTGGAACAGCGGTCGTGTGCCCAAAGGTTCAGAAAGCGGTGGGAAAGCTGATTTCTGCTGACTTTAGTGCTGATATATTTAATTCAGCATGCAACTTAATTCTTAACGGTACCAAACAAGGAACTTCCTTTAGCAACCTTGCTACAAGTAAGTACTCTTTGCTAAGAGTTATGTTACAAAAATTTGTTAACGTTATTAAATATTAGGGAGAAATTCCCGTTTGGCTTAGAACTTTCAGGAAAATCCGATATATAAGGGACGAGCTAAATACATCGGATGGAAAGTATCAGACAAAAAATGCGGTTTCTTGTCTGATATTTTCGTCTCTCATTTTCCCGCTATCTTTTTTTTCCTCTCGTTGCCGACGGCAGTTAGAGAAAAAAAAAGATCGTTGAAAAAAATATCAGACAAGGAATTGCATTTTTTGTCTGATACTTTCCATCCGATGTATTTAGCTCGTCCCTTATATTCAATTGCATGAATTAGTTCCTTAAATTAAATTTTAATCTATAATCACATATATTTTAGGCCTTTATAACACATTGGAATCGCAAGTCTTGTCGCTTACCGCCTTCTACGGGCCTGCTATGAAGCTTTACACTGGCCTATCTGACTGGGAAGACGTACTAGACAAAGCTGTAACCCAAATTAAAAAAGTTTGCAAACCATACTACAACAACAAATTATTGAAAAACAAACCTGCTAGTATGACTGCTATGGACAAAAAGATTGCCGGTTGGATTGTGAAGAAGGTCGTTCGCGGTGCTATGCTGGATGTTAAGGGAGCTATCGAATCGTCTGACTGGAAACTGATCCTTACCGACTTGTGGACTCCAATCAGATTCGATGCCAACGGCTTCACCAAACCTTAAGCTATTTTTTTATACGTCGAACTTTATTGCCACAATAAAATTTGATTTACCAGATATTGGAAAATATTTTCGCGAATTTTATTATTAAAATTTTGCTAAAAAAAAGCTCTTTTCTGACCGTGTAGAAAACTAAGCAATGTTAAGAGGGCTTTACGTTCCGGATTCTCGAGTATCTGGCATTGTCTACAAGTCCTGCAACCTTATTTCCAAAGTATATCCTAACTCTTTGCAAGACAAAAGAAGTTGTAGCTATGGTGATAGCTATTACTGTAATGTAAGGAATAGCCGTTTTTTTAAATAGTTGATTAAAAAAGCTACATATATGCATACTTATATTTTTTATGCTACTCAAGTTTAGGCTGGGATTTTTTAAAGCATTTTGCCAGTTTCTTGAATTATAATAATTTAGCAAAAAATTAAACGAAATATTTTAAAAAATATTTTACCACAATTTTATTATCATACTTTTTCCGTTTGTTTCTTGTTTAAATTAATGCAAGTGCTTTTTTGTTCTATAATATGTTAACTAACAAATCTGTCGTTAAAATCAACATATAGTAGATAAGTTGACAAATTTTGAATATAAGAAAGATTATCTAACGGTAGTCCACACATACTACACACAACTACGAGATAACTACTTCTTTGTAACTGTAATCGTGTTGAACAAAGAGATAACTACAGGGAACAGCAGATAATCCCAACCAACTTCTGTGAAATTTAACAAAACGTTATGTTTCCAAATGCAATTATCTGATACTAAACTCAAATCCCCTACGAATAGTCGGTATAAAACGATGAAACAAAGAGAACAAACCACATATTTTACTCTGACACTACATCAATGGCCAGTATGCGGGTCGTTTGTTTGTTGCTGCTGGTGGTTGGAGCTACATCCGGCACAACGGTTGTTTGTCCGAAAATTCAAAAAGCATTCGGCAAGCTTATTTCAGCCGATTTTAGTGCCGCGATGTTTAACAGTGGATGTAACTTGATCCTAAATGGTACTCAACAAGGAACTTCTTTCAGCAAGCTTGCAACTAGTATGTATTATTTATTGGAAGTTACCGATACATAATGTTTATTCGGTTAATTTAATTACTTATTTTTGACTTAAGTGATGATTCTTATTTTCTAGGCTTTGCTGACTCTTTGGAATCGCAAGTATTGTCACTTACCGCGTTTTACGGACCCGCTATGAAGCTTTACGCCGGGTTATCAGACTGGGAGGATGTACTAGACAAAGCTGTAGCCCAAATTAAAAAAGTTTGCAAACCATACTACAACAACAAATTATTGAAGAACAAGCCTGCTACTATGGCTGCCATGGATAAAAAAATTGCCAAATGGATTGTAAAAAAAGTTGTTCGCGGTGCAATGCTGGATATTAAGGGAGCTATCCAATCGTCCGACTGGAAACTGATCCTTACCGACCTGTGGACCCCAATCAGATTTGATGCCAACGGCTTCACTAAACCTTGAGCTTTTTTATGTATACGTCAGGATTTGTTGTTGCAATAAATTATGTTGAAGTTTATGACATATTAAATAAATGATTGATGTGCAAATAACAGCAATATGTTTGTATTTTATATTTTCTAGTTTACCGAAATGACTGAAAAGATTTAAACATAAAAATTTATATAAAACAATAAGACGAACTTAATTTAATGACGTTTAACTTTAAAATTTCCATTGTTACCGTCATGTTTTTTACAAAAGCCGCTAAATGACGAGTTATTGCATTCTCTAGTACGTCAAATTACCTCAAGGCCTAATATTAAGAAATAACCTTTAGATTCAAAAACCAAACCTAATTAATTACAGAGTAGCCTGTCTTGTATTCAAATTTTATTTATTGGAAACGAGAAAAAAAATTCGAAACGATAAGACTTACAAAACCAAAAATTTTTTAAACTATGTAACTATAGTTGAAACATACCGATATTTATACCGTAGTTTATAGGTTACATTATTACTTTTCAGAAAGCGGTAATCATTAACAAAAGATGATCATTTTTACCTTCTTCCGCTGTGCCTATTATTGTAGAATACAAAAAATAAGTACATACATAATTTATAAATTATACGTGGCTGAAACTTCATTATGCATACTGTAGTAGGCTACAATAACAAATTATAATAATCTTTACACTTATACTTATGTGAATTTATTAGATTATATCTGGTCAAATGGTTTCGAATAAAACGAACTAACATGTCGGAAACACGTGGTGAGGGGGATAATCGGAAATAAGAAAACATAAACCATACGGAATATCTTGTTCATCCATAATGCAAATAGCTTTTCAATTTTTTATTTTGTTAAAATTAAAAATATGTTTTTGATCGTAACTATATAATTTCTAAAGTCGACAAAATTACGGCTTTCTATATTTTTAAATTATATGGCTTACTATACTTGTCCTTAATAACTAATTACTACGCCCAATTTTGAAATGCTCTTTCTTGTTCTCAACTTACTTTGATATTCATATTTCGTCCTCCGCTCATTATGGCCGACTTCTTTCACGTGTATTTGTCACAAGTTTTATTTCTCGTTCTGTACTGAATAAAATTGTGGGCGCGATAGCATTTTATTTATCAAAACATTTCTTTTTAGTTTATATTTTTTGTTAACACATATACTAAATGATTACGGTACATTAAAAAGAGGCTTTGTTGGGAACTATACCTTCACTTTCTAGAGAGGATTTGTTTTGTGTATCTTACGTTTTCTTTACAGTTCGTAAACTATTTTCCATTTACACCTCTTTCTACTCGACGTTTTGCCGAAACTTAAAATTTTTAAAATTTCGTGATTACGTGCTAATTTTCCACTTTTTCACATAGGAACAATCTATTGATCAGGGCGGTTCTTTTTAGAAGCTCGCCCACAATAATTGGGCCCCGCCGGCTTCATGATACGGCGCGATTAAAGCAACCACACGCACTGGTTGATTTTGATGGTTATAAAAAATTAAAGTTGTGTTATTCTTCTTGTCAGACATCTACACATTTTATGGATTATTTCAACATGTAAGTATAAAAATGTTATCAAAGCTAAGTCTTTGTTATAAAGTAATATTTATGTGTATATAGTTTAAAATATTCACTTCTCTTCACTATCAACCATATTAACGTGTACAACAGTCATTGTATGCTAAAAACATTATTTTTTAACTTTTTTTTGCAAATAATGTAATATATAATTAAATTCGTAAAACTAAGCATTAGCTGGCGGAAACGCCAGCTAATGCTTAGTCCCAGTATCATAATTCATAACCATTATTGGTAATTGTAGTAATTATGGTTTACTTCTAGTTTTTTTGTGCTATTCACGCGTAAAAGTGTAATCTATTATTTTAATGCGTTTTACTAAAGCTGAAATATACTATAAGTACTAAATTAATAACTGATGTATTGTTATTTTTAATGCGTGGTAAGATTAAAAAATATGGACTTTAACAGTTTATCTTTACTAACAATATACCACAGTACCTCATTAACAAGAAATGAGTAAATCACTAATTTGTCGGAAATATACGATTATCTTAAAGTTAGAATGACAACATAATAGTAACTTTACTGTATTACGTAAACACGTCTAGCTGAGCAACGAAAACTCTTGGACAAATAATAGGTTAATATTTTGGTCTTAAGTTGTTAAATAGACTAAAATATCGCTAAAAATAAAATACGGTTGGATAATGTCGTCATATTTGACGTCTAATTGGCTTATAAAATACATATGCCTATTTTTATATAGAATACTGAAATAGGAAACGATGACATTTAACAAACTTGTTCAATGACAATCTTATCTAACTTCTTAATAAAATTCCTTTTTGTTCATAGGACTTTAAAAATTACTTTCTGAAATTATAAAACTAAAAATTAACTCCTTATTTGTAACACACTTTCAGATGATCATTACACACATGAAACCTTATTTGTCTCTCTTTATATTGGTTCTGTTCCTTCTGCAATGCACTGATGCCAACTTTAGGTTGTGTGGCTTTAAGTTAACTACAACGTTACAGCACGTTTGCAAACATCAAGTATGTGGCGGTTATCAGGTGCAAACGCAGAAACGTAAGTGTTAAAAATTTTGTATTAGCGTGACTTGTAAGAGAAAAAACTTTTTTAAGTTTATTTCCGGATGATTCAATGTATTAGCTTCACTTCTTATTTTTGTACGGTAATTTAAAATAGAACTTACTTTAATCTTTAAATTTAAAACTTTAGGTGCCCTTAGCGACTACAACAACCCGTTTTTTCGATACCAGATTATGGGATATAAACGTCGCATTCCGCAAAAAAGAGCTGGCGTTGCTACCGAGTGCTGTCAAAAACGTTGCTCACTGGCGTATCTGCGGACATACTGTTGTGCTGGTTTTGAGTGACCTCAACTTGGCAGAGAACTTTCTCAGAAACATACGTACGCATCCGAATTCAATTTATTTTCCGTTTTTAACGTCTTCACTTTTCTTTTTTTGTAACTTAATGTTTAATCTTCAACCTGCTAATTTCAATTTCCTCGATCTCTCTTTTTCCGCATGTGTGTGCTTTTTATGTAAATATATACAAAATGTACCGCATATGAAATTTTAATAAAATCTCAAGTTTAATCTCACACAAACTTAAACTAGCAAAATTATGATCTTTATCCTTAACATGTTTCCCGTTGTAAACTGTTTAAAAACTTATTTCTTAATTTTGCACGTTTATAGGTACTTCTCATTACCTACACCATTCCCCTTATAATGCTGACCGTACTCTAATTTATTTTTATTGCTATTTTTTAGTAACAAACCGATTAAACATTATTATTGTTAAAAACACGATTGGGGTTGATGCGGATCGAGAAGTTAAGGACTGAGGAGAGAGGGAGATATGACGTTCAACTATAATATGAAAAAATAAATAGGTAAAAAGTAAAATTAAATTATCCATGTGGAGTTGAAAATCAAAAAACTGACAAAAAACAATTGCTATATGAAAGTAAGTCTGAAAAAATAAAAAAGAAATGAACAGACAAAAACAATATTTTAATAGACACAATCTCAAAATAGTTTTTGAGAAAGCAGAGTGATTTTATATAACTGTTTCAAATCATTAGTTACGTTCAAAAAAGTTTTTAAGTTTTTACTATTTTGTATTTTGTGTTTGGTTGTATTTTGTACGTATTTAAAAAATCTTAAGCTGCTGAAATAGTATAAGAGGAAAGACCAAAAATTTTCACAGTGACGACCAGCACTTCAATTTTAACAAATAAAAGTCTGCCCCCTGTTGTTATTTGCTATGCTCTATGTGCAAAAAGTAAACCCTTAAAACTAAAATTGTCAATTTGGGAACAAATTTTGTCAACGCAAAGTTTCTTTTTATCCTTGAGAACAGTAGGTAAAGTTATTAATGAAAGTTTAATATAGTTAGATGAAATATGCCCCTCGTTCTGGCAAGTTTTTGCTTCCGCAATTTGTCAAATGACTTTTAACAAACTTAGAAAGCATTTCTTGTGTATACTCTTCATTCTTTTACAAATAATTTTTTAAATTGACATTGTGCACTGTAACTCAACCGTACAACAACCATCAGTGTTTTACCGGACCGGGTCCGGTCCGGTCCGGATTTTCAAAATTGCAACATTGAAAATAACTTTTAAGCTTATGGTTTGAAGTTTTAAAAAATAAATAACTTTTGTGAAGGTCCGTCTCCTACAAGTTCCTCGCTAAACATTTGGACCGGCCGGACCGAATCGGTCTTGCTGGTCCGGGCGGTCCATTTCGGTAATAACTTGATAACCAAAGACGGACCTTCACAAAAGTTATTTATTTTTTAAAACTTCAAAGCATAAGCTAAAAAGTTATTTTCAATTTTGCATTTTTTGAAAATCCGGACCGGACCGGTCCGGCAAAACACTGACAACCATTGTTCCGTTTTTACCGCCGTATATCATTTATATCCCTAAAAACGGATTTGACTACTAATGAAGCATAAGTTAAGTGACGGTACGTACTAAGCATGCTTAATAAGTCTGCGGTTTCCTTTAAACGGATTTAAATTCAGATAATCTTTTTGGCGGATCAAAACTGTCAAAGGTCATTATGAGTCTGCTCCGGCTACATTGTATTGTCTCTATCAAACCTTTCACAAGCTTGTGCGTATTTGATTAAGTAGTAGTTCAATTCCGTTTAAACGTATTATAGTCATACATAGTAAAACGTTTCAGACTGATACAGTTTAATACAACGACCTAATCTACGTCACGTGACTTAAACGTATATATTCGCTTATTATAAAGTGAGTATATATATATATACTGGAAAATTTATTCATTGATAACTCTGAGGGTTAAGACAGTTAATTCCGTCATTAAGATCATGTTTTTTCTTTCAAAATTAAAAAGTGCAGAAAATCGACCAAAAATAGTGATCTTCACAGTATACTTTTCAATGTTTTTGGACTTTTTATTGGTGACCATCGTAGGTAAGTATTTTTTAATAGAGGCTATAAAAGTCTGATTTTGACCACTATTATTATACAACTCTGCCTTTTTACATTTACAACAGAAATCATGATGTTATTTTAGTACCGATTTTGCCTAACCACTTACTACAGATTGAGAACTCTAAGATTATACCATATTTGGACGATGCAAGGCAAGAACTTAACGTTAGCCGCAAAGATCGTCAGCTAAACCACGAAGAGTTTGCTGCCAATAACATACCATTAGCAATGTTAATGAGCTCAAAGGCGATTGCTCAGATACCAACTAGTTTGATTGTATCGCAAATTACTTATAGGTAATGTTTTGAGTACTATGAAGATAAAAAGACAACTGACATAAAAAATTTATATTTAACGTTGGTTTTCGCTAATTTTTATTCGTATTTTTTTAAATTTTCTAGAATTTTTTATATCTTTTTTTTTCAGAATTGGTTACGACATTCCGTTATTTGGTGGATTTGCTATCTTCACATTATCTTCACTGATATTTGCTTACAGTACTACATATAACATGTTATTGTTTGGTCGTGCATTCAGCGGTGTTGGATCCGGATTTGCGGCAACGTCTGGAATGGGAATGGTAGCTAACACATTTACTGATCAAAAAGCGCGAAGCAGAGCGATAGCAATTGTATTTAGTGGCATTGCTATAGGCATTCTGCTTGGACCTGTATTTGGTGGTTTACTTTATCGTATCGGCGGAATAAGGCTGCCTTTCCTTATTTTGGCTGGACTATCTTTTTTTGTTGGACTGGTTCAACTGTTTGTTTTAAAACCAAAAGTTTGTAAAATACGTCCCGAGCACACTGATTATTGGAAATTGCTTTGTGATCCGTACTTAATGCTAACAACAGTGGCAATCTTTATCAACAACTGGTCGTTTTCTGCTATTGAGCCTACCATGCCTTTGTGGATGATAGAAATGTGGAACTCAAACTCGGTTGAGCAAGGATTGGCCTTTCTACCAAGTTCATTGGCATATTTGGTGTGGACATTTGTCAACAAATACGTTGTAAAAAAACTAGGACAATGGGCATCGTGTATGGCAGGGTTCTTAATATTAGGTGCTGGTTTAATTGTTGTAAGTTTCTTTATAAGGTAAATATTATACACAATATATTTTATTTATTCTTATGTACAGGGTGTCCCAAGATTTTTGCGGAAAAGTAAAAGCTTGTTTCTCGAAAAGTACCAGTCCAAATTGGACGATTCTTTTTTTAGTACACTTGAAATTGCGGGCGGATTTGGTATTGGTACTTCGTTTTTTGATATTCGGCGGATGGTCGGCGGAGGCCGGCGGAGGCTACTTTTTTGCTTTGACCAATCCAAAACCTTCATTTTTTGGTTCCTATGTCACCTGCTGATTCGTCAAAACGCTTTCCAATCAAAACATGTCTTTCCCTGCATCGGCGGACGACCGGCGGAGAAAAACGGCGAAGGCCATAACTCCGCTCAAACTCAATATTTTTTCACCGGACAAAAAATGGAAATGTTAGTTTAAGCTTTTTAATACATTTAATCAAGTTTACAGTTCAAAAAAATTTCATCGGCGGACGATCGGCGGAGAAAATCGGCGAAGGCCGTATCTTGGTCAATTTTTAATAGTTTTTCTTCGGGAAACAAGTAAAAATGTTCTTTTAAAGCTTTTTAATCATTTCAATTACGTTTAAAACTCAAAAAATTTCTTAAAAATATTATTTTTTTTATTTTTTTATTTAACTTTTTAAAACTATTCCGATATTTTTTATAAAAAGTTTATTAACAATAACCTATATAACAACAACGCTAACTAATGAGATTGTTCATCGTTGGTTGCTGGGTAACTCCTTTCCACACTTTGACCACCAACATCAAGACACCGTCGCAATCGCTTCGGATAGTTGCGCAAAGCTGCGCGACACATTTCCACTGAAATCTCCGCAACCACATCGCGAATTTTTTGCTTTAGTTCGCGTAACGACGCGACTTGAACACTGTATACTTTTGCCTTCACGTAACCCCAAAGGAAAAAATCCATTGGGGTTAGATCGGGCGAGTTTGCCGGCCAAACGAACGGAGGAGGAGCGCCGCGACTATCCCGACCCATCCAGCGACCCGGCAGATGGGTGTTCAAAAACTCGCGCACAACTAAGCTATGATGAGGCGGAGCCCCCTCATGCATGTACACCAAAGTAGCTAAAAAGATATAAATTAGTATTTTGCTTGTTTTTCGTACCTGAATTTGGCCACTGTAGAAGCTGTGGCAACACATCTTGCTCTAACAGCTCCAAATAACGTGCCCCGTTAATGTTTTCATCAATGAAAAAAGGCCCCACAACCCCGTTCTACCCGATGGCTGCCCACACATTCGTTTTGGGAGAATGCAGCGGCTCTGATACACACCAGTGAGGATTCTCTTTAGCCCACCACCTTGAATTTTGACGATTTAAGCGGCCATGGATATGAAACGTGGATTCATCGCTAAAAACTAGCTCTTCCAAAAACGCCTCGTTGTTTTGCAGCTGCTCAAGCATAACATTTGAATGCGATAAACGTTGTACTATGTGCCTTGGCAAGATTTCTTGCACTTTTTGAAGTTTGTATGGGTGGTACCCATCTTCGCGCAATTTCCGACTACATGTACTCTTCGAAGGTATACCCTCAAAACGGCTCAATTCTCTTACAGATATTCGCGGATTGTCGGCAATAGCATCCCCAATTCTAGCAACAACTTCAGGAGTGGCAACAAAGCTAAAGAAATGTTATTTTGTTAGTTGTGCTTACTTTGTTTTCACTTTTTCTTTTCTGAGGCAGTGGCGACGACTACGAAACTCGATAACCCAGCGTTTAATAGAATCTGCTGATGGACAGGGTGTACGAGGGCTACGGGGGTGATACACGGCCATGTACTTTCTACGAACGCTTTCAGGACTTTCCCCTAACTTAAAATACCATTCAACACATTCTCTCTTAACATCAGCACCCCAAACCATTTTTTCTTGATCAAAGAGTTTTAAAAAAATAAAAATAATACCAAGTCAGAATAGTTTCAACTATGTTTTTATGGTTTTATTTGAAAAATACATGATCTCTGTCGATCGAAAGTAATCTTAACTATTTTTTAAAAACTTCACTAATTTCTGAATTCGTAACAGTTAGGTAGAGAAGGACCTTAGGGTACCAGCAACTTTTTTCCGAAGAAAAACTATTAAAAATTGACCAAGATACGGCCTTTGCCGATTTTCTCCGCCGATCGTCCGCCGGTGAAATTTTTTGAGTTTTAAACGTAATTGAAATGATTAAAAAGCTTAAAAGAACATTTTTACTTGTTTCCCGAAGAAAAACTATTAAAAATTGACCAAGATACGGCCTTCGCCGATTTTCTCCGCCGATCGTCCGCCAATGAAATTTTTTGAACTGTAAACTTGATTAAATGTATTAAAAAGCTTAAAATAACATTTCCATTTTTTGTCCGATGAAAAAATATTGAGTTTGAGCGGAGTTATGGCCTTCGCCGTTTTTCTCCGCCGGTCGTCCGCCGATGCAGGGAAAGACATGTTTTGATTGGAAAGCGTTTTGACGAATCAGCAGGTGACATAGGAACCAAAAAATGAAGGTTTTGGATTGGTCAAAGCAAAAAAGTAGCCTCCGCCGACCATCCGCCGAATATCAAAAAACGAAGTACCAATACCAAATCCGCCCGCAATTTCAAGTGTACTAAAAAAAAGAATCGTCCAATTTGGACTGGTACTTTTCGAGAAACAAGCTTTTACTTTTCCGCAAAAATCTTGGGACACCCTGTATAAACTTTAATAAAAATAATTTTTACAGATGCCTTATTCCGGTAGCTTCTACTACCTCCTAATTCCTTCCGCTTTTCTTGGAGTCGGATTTGGGCTTGTTGGTCTTAACACTTTCCCTTTAATGGGCCATATTGCTGACCTTCGTCATACGAAAATATACGGTTCAGTTTATGCAATTGCAGACGTTTCCTGCTCACTAGCATTTATTTCGGGGCCTATGGTGGGTGGTCCTACATCGCGCTATTTTGGATTTCATAAGTAAGTGCTGTATGTAATTATATCTTAAAATATGAAATTACAGTATGATGGTTGCCCTTGGAATTGTAAATATTATGTTCGCGCCACTAATGATTTTTCTGCGAAAATTGGAAGAATCAAAGAGTCAATTAACATTGACAAGTAGTAGTTCAACTTGCAATACCTTGAAAATAGAATCAATTCAAGATTCGAATTTAAAATTATAATTAGATATCAATGTAAATATATTTTATATTACATCTATTAATTAATACATCCCATGATGATTTTTGCATTTTCAAAGTTATATCTTTAAAAAATGTGTTGTTTCAAGTAAATACTCTGAAGAAACTTTATACAACGACTTTTCTTCTCTGCTATAACTTTCTTATAAATTTGAACTTAGCAAGATTTACTACGCAGCATCAATGCTTCGACTAAGCATTTGAATTTAAAACAGATATGAGAACCATAAGCCTACGTAGATATGTATGTTTGGCTTATTTGTGACAGGTTACGGACAATGACAACATAGAAACCATAAGAGCACTTATTATAGATAATGAGATACATTGAAAAAGACAACTGTAATAACGCTAATATATTTGACGTATAAAATTAAACCATTCGATATCTTGCCAATAATACTAAAGTAAACTTAAAAGTTTTGAAAATTGTTTTTTTTCTATCGACAATCTTTGACTGTTTTGCACAGAAAAAAGTCGTGGCTGGGGGACACGTATAAATACTAGATAATTAAGAATAATGTACATAACATTTTAGATCTTAGAGTTCATCCTCTCATGGTTCATACGGTTTGTGAATCGACGCCGCTGAGGTTAACCTGACGTCGGAGTTTGGCGAGCTACCGGCATCACTGCGGGGCGACTCATGTGGCGGTAAGTCGTTTACCATTAGCATTTCGCCGTGGAAAAAGTTGTAGACATAGTAACCCAAAATGGCGCCAAACATTGGTGCCACAAGCGGGACCCAGAACCAAGTGTAGTTGTTGTAACTGAAACAGTTAAGTTCTACCTTTTTAGTTTTTAATCACTTTTTTGGTTTTTTTACTTATCTTTAAAATTTAAGGAACAAATATTTCTATTTAATCATTTGATTGCAATCATTAACACTAAAAGTTCTTGAAATATAGAACAAGCATGGCTTATGATAAGATTTTTCAATAAAACATTGCGATATTAAAACAAAGTGTCATAACAATTCCATTATCATCCGTTTTTCACTACTAACATGTCAATAACTGAACTGTTCTCCTTCAAAGTTGTAAATTTATCGTTATCAATTTCTAAGCCACGCAAAAACAATTAAGATTGATTTTTTATAAACGGAAACAGCAAATTATCAAACCTTGACAAAACTTTAAGAAGCTTAATTTGCCATGTGATATTTAGATTTTAAAACTTAATTGATAAGTAATTCCGTTTGTATTACAAACTATCAGATTTAGAAGATTTTGGTTTAAAATCAATAAAATGTAATATCATTAGTACTAAGAAATGCCAATGCAAATTTTGAGTCAAAAATTCAAAAGCAACTTTAAAAACACAACATCAAAATTACCTAATCACTCCCCATCCGTAACCAACCAGTAAAGTCATGAATCGCGGCCCAAAGTCACGTGCCGGGTTCAGTGCGGCTCCGCAGTTGTGCGACCACATTGATATTACACACCATAAGCCCAGTCCAATAATGGCAGGCCGAGCTCCTTGTGGTACTTTGTTCCTGTCGTCCGTAACTGCAAGTACAACTAATGCCAACGTCGCTGTGGTGATAAGTTGATCCACAAAAGAACCAGTTATTGATAAGTAGTCCTTTGGGTATGTCGCAAAAGCGCCAGCGGTTGCATTATCTCCGGAATACTGTCTTATTCCTCCGTCGAAGTCGTTAATTGCATCTAAAATTTAAAGTATGATATATATTATAATAAACTTTTTAAAACCTTATTTAACTGTCGAATTTGGAAACCAAAATGTCAAATTTTAAAACAAATCAATGTATAAAAATAAAAAAATTACCAAAGTAAACAATAAAACAAAGTAAAGCGCCAGCAAAGAAGCCAAAGAATTGAGCAATCGTGTAGTAGATGAATCGCTTAAAATCGATCTGACCAACCCAGTAAAACAAAAGTGAAAACGCGGGATTCATGTGAGGGCCAGACAGTTGTGAGCCAAGGTAGTTCACAATCAACAGCCACAATCCCCATGAAACAGCAATTCCATACAAATGGTTCTGTTCGTGAGATGTTCGGTCTTGAATTGTTTGGACCAGATTGATCGAAGCACCACCGTACTAAAAACAAAAATGGTAAGAGTAGTACGTAAAGAACAAAACAATTACTTCCACGACCTAAACTCAACCTCATTGAAAACTTTTAAGTCTAATCCACCACCCTCCCCCATTAAACTAAAACCCATCTCGTCAAAAAAACTCACCATGAAGAACATACTGCAGAAGAACTCGCACATTACACATGCAACCAAGTGTCTGTCCACCTTCAACTTATCCGCCAGCCTAAACAATACCGGTATGTAAGGCTGTGGCTGCATAGCTGCTATGTTATTATCCGATGAAGCGCTACTCAAACTCTCTGGCAATGGATGCTTCCTAGACATAGACACTTCCGAATACAATAATTAACCTGCAAATATTTTAAAGATAAACACTGATAAAAAATACTATACCAAGAAATAATAATATGTCCAAAACAGTTAGCGATAAAACACGAAATTTACGAAAACGATAGAAAGGTCAAACAGAAAGTTTGTTTTTTAGCTTTACAATGATTTTTTAATGTCAAGAAAACTCACAAAAGCAATATAAAACCGTGCATAAAGCAATATAAAAGTTACTTGGTGATTTATCAATCAACCAGTTCGTAAAACTACCAAAATGACCCAACTCTACGTTCCAAACAAACCTGACTATTATAATTCACCTTCGTCTGCGTTTCATCAACTATTTACAATTAAATAATGAAAAACGAGAAAAATAGCATTATCTATTTTTAAGCAATCTGATCAACAAGTTAAAAATATTTTTAGTCGAAAACGTAAAATGTATTCTTGTAGGAAAAAACATTCCACCGCACACCACCGTAATCGACAATACTCGACAACTTTCACTAATAAGATGAATAACATTGATAGTCTCAAAACATAACTATTTAAAGAAGACCTTGCTGAACACAGCAGTGATAAGACAATCAGCTTACACCAATATGTAAATCGGAACCTCGTGCTTCAGATTCCACACAAAAGTCCCGCCCCAAGGCGATTGCCAAAAAAAAACTAAAACTTTTAAGAACAAATATGCAAACTTGTTCACAACAAGATCAACCAGCTCAAAAACAAAGTCACTTATCCTTACAAAAGTGTTTTTAAACAGTTCACTCTCATTAGTTAATACTCTCTGAAAAATATTTTTAACAAACGGCTTAACATTGTTTCAAGTAGTTAAAAAAAGCCGGCTAAAACCCCAAAATTCACATTGAATTTTACAAATTTCAAATTAAAATTTTGCTCGTTTTCAAAGATAAATTAAAAAACAAAAATGTAGAGATAGCAAATATATATGAATTTCACAGTAATTATTCAAGAGCCTATCATCAAAGAACAATAAATTATTAGAAAATGTAAATTTATCAAAAAATTAACTTGACTTCCTATCAAAAAGCTTAAATAATCGCCTTAACTGTCCATTAACGTTTTATAATCGAACAATGAGTTCAACAGCATCCAGAAAGAAAGACTTGTTCCATGTGGCACAACTCCATCTCTTAAAACTGAATTTTACAGATCTCATTAAAAAAATGTGTTTATTGGTACAACACAAGTCGTTGCGCTTTTTAAGAAGCATAGCTTTGTAGGTTGGCAGCACAACATTTGGTTTATCTGAATAAAAACGTGTTGTTGTAAAAATTAGAATAGAATTTTAATATGCACCAAACCCAGACAACAACAATAACATCAGAACATCTTGCACGCGTAATCCCATAATGCACTCTGTTTGTCTTATATATTCAGCTAAAGGCGATCCCCGAATCTTTATTCCCGGCTGGATCAACACAAGCTTTACCAACATTCATCTTCCCAATTTCAACCACCCTTCGACAGAAAAAGGTAAAGAAATCCTTACCCTATGGTTACATTAATAATTTCCAAATATTTGTCTAAAAATTTCGATTACGTTAGCTTGTCTAATAAAAGTCGATCAAACGGCCATCTTACTGTAGATTTTAATTTAATCAAGTGGAAATTCAATCTTTTTCGAGCAATAAAACCAAATATTTGCGTTAAAATAGGTGTATTTTAGCTAGTATAAAATTTCAATTACTAAGATTTAGCCAGTATAAAATTCAAATTACCATAGCATTTGCCAAATTTTTTAAACATAATCCAGACCCTTTGATAGAATATTACTATTACGTTACTCCATTATGTTTCAGTCCACACCTTGTAAAAAAAGTCCAAAACCGATAAAAGTAAATTTAAAAGCCAATTCGAAAAATATATTATTTTTGTCGACGTTTTCTTCAAAAAGCTTGGTGATCAACAAACAAAAGTTTGATTAGAAACCGCTATCTTGATAAGTGTTGTAAAGCCCATCGGAAAAAGCGTTTTTCAATCTTTAAAAGTCAAAATTAAAAAGTTATATGATTCAGAAAATGAAATAGTTGATTTCACCTCATTAAAATTCTTTCCTAGCTTTATTTCACAAATTTTCTAAACATTTCTTCGGTTTTTGAATTTAAATGGCTGTCCAAACAAAATTTTACCAACAAATTATGCTTACGTAAAAAAGTAACAAACAAGCACAAACTTTATATAATATTAGCAATAATTTTTAACCTTTAAAAGACAATAAACCCTCCTTAAATAACAACAGAGACTCGTTTTTCGAATACCATCTAATCTACAATATATATCAGCGTAGCTCTTCAAGCATTATAAAAAACACAATAGAGAATACAAAACTATAGCAACAGAACGGTGTAATAGCATAGTTAACGAAAAAACAAATAACTTTAACAGCGCTAAAGTTCTAAACTGATAACAAAATTGGTTAGAAAATAAAAATTAAAAAGCCTTTAAATTAAGTAAAATGTATACTACCTAACCACCACAAATTTGAAAAGGTTAAAGCACAAAAAAGCATTGTCAAAGTTCGCAGTAATTTAAAAAATAATGTTAAACTTATCAAAAAATAAATATACAATTGTAAAACCACAAAAAATACGACATCGCGACACCCCGTACAGTTCGATTTATTACAGATATGAAAAAATAAAAACAAAAATATTTATTTAGTAGTACCTTGAAACTTAAAAACAAAATAAATAGTTCATAATACCATTAAACCATACTTAACAGCTCTGCTCCAAATACTTGTATTCAAAAACAAAATTGTCTCGCGTCCTGATGACAAATCGTTCATAGTCAAAGAACATGTAACTGCCCTAAATAGAGTAAAAACCGATTCGTATATTTAAAATAAAATATCGTCTCATTATGCGCAAAACAGCTAATTAAAAATAAACATACGCATTCATAATCAGCTGTGATGCTAGTTGGATCACATTCTCTTTGAAACCACATCAAAAACTTTTTGTGATATCTCCATGATTTACTTTTCAAAGCCCTCGCTGCCAATCGTTGAGCAAACGTACCCTAAATTAAAACACACTAATGCCATAAACGTAACAGTAATTATTATCCAAATAAAAATCTCAGTATTAAATAAACGTAAACTAACAAAACGTACTTCCATGTAATAAAATATAAAAAACAATGTTTCCAATTCCAGTTTCGCGTAATATTCCACAGTTTTCATTTCGATTGCCATTTCAGACGGATACACAACGGAAGTAGTTTTAGCCGGACTGTACGCCAAAAAGTTCTTGGCCCGAAGATGATCAACAGGCGTAGGAACATTCTTAACTGCATTTTCAATCTGTTTCATCACATTCAGTTGGCTTTCTGTTTTCTCCGTTTGATTAATACCATATGCAGCAAATGGATTGATCTGAATCTAAAAAAACGAGTTGTAGTATAGTTCAAAGCCCTGCCTATTGGACACTACAATATTTTACTTACAGAAGCAGTTTCAGGTTCCGTCTCAGTTTTTTGTTGCAAGAACAGCTCCTCAGTCAAACCTGTTGGATAACTTATACCAAAGTTTGTCGGCGACATAGGTCGTGCCAAATGATCTAAAAAACGCAAATTGTACAAAATCTTTTCTAAAACTCTAAAAGTGCAAACCCAGTACCATGCCTAAAAAGCCGCCAAAAAATGACAAAACCATACCCAATGGTGCAGTGTAAGAATTAAAGAAAGAGTCATGGTTGTTGTACTCTTGAGTAAACGGTGTGTCATCTTTCGTCCTAATTTCAATTAAATCGTCCTGCCTTTTCAGCGAGATATCTTTTTTATTTTCATCGCCCGCAGCAGAACTAGGAGATAAATCAGGCGTGACTTCCAATCCAGGCAGTTCAAGTTTGTTGTATGGTACAAATTTTGTCTTCTCAACCTCTTGCGCTACTTTTTTCGTTTGTAATCTGAAAACAGCTGATTTTATTCTCTAAATATATGTCATGTTTATAGAGAATAAAAATTTAAAAATTATAAAAAAAATTTGAATTGATCTATTCATTGACTAACGTTTCAACTTAAAAGTATACAAAAATAAACTTACGCCGCCGCAGAACCAGCCACCTTGACCACAGCATTGTACTTCATTTGAGGTACTGTTGGAAGCGAAGATCCTGCCGTCTTCATCTGATTCTCAGACAATGAGCTAAAAAATTAAATAACAAAAACGTGGTATTAAACTAGAACAAAAGGTGTGTTAAAATAGCAGCAAAAACCTTACTGATGAGATCCAAAAGACGATCTCGGAGTTGTCGGAATGTGAGGCATCGACGCAGTCATAAGCTTTGGAGATGCTTTCGGAATCTCCTTTGGTTTCGTTTTGTCCAAATCTAAGACTGATTTAGCAACTAAAATGTTATTGTGGCAAAAGTAATATAAAAATTTTAAAAATAAGCATTTGGACGTCAACAATTACGTAACGTTAAAAGCATACCTTTTTCATCGTCGGTGGGAGACAGATTCACCTTTCCAAGCTGATCAATATACTCAGTTAAGCACAAGTCCTCGTAAATACTGTCCAATTCAATATCCAATGGATCTTCAGTCGCGTCGGGACCAAGACCTTCAACGTACACATCTAAAGATTCCATCAGCTGATTCTTCACATCTTCGTATCGAATTTTCTCGTTCAGCAACAATCTCATGCATACTTCCAAGTTGTCCATGTGAAAATTAACACGCTCCAAGTGTTTTTTTAAAGTTTCGGTCTAAAACTTAATTTACATTTTACAATTTAAACCGGCGCTAGGACAAATGCGGTTTTTGGACATTTGCGGATCTGCGGTTTTTAGACACTTGCGGATCTTCGGTTTTTGGACACTTGCGGATTTTGGACATTTGCGGATTTTTTAAAGGTTTTTTTATTTTTTAGTTAATTTAGTTGTATTATGTTACTAAATTGTACTAAAGTTTGAATTGGTACGGTTTTAACATAACAGTACCTTTTTGGGCTTTTAGTAATATTTAGTACCAAAAATATAAAAACAGTACCGATTAAAAATTTAGTACTATTTAACATTAAGAAATATTAAGACAGTGCCAATTTAAACTTTAGTACCATTTAGTACCATACTACAACTAAATTAAATAAAAAGTAAAAAAAACCCCTTTAAAAAATCCGCAAATGTCCAAAATCCGCAAGTGTCCAAAAACCGAAGGTCCGCAAGTGTCTAAAAACCCCAGATCCGCAAATGTCCAAAAACCGCATTTGTCCTAGCGCCTTTAAACCAATTGTTACAAATACACAGTATAAGCATTTTCGGTCTTTACGCAAACAAAATTAACATTATATATACCTTACCTCGTCTTCCTGGCTATTCAGTTTCTTATTTCCTTTGTTTTTGTTCTTTTTTTTCTTGTCACTCACAGTTGAATTGGCCAATTCCAACTTTGATTCTGTTTTGTCAATTTCATCTTGAATACATCTAATTTTTGCCTATAAAAAAGCAAATTAACTAGAACGTTTTTACTTACTTTCAACCAATCAACCACCTCCACTTTCTCTTTCTCCTTCGGATCAACCTTCTCTTCGATTGACAGACCAATCTTGCTGTGAGGCTTGGTTTTGTTTTCCCTCTCAATGTCCTTGAACAGCTCCATTTTTGTTTCAATCAGCCTTCTGTAAGTGTTCAACTTTTCTTTATCCTAAAAAATATTTAAAAAATTAAACCAGAACAAATGCATTATAATATCAAACACTAACTAAAACAACAAACAAAACTAAAAGATAAAAAGTCATTATATTAACATACCTTGATCTCGTTAGATCCTTGCCAGTTTTTAACCTGGTCCCGCAGCCTTTGCAATTTCTTTATTTCCTTCTTTAGATCTTCTTGACATTTTTCCTTCATGTTTTCACCATTAGCCTCGTGCATCTTCTGAATCATGTCTTCAAACAGTTCCAATCCTTCATCTATCTATAATAATATAAAAAACTTAAAAAAAGTTCACAAAAATATTTCAAGCAACATCAAATAATAGTTTTAACTCACAAAAAAGTACCCAATAAAGCATAAAATATTAGTTAAAACAATATTAAAATCATTTAACCTTAAAAACAAGAAGTTCTTACCTTTTTGAAACATTTGTCTATCTCCACCATCAATTTCCGCTTTTCAGCAGCCATTTTTTAAAAGTTCTAACTAAAAATTAAAGCTTTACCTAAAAAACCTGCAATGGCAAAACAAAACCAGAAATTTGATAATAAAAACAGTTTTAAAACTGGAGGAAAAGTTGTTTTCAAATTTTGAGAAATTGTTGTTTGAGTTCACGGCTTGCGTCCGAATTGGCGCGTTCTGTGGCGAAATTTTATACGTACTTAGGTAAAAAACATTGATTCTGCAAAAAAGTTAGCATGATATTTAAAAAAAAATTTCTTATGAATTTGTAAGGCGTTTGCAGTGTTTTCTTGTTAATTTTGATATTTTGCTTTAGGAAAAAATCAATTTAAAACTTTTTTAATATAATGCGCTTTGTTTTTCATTTTACTAAAATGATACATTCATCAAATCAAATTATTTTCATGATTTGTCTCATTATAGACTACAGTTATAACTTGATGGATGGCGTAATTTTCAGAACGCAACTTTCTGCGTAAGAGAATTATCAAATGGCTACTTGTTTACTACTTTTTAGATTTTTACTTCAGTATAATACAAGTTTTATAAAGAAAATGAGAAATAAATTTTGATGTATTAAATTAGAGCAAACCTAGTGTTGTATGCATCTTTCATTTTCGTATTAGTCCTCTACATTTTATTAAATAAACTAATTATTAAATATTGTTATGCTAGTTTTAGCTTTGGTAATCTACTCGAACCGACGTATTGTAACATGATAAAAAAATTAAATTTAAACTAAAATGTCATCGTATATCAAGTTTTCAAGCGATTGTAACATTTGTTATCTTTTTTACTAAAGAACACTTACGAGACAATAACAACCGTTCACTGAAATTGATTTAATTTGTTTTTGAATCACAGTATGTTACAAAAAGAAACTTTTTTGATTGTAACAATGTAGCGAGAAGAACTACACAGCGTGTTGCGTTGCTTTACCGATTGTCTCGTTTTAATTGCCAACAAGGAAGCGGTTAAATTTTAAGAAATTGAAGTAACTTTTGTTCTTGGAAACGGAAATAACTTAAAAAATAAAAGTTTTTAAACCTTATTTCAGTAACAAACGTTTTCCCTTGAATCTTTTGAGCTTTTACAAAGACTTTAAAAATACACAATACACATTATTTTTGGCATAAAAAATACGTGATGTTCGCAACTTTTCAAAGTATTAAACTTGAAAAGCAGTGGAAAGTAATTAATTATCCTTTCATATTGATATTCCAACAGAATTACAGTTTTTTCGTGTGATTAATGATTTTACTGCAAATGAGATACAGCAAAGAATATTGAACTTACTGAACGACATGATAAAACTAGTTACATGCAATTAGAAAAAAAAGATTCATAATTTGTCTAGGTTGTATTATTGCTTAACTTTAAAGTGTATTTATTTTTTATTAGTTATTAGAATATTAACAATTTTTAAAGTAATGGATCAGTTAAAGGAATGAAAGCAACCTTTTGTTTGCGCTACTTTTTGATATTAGACATTTTTTACCTAATTGGCTTACAGTGAATGGAACGCCGCCTCAGGCTCGTTTTTTAGTCTGTACTTTTACAACTCGACAGTTTAATGTTTTGCTATAATAATTGTAGTCTCTTTGATATACAGTAATATGTAATAAAAGTTGCGATATGATTTTAAATTATTTTATATATTTGTGCTTATATTAATATTTTATGATATTAGGAAGGGGGGGGAGGTGAGGTTAAAATGTATGTTTTTTAAAGTACAAACAACAAACTTTTTTTTTAACTGAAAACCTTATAAGAGGGAAGTTCTGTAAACGGATTCTAACGCATTTTTGGAATTTTTTCTTATTTTTAATTGAGGTATTTTTTCTAAATTACTTTTTTTACCGACTAACACTGATTTTGTAATCTAATCAATCGATTGATGTATGCTCCTCCCACATATCATACACGAAGGGTTTGTTGTAAAAAACAAAATGTGCCATTAAGTATAAATAAACGTATTTCCTTTTCTTGGTTACTCTTTGTTTTTACACTTTACAGTGTTTTTGAAATTTTTCAATGTACTAACTTTTACAGAAAAGTTTTTATATGTTAAGGGTGGTGCTGCGATGTAATCTTTTTTAAATTCTTTTTATGAGTATATTACGCCAAGCGACTTATTTAGTATCTTAATACTGTTTTTCAATTAGAATTTTTGATTTTTTAGGAAAGAACCATCCGTGATGTCGGTTCAAACAGCTACGTCAGTCAGTGCGGACAACAGAATATGTAAAATGGAGGATGAATACAAAGAACAGGTACTATTTTTTATAATAACTTAAATTTAAGTAAATAACCAATTTCACAGAATTTTTTAATACTTATTTTATGTAGTGTTCAACTTTTTAGTTTAGAAAAACCGTCGAAATTTGTTTTTGGTTCGTTACATGCATAAATAACACAGCCACCCTCCAAATAATTTTTATAGGCTGCAAAAGCGTTCTACCCAAAAGGAAACGTCTTAACACCAGAACAACGAGAGTTTTACGCCGAAAATGGGTTTCTAATTGTACGAAGTCTTTTGAAAAAGCCGGAGTTGGAAAAGTATCGTAACCATTTTCAAGATGTGTGTAAAAATCCAAAAATACTGCCAATTGAGACTTTGCTAATGAACGATGTTTGCACTGCAAAAAAAACGAAAGAACGCAACGAAAATACCATCTTGAGGTTGCAAGACTTCAATAATGATCCAGTGTTTTTCTCGTATTGTCAGCATCCTGTGGTAAGTGCTTTACCGTGTAAAAAAGATAAAAATATAAAAAACTAAATAATAAAGTTTTTGAATTAAGTACCGTTTTACTGTTTGTAATGATTTTTTGTACTACAACTATGTATATTGGATGTTTACAACGTTGTAATGCTATGTACTATAAACTTTTTTTTCAGATTTTGGATATTGTTCAAGACCTAATCGGCAAAGAAAAAGAATCTAATTTAATGGCAATGCACACAATGTTAATCAACAAACCCCCAGACCTAGACAAAACCTTGTCATCTCGTCATGCCCCACATCAAGACGAATACTTTTTCCCATTTGGGTAGGTACACTTATTGATTTTTATGTTATAAACCAAACTTAATCATTTAAATAGCATAAATTAATTAAAATTAACTTTTAGACCTTCTGACTATATCACATGCGCATGGACCGCCATTGATCGTTGTACGAAAGAAAACGGTACTTTATTTGTATATCCAGGCAGTCATAAGATGCACAACCAACCTCATGGGTATCCAAATTGGGAGAAAGGCGTGAACAAGGTTTTCCAACAAATCTTAACTTTCGACACCGAAAACAACCCATCGATCGACGTGGAATGCGAGCCTGGAGACACCGTATTCTTCCATCCTAACTTGGTTCACGGCGCCGGACCAAACCTTAGTGACGGCTTCCGAAAAACGATAAGTTGTCATTATGCAAATGCCGATGAATGTAGATACATCGATGTGTCTGGAACATATCGCACTTCAGTTGCCGACGAAGTGGTGGACATGTTTAATGGGCGTTACAAAAAACTTGGAATACCTTTGGCTAGGGATTGGGGAGTAAGTGTATTTTATTATCGTTATAATTTTTTTTTAATTTTAAAATTTGTAATTATTTTTTGAAACTAGCCACAACAAAATTTTAAATATTATTATCTAATAACTGAAAAATTTTAGCATTTATGGAGGATGCGTGCCCGCCCTGTCAATGCAAAGAGAGCTCATCTATAATCACATGACGAATTGATTTACAACATATTAGACAATAATGGCATTATATTGTATATTAAACTATGATAAAAGTATTAATGATTAAAAAAGTAAAGTATTATCAGCACGCTTTTAAACTAAGTAAATTGGCCTTGTTCAATTATTAAAATCATTTTTCAACATTTTAATATTAACGTAAACTACGAAATTTATTCAAAAGTTTAATCTACAAACATGTGTCTAGGAAAAGACAAAAATAGTATATTAATATGTATAAGTAAGAAAATATTATCAGAATGCTACTGAGCTGTTGGTATATGATTATACAATGTTTATCGTGTCATCACATTAAATTTGCAAAAATATTTATAGCGCATAACACGTTTTTAACTTAAGAACAGAATTATGATAGAGTGACACAAAAAATAACAAACATAATATATACGTATGTATTCTAATAAAATGTTTTACAAAATTAATATTTCATTAGGGCATAGTATTGGATAAAAAAATCCGCTGGAAGATATAGATAGTGGATAGTAAAACGTTAGTAGACACTACTAGTATTAATAGAACTCACTACCAGTACTACTAGTATCCGCTCACGCTAAGTTACGTACAAAATTTTTAAAAACTGAGAAAGAAAGCGGTAAATACAGTAATCACGCTGGCTGAGAAAACGGTCGCAGAGTTCTGGGCAGCATCGGCACCTTGTTGAGCGGATTCTTTGGCCGATTCTAAAATATATAAATTAACATCGATACAAAAGTAGCTCTTAACACAAACTTTATATTTTTCTTTGATTCTAGAAACTGTTCTACCGCTTACAATTACTAAAAAATGCAAAATTGCTCCTCCTTTCCCTCAGGCCAATTAAGAAAAGTCTAATCACTTACCAGCCGCGTTTGAAGCAGCATCAGCAACAGCAGCTCCAGCATTTGAAGCGGTTTCTCCAGCCGAAGCAGCAGCATCAGCTACAGCGTCCTTAGCATCCGAAGCGGCATTAGCAGCGGCATCTGCAGCATTGCTCGCGGCTTGTTGAACCGCGTCCAAAGTGGCCTGGTCGTTCTTCTGGTTTGATGGTGCAGCTGAAGCCGCATCGACGGCTTCTTGAGTGAGTGCGGGAACTACACTGGCGACTTCTGTTGTGGATTCCGCAGCTGCTGGTGGTGGAGTGGATTCTTGTGCAGAAATGACAAAAGCAAAAGCCATGAAGAATACCAAAGATTTTTGCATTTTGATGGAAGTGAGAGGAAAAGCGGGAATGTCACTGAAACAAATATAAAATATATTATGTATATATATGCTACACGCATATTTCTATAAAGAAAACATTACACAATAATACACAGTAAAAAAATCTTCTAATACCAACTGAAGTAAAAGTTTGTGAAAATGTAATATATAACCTATACATATATGTACTAAAGTTTTCCTATTAGCTACATAAAAGCATAAATGGCCCTATACATGTTCAATAAATTATAAATGAACACCAAAAACTAACATAATATAACTCTAATGATGGAAACAAGTAGAACTTTTTCGGGTGTTAATGTTAATTTCCGTGTGTTTGGTGTGGTTTTATTATTTCGAGAGGTAAGTAATCCTAAAGTAATCACGCACGCTTAAGCCAATATATCCGGGTAATCCCAACCAAACATGACAGCCGGTTTTGTGTAAAACTACGTTATTGTGACAAATTGTACTCGTCTAACATTTTAATTTGTTATGAAAGTAATTAAAAGTGAGAGGGATTGTGATGAGAATAGGTCGTGCACGTTCGTCTAGCCAAACGGCCAGACAAGATATTTAAAGTAAAGATTTAAATATTTCAAAAATTTTGGATTTGTCAATTTTGAAAGTTAAAAATTCATAAACCAAAAATAAATGAAATGTTTCTCTGTAGAAACATACTACTTGAGAAAAGAAACGACTCAGCTGGAACGCTTGTTAACAATAAAAGCTGCAAAGTCAATACTTTACAAATAATATATACAATGGTCTTTCATGTTCAACTGCAAGATATTAAAGTAATAACAGTTAGTTTTTAAAATACTTCAAAACGACTTCCTATAAATCTTAAATATAAGATTTTAAAAATTTCGATTTGTTTTATCAATCCATGTTATTAAACCAAAATGCCAGCACTACACTAAGAAAATTTACATTTATATATGTTGATTAACACGGCCCAACTAAATCTGCTTAGGGACCCGGCGGGCACATTAGGTCTTATTAAAGTTGCCCACATATTTTGATGTTACTACGTTTGCCGAAAAAGATACCATTGAAGAAACTAGTTTGAGTTAACGCAAAAATTAGACCTTAATTAAGCGCTGGCTTTTTTTACATGTAGTACAAGTTTATTTTATAATATAGAAAGCTTTACTTGTCGCGTATAGGTGAACCATGGCCTAAGCCAAGTACTTTAAAAGTAAATCGAAGTGATACACTTGTAATAAAATTTGTTATCTAAAACTCATAATTGGCTAGAGCGCAAAGACTGTGTTTATACGTGTACATATATTACAAAAGCCAAAACTACTGAAACAATACAAAAATCGGATTTCCAAGTTAGTCAGACAAAAAAAGTAAAAAATGTATTGCGCATTCAAAGTAATTCATGGTGAGTAATCCGGATTACAAAGTGATGACAAAAAATAAAAGGATTTTGAGAGACACAAGGTCCTAGACCTTTGTTGGGTTTTTGACTTAAAACCTCTAAATTAAAAAATTTTTTAAAAAATATTAATATTTTTAAAAAATTTAAAATCGGTTAAAGACTTGTTGTATTTAGTGCCAATTAGCTAATTGTGCTGTAGGAGTAGGCCATAGAAAAATATTTTTATCTACCCGGGCACTACCGTCAAAATATTCGCGAACAAACTGACTCGACATTTTATACGCAAGCGAATGTGTAAAACGAGCAAAAAAAGCGCACGATAATATTTCGTTTTTATTGTTTTAAACGAACGGTTAATGCGTTTAAGTCATCACAATTACAAGACCAGTTTAATCAGGTTTGTTGAACAACACGCTAAAATAATTGCTGGTGAAGTGATGCGAACGGGTCCGTTTATAATATATACACAAGAAAATATAAATAGTCATAAAACAAAAGGGAACCGGAAAGAACTGTTTTTAGGTAGATACCAATACCAAGAACGTTAAACCTACAAGCAACGTTATAACAATCCGGACCAAAATCGTTTTTAAAACTTTGATTTCAGTATTTTTGGCCTAAATTAATTAAAATTATCGAATTTAAAAACAAAAAAAAAAAACAAGTGAATTTTAACAAAGAAGTGTGTCCACTTTACTACAAAATCAAATACATAATTTTTTTTATAAAATTTTGATGAATCAGAAGCAAAACGTATCGAATTTCATTTTTTATTAAATTTTGTCCATGTTTAATTACACTAAAAAAGGTATAGCTACCCTTAAAAATCTTTTATACTAAAAAAGTTATAATTACTCCTAAAAATCTTTAAAAAACCAAACATTATCCTACAAACCATGATTTTTGCAAAAACACATTTCACTAAAAAATAAGATTAAGCCTATCTATCGCAAATATTCAAAACTAAAATGGTTTGAGCGCGCGGCTACTCTGACCAACAATACAGGACAGAAAAACCCATAAATTTTAGTCAAATGGCTGATGACCATTTTGCACGGCTGTTGCTTTAAAATGACAGTTAAATAACGTTTCGTAAAAATGTAAGGCTTAAGAAAATCTAGTTTAAAAGATTTTCAAAAACATACTGAAGAATTTTTTCAGCTAACGCCAAAAAATCTTAATTTTTTATAAACAAACCCCACCTAACATCTATGCTTCGTATTTTAAATCTTAAAACCAACGCCCTACTCCTTCAAAATATTATAGTATTCTTAAAATATAAAGTCGTATTCAAAGCTGCAAAAGCGTGAGCAACTTTACAAACCCAACAATCTTCAAGTCATTTAAATTGACATGAAAGACTATCCATGTCACAGTAAACCGGAAGCATGTTTTGATGACAAACAATATTTGCGTATTCATGGAATGTCCCAAACGACTTCTTGCAAAATTAATAATTAATGAAAAACATAGGGCCGACATAGAAATAAGAAATGAATAGTCAACTCTATTGTTATTTTTTATCATGGTTTATTTTACAATAAGACTTACTGTAGTATACAGTTTCTTTATATAAAATGAGTTTTTCTGTTAATGATTACTATTAAAAAATACTCTAATTATAAATAACCTACTAAAGAGCAACCTAACACACTATTCGTTGACAGTATTTGAAAAAGCGAATGCATCCGTTGTCGCCACCTATTTTTAGGGCCAATAAAACGATGCGTTGCAACGGAGAATGGCCGGTTAGTCAGCGGAAAAAAAAACAAAAAACCGGCCGAACTGACGTGGGGCGTTTGTTTGCGACCTTAAAGATGTACCACTTCATCACATAATATTTTGTACGGTGATCCGCGGTGCGGTTGTTCTGGTTATGTTGATATATTAAACATGATATTTTCGAGTTTTTTGATGCTTTGCCATGATAAATGATAAATCCTCAATTATGATTATAAAGTATAATATAAAGATATTATATTAAAAGTGCTTAAAATACAAAATAAATTTCATCAAAATCAACTGGTTAATTACTATTTTATAATTAATATGAGTGAAAAAAAATTTAAAAAAATGAGGTTAAAATCATAAGAACATTAAAAAATCATATAGATACTTCTTCTTTTCGTCTTTGTTTGCGGCTACTATAATGTGTTTGCAAACAATATTATTTACACGCAGTTGTTCACTCGGAACTCTAGTCTACTGTTCTGTAGCTGCAAAAAAAACTAATATTTAGAAGAATGAGCAAACATATCAGCTTAAACAAGTTCACATGGTAAAAGTGTTTTGTTACACCATTTTAATTATGAATTATTTAAAAAATTAATGAAACAATAACCAAATTCAATATTATAAGAAACTTAAGTAACACAAAGTAAAAGTTAAAATCGCAAAACATGCTTACTAGCTTTATTCAACTTAGAAGTTGTCAGGCTTTGAAAAAAATAACAAATGTAAAATTGGGTTTCAGTTTTACGAGTATTATTACATATGATGTTATTGTAATTTAATATATTGGCAATAATATAGTGTTAGGTATTGTTTATTTGGATTTTAGTCGCAAAAAAGACTTTTTTTGCATCCATATTAATTTAAAAATGACTTTTTTGATCACACTCCATTGGCTTAGTGTTTTATAATAAATTTAAAATTGTGGAAAGTAAACATGGCTCTTATCAGTTATGGATTAAAATATCATAATAGCTTCGTCAAAAAGTGCAAAAGATTCTTAGTTCAGCGCGAACCTGGACTTCTACTCGGCTTTTACCCAGCTATAACCTAACATACAATCATGCATATTTATAAAAATTTACTATTTGTCACCTTCTATATATTAGCTGTTTTTTGTTGTTCACAAAAGTTATATGATTACATTTCAAAAACCAGAACTTACGATTTTAAATCTTCTGTCATATTTTTGGATGGTTCGCTTACAATTCCTATAAAGACGCATGCAAACGTGTCTATACGATACCTTCATACGGATAATGAAGCAATGTTGGCTGAGTATACTGTACTTTCATTTTTTCAAACTTTTTACAAATAAATTCAATATTTTTAGAATTAAAGTCTATTAAAATATACAAATTGTTCCTTAATCGTTATTTTGACTGTATTAGATTAAAATTTCAGGTGCACAAATGTTACCGAGGCCCTTGTAAAAACCTTACAAACACTGTTTTGTACGTTAATTTACACAAAGGACAAACTTTGATTGAAGTATTACAGCTCAAAAACAACGCTATTGCAAATTGGGACTTTCGCTTCTCAATAATTTATGCTTTAACAGTACCAGTTTTGACAGAAGTCGGCAGACGAGAAATTGGTATATTCCCAAATGGATACTGTAACGTGATGCATAAAAGAACAAAAGATGTTGAGTATTATCATGAAGTAAAAAGTTGCGACTTTAGTAATATCTTTGGTAACGGAAAGAGTTATTTTCAACGTTTTTCTTATAGCAGCATGGTTACTTTTGCGTAAGTTGTTGAAAGTTGAGTCTAAAAAGGTTTATTAATATTTTTCAGACAAAAAGAAAAAATAATTGGAGATGAAACCTTTATTAGTGGAAACGAAACTTTTACTTACTATACTATACTAAATCCTACTGAAAAACTAACTGCAATAACTGACTTTACATTTAATTTAACAAACAGTCAAACCGATGTTATACAAAGTTACTGTCCATTTTCAAATAATGTAAAAAACTGCGCTAAAAAGTACAATCTACAATCCATTGGAACTGATTGGAAACACATTCTTGGCACTTTAAAGATGGTTAACCATACATGGAGTAGCTACAATAGTGACACTGCTAGTATGGCAGACAATAATTTAACAGATCTAAATAATGACAATCAGAGAAACATTGAAAATGAGCTTAAAAATGAAAATACAATTAAAATTGTAAAATATTGGGAAGATACAGACAAACTATTAGAAGCTTTACGTAATTTATTGGTTGAACAGTACGACAAAAAGGTAATTTAACGACATTAACGGTACACGCAGAGCCGGGCCGGGACTTTTGGTCTGGGGGCAGGGGTCCAAAAATCCGCAGGGGGACCACGTTCCAATTTTTTCGAAAATTTTTTTTGGGGGGGGGGGTACCCCCCCGTCCCGTCCCCCCCCTCGCGCCCGGCCCTGGGTACACGTCTTATATTTTTAAACGCTTATCCGTATTTTATAAAAAAAAATGTAAAAATATAAAATGCCTGTCATATAAAAGAATGTTTTCTAATATTTTTTGCAACTTCAGACAATCCACAAGCTATCGTCAATATTTTACGCCACAAATAGTGCAAATGACAGCAATGTTCAAACTTTGAAAGCAGCTGAATTATTGGTAAAAGCAATGCTGACAAAACCATTGATTGCCACTTTGTTGCTAAGAGCCGAAGAACAAGTTTTAGTACGACCAAACCAATGGGGATATTTGTACAATTTGATCAAAATTCAACGAGAAAAAGACTGGAAGGTACTTTAAGACAACATTTAAGATTAGCAGCATAACGCCAATTTTAGTTTAACGAATTTTGGGTAACAATGCGCAACTTTCACGTGTTTCGGCCAAACTATCTGTACCTAGCACAACACGGCGATGCGTTTGCTATAAGAAAATTATTGGGAGGTAAGTTGACAATCCGTATTTTATAAAAACAAATATAATCAGTCGATTCTAACGCTCTTTTTTAATTTATTGTAAGTTATTAATGGAACAAGTGTTTACATAACCACCAAATATTACACTGCTAATACATATGGATTTATGTTAGAACTACAAACTAATCGAGTTATTGAAGAATTGGCCAATATTGTGTGCGAAAATAAAAATTGTTCTTTCAATAGTATTCTAAATCAAGATAACATTAATCTTTGTGTTAAAAAAGTAAGCTTTAATATATGTTACAAACAGAATTGTCAATGTTGCAATATACGTAACCAATTATAACTAAAATTAAAAACCTGATGCATATTTAAAACGAGTTATATCGCATATTATTTAAGGTAAACACAGTATCTTCTACAAAATCTTTTAAAATGCCGTTACAGTCAGGGTCAGTGTTGCATTGGAGAACGATACAAAAATTACAGATACGCCTGCATTATGATGAAGATAATATAGGAATTAATTTTATATATGAAATTAGCGACAATGTTTCAGCAATTAAAAATATTAGCCATAAGAATGTTACAGTAACTGGGGAAATCCATTTGTCACCAAAAATTATAGTCGTGGACAAGGTTGAGATGTACGTTTATATTTTTGCATTGCCGAAAGAGGGTTAATGTTAGAATTAAAGCTTTAAAAAATACATTTTTAGGGTTTACCCAAATGGATACAACAAATCGTGGCCTGGTATATGTGCTGGCAATGGCTGATATGATACTGTTACATATATACATGTTTAATTTAGACAATGTCACAACATTTCTTATAAGTATGGGTTAATATAAATAAATATTTATTGTCTAATCACACTTTTTCATATCATTCAAGGAAGGACATTTGGTCGACTCTCTTAAGACTTCGTAGATTTCGTACAATGACGTTCGCAAAGTCTTGAAAATCACATCCAAAAACGGACCATCGTTTTTAATATCATCGCACTAAAAACATTTACAAATGTTTCATTTAATTTTACTCAAATATTCTAACACCGCAAAAGCAAAACTCACCAAACCTTTAAAAATCATGCCGACAAAGTCAATGTTGCATTTTTCTACAAGATATTCCTTTAGTTCTTCTTTATTTTTCTTCTGTAAGGCTTCGTAGTTGACCATCTTTAAAACTTGGATAATAGCCCTGCATTTTACACATGTGACAAGGTCTGGCTCATCTTTTACTTCTGTAATACATTTACACTATAATATGTTTAAAAATTTTAACATATGGACAATTCATCACCAAACAACGTGATACAGTGCTCTCTCTATACAAGCAATCCGAAGGGACCGACATTTTGTGTTTACTATAAGGGATGTTGTCTTTACAGAGAGACTTTTTAGTGCAAATTGGCTTGACGAGGCCAAATTTCTTGTTTACTATAAGGAGAGTTGCTTATACAGATGGTTCACTATATAGAGACCACTGTACATAAAATTACCTACCAGTGTTTGTAAAATGCTCAACAATGGCTTTTGATGAGACAAAACCAAACAAGACAAATAAAAGTAAAGCAGCCTTCATATTGTAGCAGTACAAAATAAATTAAACCAAATTTTCTTCTTTCTATAACGTTATCACTAAAAGGCATTGTCTGATAAATATTCAAGGGATTATGGGGCGAAAATACAAAATTTTGAAGCACGATGAAGACAATTTATTATGATTTCCGTTATTCATCAATCATTATTCAACGTGCGCTGATAACAGAACAATGCTGCACAAAATACTTTAAACAACTTATTTCTATAATTTCCAAGCCTAAAACCACAAAAATAAAAAAAAATTTATTGAAAACACGAATCAGCCCCAAATTCTTATACATCATGATGTACTGCAGGAACGTTGGCCCCAAGTCGTACAAAATTGGCAATTACACACAGATTTCCGTAATTGTACTGTAGTTTGCATACATCTATGAGTTTGTCCGGTTGTCCAATTATGATTTTTGCCATATCGACTTTTTCCTCAAAATTGTTTGTCCACAAGCTGATGGCCACATTAAGTTCCGTCTTCACTGTTGCCGCCTCTGAAACGTAGATTCTTGATGCAATTGTTAAAACTCCCGTTACCAAAAACCCGCTAGTAATCTTTCATAAATTTAAGCATTTTTTAAAAACCTTTATCTTTTTTAAAAGTTCTATCATAAAACATTAATTTACTATAAAGTGTTTACCTTTAACAAATTTGAAAACATTGGACAGTTTTGTAAAGTTACTCTTCAACGTTTCGTATCCCGGATCGTTCTGATACGAAAGTGTTCGTCCAATAGGCTGAAAAGCATCCAAAAAGCATCGATCATTCAGTTTTACAATCTCCAACGATGGAAAAAACTCCGAAATCTTGAGAAAAACATCTTTGAATGGAGTTCTAGGCTCATTGTCCCATGGTCCCAACCAAAACGACAAAAGTTTAACACAAGGTAAAGGTGCAGATAAGTAACGTAAGAATTCGGAAGTGCCCTCGAAAGTTAACTCGTTTACATCCACTAATTCTAAGCCCGTCAAGTCTAAAGGTTTTAAAAAATTACTAAATATAACACGAAAAGACTTACACAAGCCCTTGTGAACGTTGCATACGATCAACTGATGAAACTTGCACCCTTCTAAGTATGGAATTTGATGGTATGTTCCATATGCTATGTACAATCGTGGTTTCAGAAGTTCCAACACCGGCAATGCTCCAGCCCAGATCTTTTTATGCCGCTGATGCACTTGTCGACCACATGTCCACAAAAAACGACCAGTAAAAGCTGCTGAACAAAGTCAAGTTGAATATGGCTAAGACCAATTTTAAATAAAGATTAGTAAAAGCAATAATAAAACTCTTCAAGAAACAGAAATAAAATACATAGAAACAACACTTTAACATACTTTTTTAACTAAAAAAACTTACAAAGTAAAAATTTGGTGACTCCAACCAATTCCCTTGGCTTAAACTCGCACCCCTCGTTGCAAAAAATAATGGCAACGTCCATATTCTTATAGAAAGTCAACGACAAGAACGCCTTCAAAGCTTCCACCCCCTCTACTTCGTACTTCAACGGTATTTTATTCAACTCTTGACGTCGAGCTGCAACTGATATTACGCTGATACGATCACTGTGAAACGCCAAAACCACAATTTGATTTTTGTGAACAAGCGCTGTTGCTTCCGTAAATAACTTTGATACAGCCTGCAAATAGCATGTATTCAAAATACAGAGTATAAACCTTCTTTTAACAAATTAAAGCAAAAGACACAATTTTTAGGTAATAAAAACAACTTTTTAAACATTTCGACATCTCTCAACAGAAAAATCTAAAAAAACAATAAATAAAACCTAAACAATAACATACCGCAACTCGTAAAGCTTTAACAGTCGGAATGTGATCAAAATTACGATTTGCTACCCGCATTGGCTCAACAAGAAATTGATTGATAAAATAACATGCTGCTCCCGTCGTCAACCGGGGTTTCACACCATCTTTCGGTTTCTGATCATCGTCGTCCAACCGCACACGTTTCGGATCGACACAGCAATCAATGTTGGTCTTCCGCAATCGACTGCTCATTACCTAAAATTGAGGAAAATTATATTATTCATGTCAAAAACGCGCAATTCATCGACCAAATTGCAACCAGTTAGAACAACGGTACTGAGAGTGTATAAAACAAGCCAAAAAAGCTTAACAAGACAAAAAGCTACCTAACGTACAATCTACAACAACAAATACAAGTTTCACAAGCAAAACCGACAGATTTTCCATCAAGATACTAACCCAATTGCAGGTACAATCGACTAACACATCACAACAACAACAACTTGAAACTGTTGCCGCTGTTTTCGATTTCACAAGTTGTTTATGGGTATGAAATCTTCAACAACGCGTTTCGAAATCCAAGTAAAATATTGTCGATGCAATTTTGTAAATAAACAATTGGGCGCAGCTCGCCGATACTAAATTTATACGAAGAGAATGAAATAGGTGAATTTTTCTTTCAACAACGCATAATTTTTGAGCAAAAGGATTGATTGTGAGTTTGATTTTATTTTACAAATTTAAAATTTTTTTTTTAAATATGGAGATACGATGCTCGAAGATGGAATATGGACGGTACTTTTCGAAATAATTCGACAAATTTTTATCGTTTTTGGTAGGGCAAACTAAATACAGTTGAAAGCCAAATCTCAAAATTCAAGTTTACAAACAAAAAATAAATCACGCAACAAAATCAGTGTTTATTCAAAGTAAAACAAAGTCAGTGATCATGTCGCTATTCCTTCTTTTCCTCTTCCTTCTTGTCGTCTTGTTTGGAGCCTTCTTTCTTGGAACCTTCTTTCTTCTCCTGAAATAAAAACATTAGTTTATTGGAAATTGATTTAGATTTCAAGGTGTGAATATAAATATTTTTTAAAAACTTACCTCATCCTTTTTCTCTTCATCTTTCTTCTCCTCCTCTTTCTTTTCTTCTTCTTTCTCCTCCTTCTTTTCCTCCTTCTTCTCTTCCTTCTTCTCTTCTTTCTTCTCTTCCTTCTTTTCTTCCTTCTTTTCTTCCTTTTTAGATCCTTCTTTCTTCTCCTCCTTCTTCTCCTCCTTCTTCTCTTCCTTCTTTTCCTCCTTCTTTTCTCCTTTTTTCTCTTCTTTTTTGGATCCTTCCTTCTTTTCTTTCTTAGATCCCTCCTTCTTGGAGCCTTCTTTCTTGGATCCCTCCTTCTTTTCATCCTCCTTTTCGTCTTTCTTGTCTTTGCCTTTAGCCGACTTTTTGGACTTCTTTGAGCCGTCCTTCTTATCCTTCTTCGAGCCTTCTTTCTTGGATCCTTCCTTTTCTTTCTTCGAACCCTCCTTCTTAGAGCCCTCCTTCTTCGAGCCCTCTTTCTTGGATCCTTCCTTCTGAAATTTCGAAGTTATTAATTGTTTTTGCTTTTCCGTTACAAAATATTACGTGTTCTTTTTCAAATATTTTTTATTATTTAATTAAGCCTAGAACGGGGTATGAAAAGCGGACCCGGCCTTATCTAAGCTTTGTTCAGACCCGAACCGTTCCCCGAGTCTAAGTAAGCCTAGCTTAAAACTACGAATAAGAAAGTTACCTTTTCATCGTCCTTCTTCTCTTCGTCCTTCTTTTCTTCACCTTCCTTTTTCTCCCCTTTCTTTTCTTCCTCCTTCTTTTCTTCGCCTTCCTTCTTCTCTTCCTTCTTTTCCTCCTCTTTCTTTTCTTCTTTCTTTTCCTCGGCGGGGGCTGCAGCAGCAGGAGCGGCCGCCCCAGCAGCGGGAGCAGCACCAGCGGCCGGAGCGGCACCAGCAGGAGGAGCAGCACCAGGCGGTGGAGCAGCTGCAAATTTAGCACCACTTTTGTTTGGCGCCGGCATCGGCTCTTTCTTCCTGCAATAGCAGATTATGTCGTATGATTTATACTGGGACAGAGTATAAGCATGTAACCAATTTTAAAAATATAACGATATACCAATATTTGTAGTGAGGCAGTGCTATTGTAATGCCAACAGAAACAGCAAACATAAAAAAACTAGGGTGTAGCAAAGTAGTCAGTGTTGAATTCTACGCCAAAAGTAACAGTGCAGGATCTAGTACGAGATGTACGAAAAAACTCACTTTTTGCCTCCACATTGAACAAGCGCGACAATCAAGAGCGGGATCATTAGTTGTATACCATACAACAACATAGAAAGCGACATGATGAGTCAGTAGTCAGTAGAACAGAAATGCTCGACCGTTCACCACCGTGAAACAGAGCAAATGACATCGAAATCGCTAAATTCGGGACATTTGCGGCTTTCAAGCATTTTATGCAAATTTGTGCCCTATATTGGAAAATTTCTTTTTTTTTGGAAAAAAATTTTATTTTGAAGACAATTTTTATTTTCCAATTCCAAAACCTTATTTTTGTCAAGACTTTTCTAACCAGCCGGCTGCATGTGAAGTGAAAATGTCAAGCAAATCTAATTCAAAGAGATCCAAACACTCGGCAGCATCGTCTAGTACCACCAGGAGAAGCTCCGCACGGCATCTCAGTAGCTCCAGCCAAAGGCTAAGTCGTCACAGAAGAAGTAACCGAGTCAAGTCTCATTTGGATAGTACGCCTAACGCCACTACAGTAAGGTTTTTAGTGAATATTTGAATTTTGAAGTTCTCCCGTAACGCATACAACGGCCAGTTTTTGTAAATTCTTGCTGTTTTTTAAAAAGTACTTAAAAATCTATTTATTTTAGAACCAGTCTCCATGGCCGCGCCTTCAGACAAATCAAAATAATGGTCCTCTTCACGTGTACAAAACCTCAACCTACGAAGATTTGGCTGTTCAGTGCGAAACGATCATAGACAACGCTCATGAAAAGATAGAACGACTGTTTCTTATCACTTATCTACAAAACTTTTCGGTCGATAATGATGAACAAATCTGCCTCAATTACACCGACTTTTCCAACTGTTTCAGCAGAGAGATGACTCCGTAAGTTTTTATGTTGTACAAGGTAGTACAGTTTAAAGTTATGACAAGCTTTAAAAGATACGACTGTTCAGGATAATCGTATGTATGGCTTTATAATTGTCATTTAGACCCATTTCTCCAAAAACGTACCAACCCCAGCAAACTCGGACGCCTTTCTCAACACCTACCTCATCAATCAAAGAAGGCCCTCACACTCCAACATCCGATTTTGAAACGTCGAAAAACGATGGCAAAATCACTCAACCTCCAAATACCCCAAATTTAGACTTATTTTTTGCTGCACCGTGCAATGAATGCAAAGCCAGTCCGGTGAACCGAGAAGATACGGCGAAGGCGGCGGCATTGTGCCTGTTGAAAGGAATGGGACTGTTTGGACAAAAAATGCGGCATCGTAGCCCAGCTCAAAGTTTGAGGCTTAAAAGTACACTTAATGTAATAATTTAGGGCTTTTAGAAAAAAGTTTTTAAAGCATAAAAAAAAATTTTGGGCTTAAACGAAATTTTTAAATTTAAAGTGAAATCCTATATCAATTTCACAGTCAAAAAATAAGTATAAAATACAAAAATTTTTAGGAAAACATGCTCGAAGAAGACCATACTGCCGAAGAAATAGTACCAGTAAAAAAAGAAAGTTTAGTCACATTTCCGAAAGCCTACAGAGTCAAACAACGTAAATCAGCGACAAAAAGTGACACATCAGAGGAAACTTCGAATACGACGGAAGGATCAAAATCGAAGGTGAAGTCTAACGGTAAGGACATTTACAGGAATCGAAAATGTGAAAAAAAAATTGTACTGTATTAAAATTTTTCTTTGATTTTTCAGTTTAGTAAGGATTTTTTAATTAAAAATGTTTTAGCTGCCCTGTCCGTTACGGAATTAGAAAATGGAATGGAAATTACATTGAAGTTGACTTTAAACGTTGGAGAATACAGTAAGCCTTTTAGCCCGTTTGTATAGTAATTTTTTCATAGTTAAAAAGTTTATGATATAATCATTAAAAAATGTTTCAACATTTTTTAGCGACTAAACCAGCCAACGTAGTGTTCAAATGTAGCGGTTCGGATAACCGACCGGTAGATGTCACCCTCAATGGGGTAAGTGGATGGAACGATAAACAAGGACCAATTGCGACCAAAAAAATTTGATTATGTCAAGGGTATATTTGTCTACATTGAACAAATAAAGATATTCAATTATAAAGTTGGTCAAAAAGCGATTTTATGTTTTGAACCGCGCCTGAAACTGGGTTCAATACAAATGATAGATCTCAATTTAAGTGTAAAATTAACTTGAAAATATTTAGATGTAAAGGAAAAAATTTAACAGTTTATTTTCAATAAATACCTAATATAACCTACAGTCATCTTGTTTACAGTACTCTATTTTGTTACCTTGGCCCTTTTTGGCCAAAAAGTTGCCATGTTCCAAGCACAACTTTTCTATAATCTTTTGTTCAATCTCAATGCCATTTTTGACTTGGTCTTCGGTCAGTTTTAGTGGTTCAATTTTGTCTGCTTGCACAAAAGTGACATCAGTTTTTCGGTTAGCCAGCATGTTCGCTATTACCAACGAATGACCATACTTCTTTAACGCCATTTGAGCTTTAGGAATCAACATTTCTGGATCTGTTTCTAACTGTAAATTTTGCTAGATTTAAAGGTCAATTTCCATATTTTAAATAACATTACCACGGAAAATTTTTGATGACCCGCACATTCAAAATCGTTTATAACTTAGAATTACCTTAAATGAAATGAGGAAAGCTTGTGGCACAACAGCAGTAACCAGTCGATCCAGTATCTTAGTTACCACGCTTAAACGCAGTTGTAGATCACCTTCTTTTGACTGGATCTTGTGAGTTGGCTAAAACAAAAACAAATTACAAATTTCATAAAAATAAAAATTCTAACGGTAATAAGACTAGTTCTACATCAACTTACTAATTCTTCTTTTTTGATATAGAAATCAGAAACAGCAGCAGCCAAATAAATCAACGCCCTTGGTCCGAGTTTATGAACGTGCTTGCAGATAAGCTCAATTTCATGTAGATACTGTTCTACCGTAGTAAAAGTGATGAATAATAACCTGTCACCGTACTTTTTGTTCTCCACAATTGCTTTTTCCACTTCTGGAGTAGGTGTGACTAAAATTTAATGTTTATAAATTATTAAAAAAGCAGTAACTAAAAATGAACTATCAAAAACTACTCACAAATAGGTTTGCCTTCATCGTTAATCACAAATTGTTCAAACAAATTTGGAGCGTGTCTTGAAAACGGCTTCAAACTATTTTCTCTGTAAAAGAAGATCACATTGTAACCGTGCTTCAAAAAGTACTCTGAACTTGCGGATCCTCGAGTACCTTGCGAAAAATTGTCAATAAAGCGTACTGTATTCTTCTCCAAAGGCACAATCGTTCCGCCACTCTGAAATAGTCATAATCCAGAATTTTTTGTATGATTAGTATAACTTTTGGCAGCTTTATCCTAAATATAACACAAAAAAGTAAAGAAAAAACTTACAGTGATCAAAGCTAATCGTCTTCCTTCATTGCTGGTTTTCTCAACAAATTTTTCCACACGTTCCTCCAGTAGAACGTCAACATTAGACATTAGCAACGGAGTTTTCGATAGCAACAAGTATAAAGCAAGAATGCCTGTGAAAACAAGTCCACAAAAGTTTTAAATACGCTAATCTATTTTTCCTTTTTTTGTAAACACACCAATTGTTATCACTAAATAAGCAATAAATAGTTTAAGACTGTCGGAATCCGCTTCGATGCCTTGTTATCTAAAGCAAGGTAGATTATAGCTTTTTTATAGGTTTTAAATTTGTTTTTTAAAAATACGAGTATATAAAATCAAATAACGTTAAAATTTTTAAAAAATGTAAAACTGCCAAGCACAATCAAATGATTTTCCGTCAAGAAAACGTAAAAAATTAGCTCAAATTTACAAACCAAATACAAATTTATTTAAAAAGTAAAAAAAATAAATAAAAAATAATTTTACCACATAAAAAACAAACTTACCAATACCAGAGTAGGATACACAAAATATTTAACTTATTGTTTCACATTTGTAAAATCAAAAAAAAAAATATTTTATGGAACAAAACAATCGTATAAAATGTCTTTTTAATGTCGCAAAATTTATTCCAGAAGAAAGCGCGCAGATTGCGACCTATAAAATAATGGCTTCTTTTCTTTTCCATATTTTCGGCGTATATGCGCGATGCGCATTAGAATTTTTTGCTAGTTTGGTTTTTTTGGTAAAAACCTTTATCCCGTAACCTACGCTTTATATTGAATTTTTTTTGTAAACTTTGTGACTTTTTGTTTGATATTAAAGATTCACAGTTAAATCTAGTGCTTTATACCTATCGATTTAGCTGATTATGCAGCGACCAGTTCAAGCGATGAATGGCCCAGCATCGTACCAACAAGGAAGATATCCACCTGGAGCTGCTGCAGGCGGTCAGCCCGTGCCTTCAGCTGGTCCAGGAACAGCGCGACGTGCTTACTTGCCACAACCACCTGTTAATGGACCTACAGTTGTTGGCAGTGGGCAATTTGCTGCTCGGTCTTCCCAGAATCCGCGAAAACGTCGCCGGTTTCAGGATAAAATTATCTTGCCTGAGGTTTGTTTTAGACAGTTTCAATGTTACCGTATTAGTTTCCAGAGAGAAAGCTGCGTTTTTTGCAACTTGATATGAAATATGTTCTCTTATTATTTTTAGGTAACAAAACTGGTGCCAGAAGTAGAAGCCTATATGCAGCTGCTTTCATTTGAACAAAAGTTGGACAAAACATTGAGCAGAAAGAAATATGACATGCAGGAAGCGTTGAAACGCCCTATGAAGACACAACACAAGCTCAGAATTTATGTTTCTCATTCTTTTTTACCTGGTACTGAACCTGAAGTAGGTTTTTATTGATTTCTTTGGAATTTAGGTATTTCAATTAGATGCGCATAATTAATGTTATTTGTTTGGTACAACCTCATCAAGATGTTATTTTTATAAATAAATAATTAATATTTTAGAAAGAAGGTGAAGAAGGCACAGTACCAATGTGGGAGCTGAGAGTCGAAGGCAGGCTGATTGATGAACATTCGGAAAAGAGTGGTACTACTCCAAGTAGTACTACAACAGCTACTAAAGGTTATAAACGTAAATTCAGTTCGTTTTTTAAGTCCTTGGTAATTGAGTTAGATAAGGATATCTACGGGCCTGATAATCACTTGGTTGAATGGCATCGAACTCCTACTACTAATGAAACTGATGGATTTCAGGTAATAAATTTGATTTTGAAATATTCTAATTTTAGGTAACACATAACTGTAATTTGTGATAACCAGTTTGTTTTGAATTCAACTATAACATCATTTTAGGTGAAGCGACCAGGTGACCGAGATGTAGCTTGCACTATACTGCTTTTGCTGGACTACAATCCAATGAAGTTCAAGTTGGCTCCAAAGCTAGCCAAGCTTCTTGGTGTTGCGATGGAAAGTCGGCCAAAGATTATCGAATTGCTATGGCAATACATTAAAGCTCACAAGCTTCAAGATGCGGCTGATAGAGATGTTATTAATTGTGATTCGTATCTGGAACCAATATTTGGTACCAAGAGAATGAGATTTATGGAGATACCACAAAGATTGACCCATCTTTTGCATCAGCCAGACCCACTGGTACTCACACATACTATAAGGTACAACAGCGGAGAAAAAAATACATGTTGTTATGACATTGATGTGGAGATGGATGATCCAGTTAAGAATCAGATGCAAAACTTTTTACAGAATCATCAAAACATGCCGGATATTGGGGTATTGGATCAGCGAGTGAGTTATTGTGGAGAAAAGTGTTTTTTGACATTTTGATTTGAATTAGTTATTTTTTATTACGTTTTTTAGATTTACGACATTGTTGAACAAATCAATGAATGGAAAACAAGACGTGACTTTTATGCTGGATTTGCTGATGATCCGAAATCGTTTATTCAAAAATGGTTGGCTTCACAGAGCAGAGATTTAAAGGTATGTACTTTCAAAAATGTTTTGTATCTATAAGGATAGGTTTTAAGAAGTTGTTAAAAGTATAATTTTTGAAGTATTATTGAACTACATTTTTAATACATATTTCCTTATAGACTTTGAATGAACAATCGTCAGAATACGAGCTGGAAAGACGGGCTGACTTCTTCTATCAGCCTCATGTTCAGGAAGGAGTGTTCAGGTATTTGTACGGTAAAGTGCAGCAACGTCGTCAAGAGATTGAAAATATGCTTGGTGTAAAGTAAACTTGGCATAACTTCCGTTTCTTTGAGATATCAAAATAAGATCTTCAGATGCATCTTAATTATTAACGATTACTTTTATTGGCTTTGTATTTTAAGCAGAAAGGTTTTTTTTTCATGTAAGGTAGACTTATTTGATTACTTATTAACTAATAAATATACTGTATACATCCTTAAAGTGCAAAATTTGAATTTGGTATGCCTGCTTTATATGATATATCAGCGTAAACAAAATTCTGGCTGTATGAGGTATTAGAACATCAAAAAAATTGTAGTGCGTTCCAACAAAGGCATTCGCTTGATTCTTAATTGTAGCATTACTTGTTAAATTCTCGTTCAATTCTTATTAAAACAAAACCTACAAATACGACACGAAAGCTACAATAACTCGCTCTTATGATTCGACAGACGTTACTTTATTATTCTTGTTACAGTTTGGGTTTATCTAATTGCACATGGCTCTACCAATGGAATACTATTGCAATGTTACGCTGCAATTTCAAAATAAATATTTTTTATTGTATGAAGGATTTTCTGCAATTTGTGCTTTGCCCGTTATGTTTTTATTAATGTTTATTGTTATTTGTGGAATGACACCATTGGCACATAAAAATTTTAAGGTACTAATTTTCAAAAAGTGCATAAATAGTATTCTTTAAAACAAAATTTTTGTAATGAAAATATGTTTGACATTACAAAAATTGTAATGACAAGCATTAAAATTGCTAAAAAGGTTAAAAAATAGAATATTAGTTTACTAATACTAATATATAAAGTAAATTCAGATTCTAATGCTTAACGTATTCGTGGCTATCATTATTCACGTTACATCGCACTTTGTTGGCAACTTTCGAACTTTTATGTACCATCAATTTTGGCCAGGCAACTGTAATGTTGTTTTAACAAATAAGTGGTGCTATATAATGCGATGGCCGGAAACTTGGACCATTACAACACTATCTTTGTTACATTTTTGTACACTCATTGAACGCCTAATGGCTACAAATTTTAAGCATGCATACGAGGATTACGGAACTTTCTTGGGCGTCGTCATGACGGTTTTAGTTGTAAGAAAAGGCTTCAATTTTTTTAGAAAATCAAAAAATTAAAATAACAAAAAAATTTTAAAAAAGTTTTTAGTGGCTTTCAACAATAATAATAAACTCGTATTCTCACAATATGTTTAACGAAAACTTCACTCTGGTGCACTCTTACTGTAATGGAATAACTGGAAATAACAGTAAACGCGTCAATTTTTTGTTAAAAATACTTTTGGGTTTAACTGCCATAGTCACTTTTGCCGAATACCTGCTCGCTAAGAGAAACAAATTTTCTAAGTAAGTTAAGGCCACTTATTAAAAAATTTTTTTAACTGATAAAAATTAGTTAGAACTACCTGTTTTTAATTAATAAAATGGTAAAAATTTTTTAGAATTTACGTAAATTACACGTTAAGTCGCGCTTATCAAGAAGGTGAAAACTATCTGACGTTACATCTTATGAAGCCTTTAACATTCATATTTACTGTATCCTTTTGCTTACTTTTAAGCACGTTGATATACGTAACATCGTATTTAAAATATAATGATGATCCAATTTACTTTATGTGTTGGATGTTGACTTCTCATAACGTAAGTTTAGCCATAAAAGCAGAGTATTTTTGGCTTAACACGAATTGTATTGTATTCACAAACGTTTAGGCTCAGAATAAAAGACAGTACGCTTTAGTCAAAACTATGAACCATTTTTTACAAAATGGTAAGCTGGTGTTGTTTTAGGTATTAATCATAGCGATTGGTATATCATTAGTTGTGTTTATAAACCGGGCAAAGTGGATGCGCGAACAAAAAGCCTTGTATGATTTAAAATTGCGGCCACACGAGCAGTCCGGTTTATATTTTGAGCAACTTCAGCGACAGTTACAATAATACCATGCATATTGTGATTGTGTGATGTCATTTGGAGAAAATGTATTGTTTTCGTAATAAATCAAATTCGAATAACTACGCAATTTGTATCGATTGAATTAGTCTCGTATCGGAAGTAATTAAGAAAATGGCTAACTTTCACTCAAATAGATTAGAAGGCGGGATTTGTGGTCTACTAGGATCTTACACATAGGACGAAGCTCATAAGATAGCAATTTGAGACATTTTGCTTGTAGTAGTTTGGAGCCTTTCGTTGGGGCTGGGCAACAAACACTGCTTTAGGAGGGGAAGGGGCAAGCTAACGCAACATGGAGAGTAGCTGAAGACGTCCAGCTACCACGTATTCTGTCTGCTTTTTTCTGATTTCTTTAAAGAAATAGGTGTTATATTTACAGATACACCTTTGTATTCTTCGATTCTTCTGTCCGTGACCTGATTACTTCTCTTTTCTTACAGTTCACAAAAATTTTCAGTGGAACTTGTGCCACATTTTGGGACCAGAAAATGCAGACCATCTTTGTGACCGCCTTATTAGTGTTGTTAGCTGTGTTCTTGAACAGCGCAATTGCTCAATCCGACAATACAGTAGAGTACGACGACTTTGAAGATACGGTAAACAAAAGAGCCCAATACGCCGGACCGTTCGTTCGATTTGGCAAACGAAGCATGCAACGGACTTTGAGGAATGTGAGTTTAGGAATTTTGGTGCTACTGAGTTTCAAAAAAGTTATTCAGGTAAAATTTTAATATTTTTAAAAATTTGTATATGAAATTAAAAAAAAATTTAGTCCCCGATTATGGACCCTCTGATTCGTTTTGGCAAACGAGCTGATGGCATGGAAAGTAAACGTCCATCTCATTCACCGTTGATTAGGTTTGGCAAAAGAGCCGCCTTTCGATCAGCACCGCACATCCGTTTCGGCAAACGCTCAGACGAGGACGCGGTATTTGAATACTAAAGGTAAGACTCTTCGTTATCAAAAGCCAAAAGTTACAAATTTATGATAATTTTCGTTTTTTAAAAATTGTACTTCCAGACCATTTTGATTGACTTCTGAGCCAGCCCGACCACATACGATCTCTATTATGTCTTGAGTTTATTTGAATAAATTTCATTTTGAATACTGTTAGTTTTCACATTAAATATCTGAATTTCACAATAAATAATTTCAATTTTAAAATAAAACTACAAAAAACAAAATTTGTTTACAGTACAGAAGTAAATATTAGGAAAATTGTTGAAAGAGTTACAGTAGATCAAGTGTTGATTACAAATAAAGCTTCATATTAAGGACTTGGTCCGCATGGCATAATATTCACATGGTAATTGGCCAGCCAATCCTTGAGAACCGTATAGTACCAACAAAGCCATACTTTCGGTTTCGAATTGGGCCATGTGCTGAAAAATTAAAAAATTTAAAAGTTAAAAAAATAATTTTTTATTCACAATTTTTTATATTACACATGAAAAATGAAGTTACCTCAAAAGGAGTACAAAGCAACATCAAACTGCACAATCTGTTTGATGCTGATAATGGATCTGACTTGTATGCCTGGCATACCACTTCACTTAATACTGAGCGGTAAAAATTTTGAGCCTCTCTTACTGTACGATTACCTTCTGGACTTAAACTTGGCGCTAAAAATTAAAAATTAATTACTTTTTTTAAGTTTTGACAAATTAGACTAAAAACTCAATAACTTACAAGGACTAAACAATAAAATCAGTCTGAGCAAAGCAAATTCTCCTTCTGTAACTTGTAACTCGTACGAGGGCTTGGCGACTTCGTCATACAACCATTCACAAGATTTGCGTAGGTTTACTTGAACACTAAAAATTATAATGTTGCAAACTTGACAGTATAGAAGTCAACTAAGAAATTTGAACAAAAAAATTTTTTAAAAATTTTAAACAATCTTATGTAGAAATTTAAAGAAATATCAGACTACGAGAGAAAAAGTGGCCCAGGCAGGAGTCGAAACCTGCATCCTTCGTTTACCGGACGAATGCTCTACCTATTAAGCTACCGGGGCTCCTTCTCTAAAAGCCTTAATCTCGATCAGTTTCTTATCTATCTCAGTTGCTTTTTATATTGTTTTATCCGAATATTTAATCGGAATATTCGACACTTACTTATGATCAACAACAACTTCATTATCCTCATCCAATGATAAGTAACTTCCACCTGTCATTAAAATAACTCGTTGATTTTTACAAGTATGTTTCACAGTCTTTTCGATGATCCAATGCCACCAAACTGACGTTAATCGACTAACCAGTAATTGAGTTTTGTCTTCTAATGACAGTTTTTTCAATTCTGGTATGTGAGATGTCCAGTCGGAGTAGGCGACAAACATACGAGCCCATATGCGAGGAAAACATTGGATTGGCAAAGGGTAGGTGGGTGACCAATCTAACTAAAAGTTTTTTTAGATGTAAAAACCTAATAAATTTTTTTTAAAATTCAATACGAATAAAAAAAAATTCAAAAACAAAATATAATTTACCTTGCTTCTCTGACAAACATGTCTAGGTTCAGTAAAGAAGCCGGCTTCTAAACCAACATTCAAATCAACGTTATGAAAAGGTGGTACACCAATCAAATGGTTCATTTCGTGTTCATGGTAATCAGTTACAAGCCTATCGACTAATTTGTAGTAGCGTAGTACTGATGAGGCATTTAAGTCGTATAAACCAACAATATTTCTCGTCCCCAGAGGTAGATAGTCCTGACGCAACTGAAATTTATTTATATTGTCATACTGTAAACCTGATTTTTGCGAAAAATGAACTTTTAAATTGGAAAAGACGAATGGCAAAACTTATAATTCGGACTACATATTGTTTTGAATATCTGGACAGTCGAACTTGTAGACTTGTTTTTTCGTCGCCCAAAAGGGATCTTTTTTGATTCGGTGACGTTGCGAGTTTAGAAAAGTTCAGGGCTGTAACTGTTTTTGGAACAACATTGTCAACTTTATTGGTATGGGGTGGGGGTGATGATTTTTGTGTGATATTTGAGAAATCTGGTCAAGATTGGGTGAAGTGTACAAAAAATCAAATGCTTGTACTGTTGGGAGAACTTTTCGAAAAATTCGTGTTTTTAGGTAAAAGTTAGAGCATGGTGGCGGGGAGGGTTAAGAGATAAACGAAAGGAAATGAAACTATGTTCAACTTTTTAAATTGGCCTATATAGAAATAAATTTTTTGTACAAGCTTTTAAAAAATGAATGCATTCCTTGAAAAAAAAATCTAAGATAATTTGACTATACTTTTGTCACAACATTCATCAAGTCATATTCAAATTCCAGCCTCTCAAGCCCATGCTTTGATATGAAATCACAAGCCTCATGTTTGCATTTTTCCTTTTCCAGAGAGATCACAAAGCAAAAACATCAAAGGAAACGTTGGCGACGTCATTGGATCAAAAATTAGTAAATAGTGTTACACACCCTCTCTTCGCTCTGAGAGCGCATTTTTTGGGCATTTGAACTTAATGTGGTGAGGTGTTACGAAAATCGATTGTATAGTTTGGTTTTGTGGAACAAAAATGATGTATGATATTGGGGGTACTGTAGAAAAGGGAAAAGATCATGATTATAAGAAGATTTATACAGAAACTGCTTGCCAATTCTCTTTACAGAAAGTACCCTACCAATCCTCTACGCCGTCTTCCTTAGCCCCCTACCCTCTCATTAGACCTACCTGAAAAGACTGGTGCATCTTGATAATATTAGTAGCATGCCACAAATTCAGTTGTTGATGCTCTTCAAAGTCTTGGCTGTTCTCAAGTTGTTTTTCAATTAGAGGTGGGCTCATTGAAGTTGAGGTCTCATTTCCATCATCATAATGACGGTTCTCTCTATCTTCCCCAGTACGGCGTTTTAGAACGGTGTCGCATGATCTGTCACTGTGAACCACTAAAAAATTTTATTTTTAATATTTTAAAAATGAAAATTTTTTTAATATTTAAAAAGTAAAATAATTTTTTAAAATTTTTGGTCAAATTATGTGCAACAAGATCATCCAAAACACCAATAATTTTTTTACAAAGCCCGGACTTTTTTGTTATAGTGGGTCACGTTCAGTTCTTATCAAACCTAAGTGTACGGTTTATCAGTTGGACAACTGTACGTACGTATTAAGTGCTCAAATCACGCGTTTGAAGCAGTTAATTGCAAATAAAGTATAATTGTGTATACTTACTTTTAGGATCAAGTCCAATTTCGATACATTTCCGGAAGCGACAAGCTCGGCAACAGTTTCTGTACTCTGAAATTTACTTTACTATACTATATTAATTTCATTAACCTTGTATTTTTTTAAAATGTTTGAAGTTTTTTCATTAATTTAGGTTATTAAAATATCATCAACTCAATTTCAAAACATGATAAAATTCTTTAAAAATCTTTAGAAATCCAAAAAGTTGAAAAACTCAGAAGATCGTAGAAAACGTGTGAAAGTGAAGATCAAAATAACAAAACGAGTTATAAGTTTGACTTACCATTACTGATTTTGCAATCATTTTCAAACGTACACACGTATTTTCGATTGTAGCGAACAGAACGGCGAAAAAACCCTTGCATCCGCTAAAACTATTAAAGTAAAAACATGGTACAGTAGATTCCGTAACCACAGTAACAAAAAAGTTTTAAAAAACAAAAAATGGGACTTAACAATGAACACTATATTAATATAATTTTTGTAAATTCACAAAAAAATCATGTTTTTAAAATTTTGTATGTGTTTTTTATACATACAGTCTCTTTATCAATCGTACAATAACAAATAGAATCATAAATCAGCAACGATGTACCGCTTCATCATAATTGTAACGTACCTACACGATATGCTACCGTAATGCCGTGCTGCACCTTTTTGCTCACAAACCAAACAATTCATGATTAGTGCGACGCTATACAGTTGTAGCTTGTGTTGAATGCTTAATTTTGACTGAAAATGAAGCATGTGATTTAAATTATGATTTAATTTGTAATTTGCTCAAGAAGCGATGTAATGTAATACATAAAATTTAAAAAAAAGTAAAAAATAATAGAATTAAAATTTATGTAAAGCAAAAAGTAGGCTGAAATTGAAGTCACAAAAAATATTCCTCCCCCCCCCCTTTTTTTCTCCCTCTCCGAGCCAAAAGCACCCGCTAGATTCAGCAATAATTATTAAAAAAATCGAATAGAACACAAATGTTCAAAAATCAAAAAAAAATATTTTTATGTTAAAAGAGCGGTTTTCAAGTTCATGTGGGCTTTTAAAGACGGTTTCGAAGCTCCGCCTTCGAATGAGTCGTCGCCTATGAATACCATATCAAGCGATGATGTACATAGATCAAACGTTTTCATGGTGAGAACATTTGAACTTTGTTTTTTAACATCATTGTTTTTGGATTTGGGAAAAAGTTTATGACACAACCTGTGCTACTCTAGCCCTAAACTTATTTTACGTTTTCTATCAAAATTTCATCTATAAACGTATTCTACTTCTCATAAATCCTTTTAATTAATTTTTTTCATTGCAAAATCAACTTCTCCCAACCAATAAAACCAAAAAAATCAAAAAAGATGGTTCAACAGTACAACATACAGTAACTAACCGCAATTGCGTGGATTTACCATGGTAACTTAAATAAACATAAAGTAGTTTTCAAAGGTTTGCTTTGTGCTGTGAATACTTAAACTTTGTGCGCATAGTGTAATGTGACTATTGCATTTTATTATATAATAAGCAAAATATATGATATCAACGTGGCCGAATTAGAATTAATTGGAGGTAAGAGGGGGAGAAAGGATGTAAAAAACCGCATAAATGTTAAAAAAAAGTTACACAGCTAATAACGACTATGTTTTTCCTCTCCCAGACTAACCTTTTTATTGAGTTAAACCTCCTAGTAATCTTAAATTTTAAACACAATATAGTATGCCATAGAACAATGTCTACAAAAACGCCATGTCATTGAAAACATCGCAGTGCCATAAAAATGGTTAAAAAACGGTTTTGTTTGTTGTTTTATTTAACGTCATTTCGTGTACAGTAAACAATGGATAAGACTATTACAACTAAAATTTCATTTTTACTATCTAAAATATGCAAGTATAATATCTAAATCTTTGATCATTAAACATGAGCATATGCTGAATTAAAGTTTTGAAACAAAAAATTTAAACTTTAAAATTGTGGTTTAGAATTTTACAAGAACTAAACACTTAAAATTTTTTTTAACTTTGTAGTCATCAGTTTTTTAGCTAAAATTTATTTAGCTATTTTTTAAATTCTACCTCATTCCCATCCTCTCCGTTCTAGACGACGCCCTTTAAATACTTCCTTATCTCAACCAATATAAAACAACCTAAAATTTCATAAATATAGCAGAACTTGTCGGCCGTTCATTATTTAACTAGTAGTTTCGATACCTAAGAACAAGCCCGAGAAAAGGAACTTGAAAAGGAATGTTATAATTGGGAACTGAGGGCCTCACGGTTTGCTCAAACGTGTTACACCTGCTGACATTAAACACTGGGCACAATCCCTCGCTTCGGTCTTTTGAGACACGAAGATATTGTTAATTACTCAGTTAAGTGTTACCGTTTCAGTAGATAACTACTTTTTGATACAAGAGTTAACTTATCGACAGTGTGACAGAGCAGGAATTGTTTATAGCAAGCCAGAGGCTATAGAGAATGTGTAACACAAACTACCAATAATGCATAGCTCAGTGTAACCTGTTATATGTGTAGCATAATTTAGTATTAAAGCAGAATGAGGAATTGTATTAAACGCTAACTCAAAAATAAGTTATCGTGAGTTTAATAGCAGTTCTAGTACAACGCTAAACCAGTACAACAAGACAATCTTGTTCTTAAACGTTTTGCGTTTGAACATTTGGACCTTAAATTAAAATATAGTGGCAGCTGAATTCATACATCGGTTTGAAACACAAATAATGAAAAAACATGCGTTTACGAATTATACAGTCTAGTTAAACATTTACAACTCTTTTAGAGTAACATATCTCAGCAATTTTAAAATTTTTACATCAACACTATAGCTATGTACATTCTCATCACTGTAACAGTCATTTCTCTTTAAAATTGTTATAATTTTATATTATGTATGACTTTAAGAGTGAATTTAGAAAATAAATAAAATATCTAGATCGGAAAAAATTATTATATGTAATAAAAGCCAAAATCTTGTAACTATTAGACATGAGAAACGGGCCGGCCGGGCCTTGAGCAAAATTCCGATCGGGCCGGGCCTGAAAAATGAGCCGGGCCCGACCCGTTTCCACGTAAAAAAATTTAGGCCCGGGCCGGGCCTACCACCGGGCCGGGCCGGCCCTGAGCGAACGCTATTTTTTAAAAAATCAAGAAACAATCCTTATTTCAAAAAAAAATAAATAAAAAAAGTTTTAAATTAAAAAACCACAAAACTTTTTCGAATATCATTGGCGTTCTGTCGCAAAAAGCGTCGAAAATCAGGCAATTTTAATTAAAATTGTTTTTTCAAAAAACGAGTGTGAGTCGGTGTCCAAGTGAATTTTCCAATTTAGGACAGACCTGCTCAGGTTTTTTTTGCGAAAAAAAATGAATTTCGAAATTGCCTGATTTTTGAAACAGAACGCCAATGATTTTCGAGAACGTCTTGTGGTCCTTTAAATATGACTACTTAAATTCTTTTTAAACTAATCGTACTAGGAAATTATAAAAAACTTCTAGACGTTTATGTACGTATTTATTTGACGCTGATAACAAATTGTCAAAGTACTTTTTACAATATATTTGTTGATTAAAGCTTATCATTATAACTAAATTTTTAGAATTTTTTTTTAAAATTTTGAAACCTATTAATGAATATAAAATACGCAAAAAAGAATATGAAACAACAAAAATAGTACTTTTACATTCAAGCTTAAACCAGTTTATAAGTTACCTATATTTTTTCCTTAAAGAGCTTTAAAAAATTTTATCGGTTCAAGAATTAAAAGTTTTAATTATTTATACTATAAGAGAATTAATCTGCTTAAAAGGCATATAGTTAAGTTAATTTATTTTTTATTAATTCAAAAACGCCTTCAATACATTGGTTACATTTCTTAATAAAAAATATTAAATTTAATAATCCATAATAAAATTACTTATATGTAGCCGTAGATCATACAAAACACTACATACCAAACGCTTTTTCGTAAGTTTATAGGTTGAAAGTATATTTAAATCTGGTTACTTTAATCTTTTGTTGGGCTGAACCAAACTGTATGCGTAATAAAAACGAAAAAAAAGTACCCCAGAAAAAGGTGATAGGTGTCATTGTTTAACTGTTAAATAGCAAGATTAGAAATTTAAACTAACAAGTAAGCTAATGTAAGCTAAAAACTCTTGAAAACCACTGAAAACTCTGCTTTATCGATTCTGTGCTCTGTTTTACGTTTATACCGAACTTTATTTTTGAAAATGTTGGTCAAGGTATTATGTTGTGATCTGACTTGAAAAACTAGGATTAGACTTTGATTTTAGGAAGTGGCTCCCTTAAAAAGTTCATCAATTTTTGAACAACTACCTTTGTTATAAAAAGTAACGAATACTTATTGTTCTTGTGCCTTGCTATGAAATTTTTTATAAATCAATTCAAGGTAAAGACGCCTGACGCTTGTAATCAAATTACGTTAGAATGCGGCAAATAAAGATACTTTCTTTTTTATATGTATATGTATGTGTACTAAGTTTTTTTTCTTGTAAAAACAACTAGAACAAATATTATATAAGGCATGGTATTATCAATTTTTTTTCTTTTACTTTCGTTACAAATTTTTAAAAGTTTGTTGATTCTAACAGTGTGTGTGTTATTGGTTATTAGTGATAAATTTTTATGCTTTTTAGAATGTCCGCTCCATGTGAGCATGTATATTTAGTTCAAACATCCTTAGTTGTAATCCTTAGTCAGCTTTTACTTATGCTTTGCTACGTATATCTCATAATAATATTACATAAAGCCATAAAGGATCGCTATAACCGAAACGTGCCAGCTCATTTTAACTTTAAAGTAAATTCTCAGGTACAGCCGACCAGCATGCAATGGTAATCTGACCAGTTTTAATTCTAAATACCTCTTCTTAAACTTAACTTACCCACTGTGGCAGCTTGATTTTAATCCTTGTTTTGATGAAATTTACTAAATTGTACTATTTTTCAGGTTTTAATTTACAATATAACAATTGCAATATTGTCATATTGTGCATTTTCGTTTTTCCATTTATTAATTGGGTTTGTGCATTTGTTACCACAGAAAAAAATTAAAAATTACTGTGCTGTATTACCAAACAATTCGTTATGCAAATGGCTACCCTTTCTTAAATTTTTCAGTGTTCCAATATTCAGCAGTGCGCACGTTATGTTTTTTATAGAAAGATGCACAGCTTTTGTAAACAAGAGTAGTTACGAGTTATCTATGAAAAAGATGGGATATTGCTTTACAGTTACGGCGGTCAATATTATGCCTAATTTGATTATAATTTTTAAAATTTTTGTTATATAGATGTGGCTTTAATGGTGATTATAACCTTAAATTTGTATGATATACAGTAGTCACTGGTCCTAAAAAGTTTTAGAAATTACTACAACTACACATTAACCAAAGCTTATCAAAGAAAAGAAAACGTTCGATTAATGATGACAATAGTGCCAATTTCCACCGTATTTTCTTTCGGCCATTTTGCATATCTTTTTTGTGATTTTTTAATCCGGACATTATTTCAAAAATTTGCAAAAAAGGACTCAACATTCCGTGAACTTATACTTCAAGACACTTGGCTAAGCGCATTAACGACCCTAGCTGAAGTTGTAAGTTAATTTATATTTTTGCGCGATGAGTTGCTAATAAAGTTTTTGGTTTTAACTCTATTAAACTATAAAAATATATGCATTACAGCAATTTGCAAGCCTAAACTTACTACGCTACAGTTTAACTGTAAAGGTCTTTTGTGTATCCAGAAAATCTTTATATAATACATGATTACTGAAAAAATATCTGCGGCATTGCGTTGATACGACTAAATAGCCTTAGAGAAAGTCAAAAATTCTGTTAAGTAACAACTCTTATGTAACGCTTAGTTACTCTTAAGACTTAGGTTTAAACTTAGGCTTAGGCTTATGCTGAAAAAATTAATTAAACTTTTTTTAAAGTTTACTTCAATATTAAAAGTTTATTTTAGGGTTTTGTGACATTATTAATTGTCGTATCGGTAATGTACACAAGGATGGGAAATAAGATGTTGAAAGAGAAGAAGTCGGCGGTGGATGTTCAAGATACTGACGTCGTATTCTCTCTATTTTTGAGACAAATTAACTAATAATGACACTGTACTTTAAAAATTGGTTAAACAACTTTTTGACACATTCAGCAATTCTTGCAGAAACCATGTTGAATATTGTCACTACTAAATCCGAGGAGGTTTCATTCATGCTTCTTTGATTAACCTTTTTTAATCACCTGCATTTTATTGTTAAATTTTAAAATAATACACAGTTAGCCATGTCCCTTATTTTAGCCTAAAGCGGGCTTTCAGGCCTATACTAAATTCACGCAATTATAATGACTACCTTGTTATCTAAATCAAACAATATTTTTAATTGTTTCACCCGTACTTTGTCGAGTTAAAAATTTGTGTTGAAGCCGGAATCCCATCGGGAATCGGTGTTTGATTAGCTTTTTCGTATCTCAGGTTACTGAAAGTTAAAAAGTGTCAACGTTTTTACATACTGCTTATTAAAATGTCGAATGTATAAGCGACGTATATTTGGACTTTTCTGGAAGTTTTGAGTTATAATAATGAATTTTCGTCATATGTGTGGTCAAAAATTATATAGAAAACTTTACATGGGGATAATATTTTTTTTTGGCTATTTAGCAACATAAACGGTGTTTATATTAATAAAGTTGGTAGAAATATACTAATATCATTTATTATTTTTTAGCTTTTGTAAACAAAGTTTTTGCAGTATTCCTTTTTTTAATTTAAAAATAATTTTTTAAATATAAAAACATTTAGGTTAGTCATGGACCGATGTACGCAAAGCTATCTAATAGAAACATCATGGCAAGTGAGGTCAGCATATGTGGGTATGATTGTGTTTACTGCGGGTTTGGCCGTTCTTATCATCAAAACAGTAAAGCAAAAAGATACACGGCATGTACCTGCTCACCCCAACTTCAAGGTACATTGATTTTAATTTTTATACTCGAAAATAGTACGAAAAACGAAAATTAATTTTTTTAGTCTACTAATATTACTTCAATATTAAATATATTTTTTTTAATTTTAAGACTAACTTTTAGTAAAAAATTTCCAGAAAATCATATTCACCATTAGCGGAGCAACATGCTGGTTTTCCGTCTTATGCTGTGTATCATACATAGTATTGTTGATAACCTCCTTAAGAGCGACAAAAGAAAACTGTTTTACGAACATGTATCGGTACACGTGCGCCCTAATAAGAGGACCACATTTTTTGGCCATTCCAATGTACAGTAGTACTCATATTGCACTGTTTTTGGAGAGATTGGTGGCTATTTCAAAAAAGGACTACGAAAACTCGTTGAAATGGCTTGGGTGGTTTATCAGTTTGTATTTGGTAAGTTTTGTAATAAAATTGTAAATAAAACATATTATTCATCGATATTACTCACAATGCAACTGAAACTTTCATACTCATTACAAATATAAAAATAACGTTGCATATTTAAAAAAAAGCATTTCTAAAACTATTCTATGAACATATAAATCTATTAAAACACTCGTTTTAGTGTTTTGCATCAGTGGTAGTTGCGCTAGGTGTACTGGACATTATTGACATGAAGTACGACGTTTTACATTGTACCTATTTCTCCGATCGTACAAAACTTATATTTGACTGGTTACTGGAAGCTACTAGTGTTATCGACATTTTCAGTACGGTCGGGGATTTCATACTAAAAAACAGAGTAGCAAAAAGCTCACGAAAAGTTAGAAATTCATCGTAAGTTTACTTTTTCACTAAGTAGCCAAAACTTAAGCCTACTAAGTCTACGTCTACAAAACATAACAACTCGATTTATAATCTATAAGACTAACTTAACCTAAAGCTTAAACTTAAGGAATCTATACTAGTCTCGTAAAACCTATTATATAATTCACAATATAAAAGTGTTTGCGGCGTTACCTAATTTAGATTACATAAGTTAATAGCTTTAGAGAAATTGCAAGAAATCGTATTACGCAACTTTTTCTTATGTAATATCAAGATTTTATATAATATTTGCCTCGGTGTAAAACGACCCACCAAATTACTCCGAGTGCTGACATATCGCTTGTCTTTCTGCGAGGTACCAATTTGTACCTATCACAAATCACAAGAATAAAAATATATTAAGCCTAAGCTTAAGAAACCTAAGATTGGTAAGCCTAAAAATAAAATAACCACATTTCAGGAGTTACCACAACTATACATTATCACAAGCTTACCAAAAGAAAGAGAATCTTCGTCTCTTGCTTATGATGGTACCAATTTCTACTGTCTTCGCGGTCGGTCACTTGTTTTTCTGTACAGTTTATCTTGAAATAGACGGTATTGCAGTACGATATTTTACTCGTAACGGTGAAACGGAGCTTACAATAGAACAAGAAGCCATTAGGACTGCTCTTAGCGATGCTAGACTTATTGTAAGTTATTGAAATTTGCAAAATTTTAGGCTTATAAGTTATAAAAGTATTCAATAATAACAACTAAATAATATAAATTGAATCATATACATCATAAAAAAGTTTTAAGGTTTACAAAAAGTATTGTTTTAGATATTCGTATCCTTAATTGGCCTGATTGTACGACAATATGTAAAACTGGGCGAGAAATTAATGTTAGAAAAACAAACAAAGACAGATAAGCCTGATGCCAACAAGATCTTTGACCTATTCAATCAGCAACTTGCGGGACCACCAATGTAAAACTACTCATTTGTCATACGTAAAATATCTAACTCACTTTAAAAATGCTTTAAATTTTAGAAATTTGCATACGTTCTTAATCTTATACAACGTTGTTTTAGGAATAACGAATTTTTGAGTTAAAACTATGATTTATTTTTTAATTTTGTTACTTGAACTTACCTTTAAAGTAACGTTGATTTTACTACGCCTGTGTATGCGAAACCCAAGTTTAATAAGCAAATACCCTCAAAATATATTATGATCAGCTCCTACGTCTAGTCTGAAGATGAATTGGTATGTGGGCTGGTCATGATATGTCTACACGTCAAAACAACTTCCTTCTTATCGTTTACATTGTAATGTCCACCATTTTTGAATTGTTTTTATTGTGATTTTTCAATATCTCTTAATTTTCGAATTGTTTTTTCATTTTAATAACTAGTTTGAAGTGAACCTTTACTAAAACACGATTAATATAATCGACTATTAATCTCCATCATGTAATCTCAACGTGCAAAAATATAAATTCGTCATTTTCCTCGAAATGTTGATGTTTACCTAATAGTGGAATGGGTTTTCTACACTCTTTTCTATCATTATACGCCTCCAGGGGTTTAACGTAGAGTTGACGTAGACCCAACACTTTCTACCCTTTTCCCAAATTTTTTTGACGTTTTACAATAACTCGATCTATAAAAGGCGGATCGGGCAGTTTGTCACGACTTTAAATCAAAACTACGTCGATTCAAGGTAACTGCTTACTCGGAATAGTCACCTGGTCTCAAAAATGAACTTTCTTTTCGTAATTTTGGTCGCGATTACGTTCATTTTGTCACAAGGTGCTCAAACGTAAGTTTTCAATTGTTTACAATGTTCCAGAGATCAAGATTTAGTATATGCTTATTAACTCTAAGCCTAAAGAGGCTGCTATACCCTACCAAAAATCTGATATGTTCAAAATATTATTTTAGTAACGATCGTGTACGGCGACAATGGGGCTATCCACCACCATACTACGGTCCACCTCCACCATACGGAGGACCATACGGCGGCGGCGGTCGTTTCAGGCCATATGGCGAACGAGTTACCATCACCAAGACTATAACTAAAACCTTCCCTTAAAATCGACCAGTTGATAAAAATTGTTGACATTACAAAACATCAGTTTCCTCATGTACAAAACTTTAATAAATAAACTTTTTTACACTTAACTATAGCCTTCTGTACAACTTTGTACTATAATATGAATTTTATTATACTTGCTATTGAATGCACCGTTTTTCGATTAAAAATTTTTCTTCTAATCTTTGATGCTGAATGACAAGTGTAACCGATGTTTTAAAATAAAATGTGAAACTGACCCGATTCTAATCATGTCAATCAGATTGTGATTGATTTTACAATTTGTTAAACAGATGTTGAAAGCTGAAAGATCAATGAAGGTTTAATTTGTAAGAATTTAGAAAAGATTCTTTTGTTGAATTTTTAAATTGATCAAAAAGTTCTTATACAATCCTTTCCTTGTTTTATGTGACTTTAGTTTGAAAAACCCCCCTCTGAATTTCGTTTCCTCTGCCTGAAATGTCAAAATTTCGTTTGCAAGTTTTAAGTTCGATCCGAAAAACCACGGATATAACGTTTTGAGCTCAAAAATCAAATTTTCAAACCGAAAAACCTTGGGGACATTCGTCTAATTTGGGAAAAGCGCCGATTTTTGTTGATTCTGAAGTTGCGGGTTGCGGAACGTTGGGCGCAGCTTTCACCTTCACAATTTCGGTGTTTCTTACAAAATTTTCGAGATCTTCGAAAAAACAGTTTTCATCATTGACATCGGGTTCTAAACTTTCGGGAATGCTTGATATGTATTTTATTGCGTTTTTACGTTATTATGTTATATGTTTACTTTTATTCATCATCAATGTTATTTAGGCAATAATGGGAACCGAGTCGACGAAAAATGTCGCAAATTGGGAAAAATGGCTACAACTAGCCCAGGTATACTACTTCTTCACGTTGTTTGTAGTTGGATCCGTTTTCACTCCAATTTTGCTTGTTGTGTTGCTTTTTACAAGATTCTGGTGGTACAGCGTGTTCTATGCGACTTGGACCATTGTGCACAAGTTTTACTTCTTCACATTGCCAAAACCATGGGAATGGTTGAGAAATCACACCTTCTGGGATCATTATGGCCGATATTATCCAATGAAGTTGCACAAAACTGCTGAGCTGCCTCCGGAAAAGAACTACTTGTTGATGTATGTTTTCTTAACGTTTTCGGTGTTATTTATTGTGGTTGGGAAACGTTCTTGAGAGTTATGTGTTATTCTGGATATTTAGGTAACGTTTTCCGTTTCTAGGTCAAAAATGGAATTTTAAAGTTATTTTTGCTTTTTAGGTAACATTTCTTTATATTTTTTAAATATCTTTTATTTTGGTTTTACGATTGATAATTTTTGATGATTTTAGATGGCATCCACATGGTATTCTGTCGTTCTCAGCTGGTGCTACCGTGATGACTAACATCACCAGGTTCACCGAAACATACCCAGGTATTACCCGGTATGCTGCCACATTGCCGTTGCATTTCTTGTATCCTTTACGATCGTTCTGTATGGCAATGAGAGGCTTTATTCCTTGTGAGTTTTTAAGTTTTTATTGATTTTTTAGGGGTTTAGGTAAAGGATAACATAGGAAAATAGCGTGCCATAATTTTGTGGACGTTTTTATTGCTTGTATGAAATTGTTTAGCAAATTATAATATTTTTGATTGAAATCAACGTTTACTAGAATTGTTTTTGATGAAATAAGTTTAACTGTTTTTAGTGTATATTTTTCAGCAAACTTTTCCAATATCTTCAAGGTCGTATCTCATAAACAAGGGGGTAACGCTGTTATTTTGGCCGTTGGCGGAGCTGAGGAATCTCTCGAGTCTCATGAAGGAAACTACAAGTTGGTGCTGAATAGTAGGAAGGGATTTGTTCGTCTTGCGTTGAAGTCTGGATGTTCTTTGGTGCCCGTTTATGCTTTTGGAGAAACCTCAACATATCATCAAGTTCTTAATCCAGTTGGCTCTAAGTTGCGTCGGTTTCAGACTCAGGTCAAGAAGATTTTGGGAGTTGCACCAGCTTTCTTCTACGGCACCATGGGCTTCTGGAGATTGTATGGACCTTTCCCATTGTCGGCCGAACTCAACACTGTTGGTAAGGGGTTTTATGTTTTTGGATTCAGAATTAGGTATTTTACTCTCTTTTATATTATAGAAAATAAAAACTGATGTAGATAAGTTTTACTATCGTTTTTTTCAGTAGGAGCACCGATTGAAGTTGAACCTGTAGCCGAGCCTACTCAAGAACAGATTGATCAACTCCATGATACCTACAAATCAAAGCTGATTGAGTTGTTTGAAGCTCACAAGGCTAAGTATGCCGTGCCAGAAGATCAACATTTGGAATTTTTGTAAATTTACATTTTCATATCATTTTTTAATTTATTCAGGTTTTAGAATGTCTTTCTAACTAATTTTTTACTGCATTATTAATTACAGGTCATCTGAGTAACTATTAGTTACTATTATTTTATAGCTTGTGTATGTTTTAGGTATAAAGGGAAGGAGCAATTTATAGTATTTTATTCTGTAAATTTAATTTGTGATTGTAGGCTTTATTGAAATATTGTAAAGTTAATTTTCTAATAAAAATTTTGCTTTAACTTAGTTACTCTTATATTTTTGGCGGAAAAGTGCATTTATATCATGTTAGGTAGGAGTTTCAAACATTTTTACTTTCATTTTACAAATTTTTGAGTACAAAATTAGTTTTTACAATATTATTGTACAGTACATCATGTGCTTTCTAAAAATTATGCAGAAAATGAATGCATCATGTAATGAAATTTAGATTCTCTTAAATTGTAGTAACTTTCATTCGAAATAATTGAAGTAAACGCGGTTAAAATTCATGACTCTTTAACAGAACGATGAGGTTACTATGGAGACACTGTTTTATAAAATATGTTAAAACGATAAAATAAGTTTAAATAACTTGTAAACAGGTGTGTATACTAGTATTTTAATTAATTATGTTAAATACGGTTGTTTTGCGTTTCTTTTGAGTTTTATTGACTTGGTCGTTAAGTTTTGGAACGAAAAAATATCGTGGAAATGAAAAAAATAGTTTTTAAAATTAAAAAATATTTAAAATTGTTTCGAGCGGCGCAATTGATTTAGCTTTCTTAATTTTAAAATTTTGATAATTTAGTACGAAGATCTAAAAAATGGGTAGTGAATTTAGTAAACAAACATTGAAACCACAGGCCGAGAAACACATTGCCATTACTATAGAGGTAAGTTGAAAATTAATATCTTTAAAATTTTTAAGAGGCTTTAAAAAAGTTTTTTTAAGTGTTGAATATTCATAACAAAAATCTTTTTTTCAGCGACCAGACGTACTGACCTTAATGGATTTTGATGGAGAAGAAGGAATAGTGTACAAGACGTTAACGGAAAACTGGATGGACGAGGTGACAAGTTGTCAGCAAACGTTATATTTCTATTGTTTTTTGCTGGCTAAAAAGCCTTTTAACGTAAGTTTAATTAATTTTTACGATTTTTTTGACTGAACGTATGAAAGGAAAAATTTTATTCTACCGAATTCCTTGAAAAAATCTTTAGGTACCTATATTAATGTCAATCAACAACACGGAGTATATTCGAAATGCTGTACGTGCACGACATTCGTTTTGCGATGTTTTGTCAAAATTGGACGACCTGGGAGTCAAACTTCTTACTACAGCATATTTTGGCAAAACTTTCACAAGGACCACGTTGGTATTACAACGAGATGTTTACAATACTGTAAGTTTATGTTTTACGGGTAATTTGGGGAAAAATATTGATTAAAAATGTTGTTTCGATACTTTATACTTTAAAAGTTACCTAATTTTCAGACTTCCGAGTCCTACAGTACCAGAAACGTAGACGAATTGTACATATGTGTAGCGATACGAAGCAATAACGCTATTATCATACCAGCTACTGCAGGCCTATGTCGTTTTCCGATCAGTTGGATTCAAAACGAATTTGGCCAAATGATAGTGAAAGCGGATATTAATGACGATTTTGTGGATTTCACATTTAAAGATGACTTATTTTCTGCATATTCAATCACCTATGAGAATATGATACATGGCAAACGAATGTTTTTAGGATTGATTAGGCAGTTAGCACAAAGAGGATACGAATATGTGGCACCGATAAGTATCAAAGGATGTACTAGAAATGACACTTTTTATTTTAAAATGGTGGGTTTAAATTTTTATTGTGTTTTTTGGGCTGTAGATGTTGAGAAATGGTGTCGTTAGTGCTAATAATGACATTTTAGATAAGACAGCCGGTGGAAAAAGATAAGACTTACTTTTTTATTTCACCAGAAGAGAAAAACCGGCTACGGCTATATGAAACACCGCCAATTATTGCTGAATTCATCAAGAAAACCATCTCTAGGTTGGTATTGAAGGAAGTCAAGAGGCCATACGCAAGTTTTTTGATTTTATACAAACAGTCCATTATATTATATTTTTTCTGCTTTTCAATACAAAAGGTGATTTTTTAAAATTTTAAGCCTATATTTTTAGTTAGGATGCACGGAGATCATTTTTGCTGGCCAGCCCTTTATGTGCAACGATCGAACATTGTTATTGACTCAAATTGATATGTTAGAGATAATCGAAAGTCTGAGAAAAAATGGCTTCAAATTGGTTGGCCATTTACAAACGACTCTCAATGTTAACGAAAAGGTACGTAGTTGTTATTTATAGGTAATGTCTTGAACTAAAAAAAAATCTTTGTGATGGGAATACTTTGAGATTTTCGTTGTGGGACATAATACAAAACGTCATTATTACATAAAATGCATTATGAAATTGTTTTATATAATATGCTAATTTTTAGGCAGTAATGCTATTCGAAAGCACAAACGAAAAGCCGGTACCAATTTTTGCGATCTCATTTCAAGGTGCTGATGTACTGCAGGTACTAAAAGCGCCAATTCGGGTAGTTACATTGATTAGAGAAGCTATTTGTAATGTGTGGCAAAAAGCAATCCAAGAAGAAAGTAAGACATACTTTTATACTTTTTATGAAATGTAGACTAATTACAGTAGTTTATGGTGGGAGGGGTATTTTTTGGGGAGTGGGGGTGGTTAGGGTTTTTAGATTTTAACTCAAATTTTTAGGTATAATCTTGAATGGAACAGCTTTCAAACTAAAAGGTAGACCGTTTGCAGCTAGAGACACGTCGATAGACTGCCAACATGGCTTGCATATGTTAATATTCATAATTGAAAAACTGTCTGAAGTTGGATGGAAGTTCAAAATAGCGTTAGATGTTGGAAGTCGGGCCACATCTGATAGTGAAATAGGGTTTCTTGAAGATGGAATTATGATGATTTTTGAAGCTAATTTGAGTTCCGGGAACGGTGAGGGCAAAGTGTATGGGGTGGGGTGATGTATAGTAGTTTAGGTTGCGTGATTATAAAATATGTAGTAGCTTGTATGGTTAGGAACGAAATTTTTATGTTGTATATTGTGTAAAGAGGAAACTTTTTAAATTTAAGCAGATATCGAGTGTGTAAACGGTTTATAACGTGTTATTTTGAGATTATTTAGTAGAAAAACTTTTACTCTTTATATTTTAACTTTCTTAAATTGTTGAATGACTTTGTATGTAAATAAATGACTTTTTGATGATTATGTTTATGTTGCTTTTCTGTATAATACGGACGATATTTTTGTTTTAATATTTTCATTTGATATTTACCTATAGTTTTATACTTCAGTGAAATTGATTGGCTCAAGCTTTCAAATTTAAAAAAAATCTATAATGTTAAGGAGCCTCAAAATAGAAGTCAGACTATAAAGTAAATTTGACGTTTTGCTTATGTTTGTGCGATTCCTTTTGCTTTTGGTTTGTGTTTAAAACTTTGACTGATTAGATTTAATTTTGTGCGCTCTTGTTTTCACTTACATTAATATATTGTTTCGCTTGCACAGGCGTTACTCGGTGACGTGAGTTCAGAATCTTATTTTTTAATTTTAAAAAATTATTCGAAAAAATTATCAAAACGTGAGAGTTTGAATTTTTAAATTTTGGGTGAAAAATTATATTCTTTTCAGAATGATACTCAAATTAGGCTTACTTTTAATATTAACGAATATATGGATATGTAAAGCAGCAAAGATATTGGTAGTACCAGCGGCAGATGGAGGTAGTCATATGCAAAGTATGGCACCGTATTTTTTAACGTATGTTTACTAAAATTTTAACATATTTTCTATTTTTGGCCAAAATATTGAATTTTTATGACATTTTTTACTAATTTCGGCATTAATGTATGATTTTAAGGTTATCTTCATCTGGCCATGAAGTTCATGTTCTAGACACAGCGAATCCAACACCGAAATACAAGTACAAAAATGTTGTGATGCACAATATTGTAGTTAAAGGTCAAAATTCTGGTCGTGATCCGCGTCAGACATGGAATGCTATGATCTCCGTGTCTAAGTTTAGAGAAGTTTTCGCGAATTCAGATGTCAAGTTTCATGAACTGTTGGATAGTGAAAGAGAAGCGGTAAGTAGGGTGGGTAGGGTAAAGTAGGCAAGTATAGGGTAGGGAAAGGTATAGTAGGGTAAAGTAATGTACGGTAAGGGGTAGTAGAATTGGGCGATGTAAGGAAGAGTAAAAATATAAAATTTTAGTTAGAAAAGCTAGTTAATCAACCATGGGATCTTGTGGTAGCTGATGACATATTCTCCGTTCATGCTTGGGCTATAGCATTGAGGCTAAAGCAACGTGGTGTACCATTCATTCTCTACTCAACGTCAGGACAAGTAGCGTCAGCTACAACACAAACTATGGCGTTAGGTAATTTTTGAATTGAATTTTTTAGAATTGAAGAAAATATATTGTCTTAGATCTAAAAGATTTAAGATGTAGTTTTATATGATGGTAACAGGGACGTCGTTACGAATTTTCTTACATTTATTAAAGTTTTTAATGTAAAAATTTGTTCAATATCATATTTTCAGGTAGGAATCCAATAATAAAGCAGTTTATGTTCCCCGACATGCCGGTCGATTCTGATGGACATTATCAGCACGTTAACTTTTGGGATCGTCTCGGGGCGTTTGTAAAAGTTTTCCATGAAGTTGCTGGTTTTGATTACATTTGTAAGTTTTTTTACCTTATTATATATTTTCAATTCAATATATATTATTATAGTTTCACTGAAAGGTTTTTTATCTAAAGAAAATTTTAAGTATGCCACTTTCAGTGCAACACACTATGAGTTCATTTGAAAGATTTGGTGTCTACGATTTCTCTTGGCTGAAGCTGCATAAAGAGTCATCGTACATCTTCACGGATTCCATGAACAAATTGGGTTGGCCACAAACTGAAGGTCAAGATTTGATCAATATTGGCGGTGTGTGCAAAGATTACGAGATACTGGAAGATGAAGATTTAAAAAACTTTGTTGAGAATTCCAAAAAAGGCGTCATCTACATTGCTTTCGGTAATTACGCTGACTGGAATCATGCTCCAAAACGGATTCTGGATTCGTTTAGTGAGGCTATGGTGAAATTGGCTGATTACAATTTCGTATTCAGTTTTAATGGGAATGTTAGTGCGATGCCTCAAATGGAACACATAAAATATGTCAAATGGGCGCCTCAGGCTGGGATTCTAAATCACAAGAAGACAAAGTTATTCATAAGTCATGGGGGATTGAAAAGGTAGGTTTCAATTTTAGGCATAGCACATAATTTAAGACTTATCAGTAGAAACCTTAGGCTTAGACGCGCACAATTTTAAGCTTAGCAAACAATTTTTGACTTAAAACACGATTGTAGGCCTATTTTTTAAAGTTTATTACATTATTTTTAGTTTGAAAGAGGGGATCTGCTCAAAAACTCCTTTAGTTATGATGCCGATCTCAGCCGAACAAGTACATAATGCTCATATGCTCCTAGCCTTAAAGTGGGGCGGATTTGTCAACAAATTCACAGTAACTGGTCCTATTTTGTACCGTGAAATTATGAACGTAAGTGAAAAATTTTTAATGGTTTTTTTTTATTTTTTCGGTTTTGGAAGGCAAGTTATTGCTACTTTTTTTTATTATTTTTTTATTTTAAAATTTTATTTGTTTTGTTCAGGTTATTTTCAACTATTTTCATTATTTTAGGTAATATCGAACAAGAATTACCAGCAAAAAATCGACGAAACTGCTGATTTTCTCGTTGATCTGCCAATATCAGCTCTAGAATTGGCCAAGTTTCATACTGAGCGGATTCTTCGTGCTAAAAATGGAAGAGTTTTGTTCAAACGAAAAGGAATGGACTTGTACTGGTTTCAGTACCTTTATCTCGATCTTATGAGTGTCATAGGTTTCTTTACATATCTTGCTTTTAGGTTCTGTAAATACGTCATCATTTCTAACAAAACGTGCTAAATAAAAATTTTTGTACTAAAAATAGGGCGGCGCAGTGCGTATTTAGTAGAGCGAGTACGGTACTTTATGGTAGGTTACGATGGGGATAAATTAGGATAAAATACGGAAAAAAGCAAGGTATATTTGTAAATAGATTGTGAATAATCAATTTTTTTCCAAATTACAAAATTTTTTACGGTAAAAATTAGGTGTAATCGCAAATTTTTACAAATTAAGCGCGGATTTTAGGTCAAGGTTTTTTTGACCGTTCGGGGATGTTAAACGTTCTTTCATTATCCAAAAAACAAAAATGGAAAGAACGTTGTTATTGGTCTGCTTAACTATTAGCCTATGTTATGGTTGTGAGTATAACAATGTGACGAGGAAACACAACGAGGAGTGGGTAAGTTAATGTTATAAACTAATCGTATGAACACATTAGTTTATAACATACAGAATATGTTTGGGAAAGGTATATTAGTTTTGCCTTATTTTAACATATACTACGAAAAGCCTTATATGTGATACTATATAAGTTTATTTCTCAGTTATAAAAATTGATTTTTTAAGAACTACTTTACTTTTTAGGTAGAAAACAGTTACTTTGTCTTCCGTTGTGAGATCTTCAACAAAAATACCTCATGGAGAGTTAAAATACAAGGGTGTGACTTTAATGGTACTCGGTTTGCATTAAATGAACGAAAGAATGGTCAAGCATGCCAATCCTTAGATGATGGTCGCGTGAAATTTGCCCTGGGCCCTATTTGTGATGGTAGAAATGAAGGTAAGACTAATTTTTCATTTTTTTGTATTACCTAAGGCTTACTTGGATTGTGGCAATGTCTTTATAATTATTTTTACTAGTAAATACAGTAAAGTAAAGTATCTTGCTTTTTGACAAAATATTTGTTAATTTTGATGACTTTAGGAGAAACCTGGGACGACGGTCATTTCCGTAAAACATGTATAGACGACCAGACCAAGTTCATCGGTTGTACCACTTCGGAGAAGGTGTATATCCCAATTGGAGAAGAAAAACAGTCTGGTACGTTTAAATGGAAATGTGAAAGTGCTCCAAACAATGGCGTCAAATTGTACCCTACTAATGTTGACGAAGTCAATGCTGCACTTAAAAACAAAAGTAAGAGTACGGTAGTGGAGAAAAAAGGGAATGGTACTGAAGTTCAGAATGAGGATAACGGTGTGAGTAATGGTAATGAAGTCAAAAAGGAAGACAGTGGTACTACTGGTACTGAAGTCCATGAAGAGGGTAATAGCAAAATGAAAGGTGAAGAGATGACCTTAGATAAGAAGAATGATGACTTAACCATGGATATTAAGGAAGATGAGCTACAAAAAGTGAGCGAAAACTTGACAACATCATCCGATGATTTAGAAGGTAGCGGTGCAGAAACATCCACTGACAGTTTGTAACTTATAAACAAGAAAAATTAAAATATTTTTTAATTTTAAAAAACTTTTATTTTGCAAAAAATGACTAGATTTGGTTGTTTTTCACAGTAAAAATAATATTTTAAGAATCACAATATATAAAAATATACAAGTATAAATAAGGTTGAAAATAATAATAATATAGCATACAATAGAAACAGCTTTTGTACTGTAACATTAGTTAAAATCCAAAAAGATTAGTGTTATTAACAAGCAGTTTAAACTAAAGGCTCATGCCACCATTTGCAAATGTAAAATAATAGACTTAAGTTGTACCAAGTGACATAACAATCAAAAGTACAATGTGATAAAAAACAGTACTCTATACCATAAAATAGTACAATGTAACAGAAATAGGTTGAAAGGCGCAGAAACAAAATAACTGATATACACGTTATAAGTTGTCCAATTCGTATTTCAAGCACAAATCCATTAACTCCTTCTTCAACATTACCCCATTGTACTTGTTTTTAGCTGATATAGCCCGCAAATGACTGGCTACAAAGGCACCAAACGTTGAAGCAGTGTCGTAGCTTGAGGTTGGACTGGATATTGATGTTGACGGAAGAATTCGGCTGGTACCTTTAAAATAGGGCCGTTTTCTCTTGTTCAATGGTTCAATTAGTTCTTCGTTTGTCGAGATTTTCCCGTCATTAAACACGTCATCGGCTTTTGGCGAGGCTTTATTCGAGGTTTTTGGGGATGAACTTTCATTGTCGGTGCATTCGTTTGCTGCTTGAGCACAGTTTTGACTGAAAAAGATATATTTAGGTAACAACGGAATTTTGAGTCTATTTTTTGCGTAATTTAGATATTTTTAGGTCATCTTTGAGTTTTCTAGAGACTTTTTGACCATTCTACTTACTAAATTTAAGGATTCTAAAATAATCTTTCATAAAGATATTATGTGTAGTAATCACTTACGATAGCCATTCCAAACTGCTCATCGGCTTAACATCGATCTCATCATCTTTAGCAAATAAGCATTCCTCATTCTCGCGCAACAACGACGATTCGACCAGTCGTTGTAGAATATCGACCGAATTCCGGCCTTGTGGTTCTGATTCCATTTTCAGTCGCAGTGACAAAAGTTGCTCGGGTGGCGCGATAAATTGCATTTTTTCCCAATAACGCCAACAAACTTCGTGATTTTGCTCAGCGGCAAGAACTTTTTTTAACGTGCGATTAAAAACGTCCCGGAGTTTTTTCCATTCAATCTGAATTTCGGCCGCTGAAAGTTAAATTATAAAATTTTTTTGGCCGAAAATGAAATTCTTTGAACTTTCGGACCAAAATCAAAATTCCCAACTTAATTTGAACTTTAAGCCTAAACTCACGTTTGTAATTGTAATTGTCATCAGACAAAATTTCCGCGACCTCAGCATAAGCGCGACGACGGCGCGACCCATCGTTATATTCGTCGGAAGACGTGTCCCAGATCGCCGGCCTCTCCTTTACCGCATTAATTAAGGTTTCCTTTTGGTCGGGAGTCAGACAACAGCTGGGGATTTGGGCAGTTGACACCCGCGTGCGGTGAGCCATTTTTGAAACGGTTTCCGAGGCTTGATTTGGCCAAGTTTCTGAAAGGTGAAACGTGAATTTGAGTTAAAAATTTTGTAAATATTTGAAAATCACGGTTATTTTAGGGCATCAAAAATTTTTAAATGGCAATTAGCAGTTGGCAGTACAAAAGTTGCTTTTATGATATGAAAATTGTCTCCCATACCTTGTTATTCACTAAAGAAATGGCGTATATTGCTTACAAACTATACTTTTTACTAGTTTAATCAAAAAAAATATTTACTTCCTTAATAAAGTCAAAAAATCGCAATTTTACATTAAAATTTCCCCATTGCAACATCCTTGATTTAACTACACAACACTGCAACTACATGTCCCATACGATTCTCAAAGACCGTTAATATTACAACCAAAAGTATTTAAAAACAGCATACTGAACTGTACTAACATCGTACTAACGCCAAGTAAAATTTATATGCTTCTGAACCAAAAATCGCGGCCTTGTAGCCATCTTTCGCTACAACCCCACCTTGCCACTTCTATGACCCCACAAACCCAGCCACAACCCAATGCATAATATAAAAAAGTGAGGACGACGGGATTGTACCAAGTATTTGTGCCATGAGGAATGTTTTTGTGGCCAGCAACGAGAGACAGCGGCGGCCAAAGTATCTGGCCTCCATCCTTTTCGAAACGACGGCGGCGGCCCCCCGCTCCCCTCCCTCCTCCTGCTGTTTTTCGCCTTCAGGCACAGGAAAATTTTTTTGCCGGCACACTCGAGAGCGCTGCCGGCTTGGGCTTGCTGGTGGTTGTTGTGGCCAACTCTTGTTGTGGGCCACACGAAAAAGCCTTTGAATGCATTTCTCGTTTCGCTCCGAACAATTTCGGGAATTGTTCGGTTTTTGCGGGAAACGTGCTTAAACCCCAACATTTTGTGACGACATTCTTTGGTTGCTAGAATCCGGCAATTTGATTAAGTGTGGCATAAGTTGTGAAAAGATACGACAATTTGAACGCAAGAACAAGAATAAATGACGTTTTTGATTTTTTAAACAATACAAAGGTTAAAATAACAAAAATATTAGGTGTCGACATAAAGAACCCGCCATTTTTTACAGGAAATTACAGGCAAAGAATGGCGGGTTTTTTATGTCGGCACCTAATAAATAAAGTTTAATAATGATATAAATTTTAAAAAATTACAGAAAAATAAATTTGAAAAAAAAATTTAAGAACAAGAAGCAGGCGCAAATATCTTTACTTTTTCTAATTTCAAAAAAAAGTCTCTACTACAGAAAGTTGTTGACAAAGAGTTGTAAACTCTTATTGTAACTTCATTTAGTACAGTTGAAGCGTTGTGTGTGTGGGAAACTGTATAAAAATTGATGGTGTGGCAAAGTGATTGAGTAGCTCAGTAGCTACTAATTTAGTTGCTAATTACTTTTATACTTAAAAATTGATAGTTTAGGTTTGACGCATACTCAACGTATGTTTTCTTTACTGCTTTGTCTTGCCTGATCTGGGTAGAGCTGATTAGCTTTATAGAGCATTAAACAAGGTTAGAATGTCGATCAAGGCTTTGGTATAAGCTGTTCTATAGATAACATAAAGAGTAGTGTAGTTATTTAAGTTGCTATAAGCTTAAAATTGGTACGTCTACGTCACGTCGCTCTATTTTAATGCGTTGGCACTTAGATCAAGACGTGTAATGTAGTACCCTTATTCAACAGGTTAAGAGTTACTGTGCAAACTTGGATCGATGTTAAATTTTTTTTAAAATTAGGAAAAAGGTGGCTTCGAAGGCTTTTAATATGTAAACTTTGAGGACCATTGCTCAGTGCTACTACATTTTAAGCATTGCTCGATGCTACTACAGTTTACCTCAACTATAGCAGCATCGAGCATCAGGTTCAATGAAAAATTAATTTTACAATTTACTCCTGTCATTATTAAATATAACTTTGCGTTCATAAAATATTCCATTTGTAAGCTTGTTGTTAATTTACTGCTGGGTTTTACATGCTAAACGAAAAAGGTTTTGGCGTTAAATAAACTTTTCTTTGAACAACGTTTCCGGCCAGTCCACTTCATATTTGTTGACGGCCGAAAAGCGTCTATAAACAATGTTTTGTCGATAAAATTTTGGGTAGTATATTTTAAAATTTTGATGATAAACATTATTTTTTTAAAAATTAGTTACTGCCTATTAATGAGACAAAGTTGACGGTTTATAAGGATCTGATTTTGATTTTTAGGCTTTTATTAGGTGCCGACATAAAGAACCCGCCATAATTTGCCTGTAATTTCCTGTAAAAAATGGCGGGTTCATTATGTCGGCACCTAATATTAAACTCATTATATGCTTCTTGCTTACTTTGATGCTAAAATTAAAAGTTTAGTTTTACTTTTAATTCAAAAATTTAAATAAAAATTTATTTTTGACAATTTTTTAATAGAAATTGCCAAAAATTAGGGTAGACTCAATTATGTTTGACGCTGTACGGCCTGCTTGTTCAGGACAACTTGACCATCTGTGCGATTGCGTATGCCAAAACAAAAATGCACAAGTATTTGTCATTTCGTTCTGTATTCGAATACGATTTTTCATCTTTACACATTTTTAATTATTTTAAATTTTGAAAAAATTGAAATTTGTTTTTAATTTTAATTTTTTTTTTCAAAATTTTTAAACTTTTCGGAATTTTTAAAATTTTAAGATCGCCTTAACACTTTCTATTTGCATTGTTTCAACTTTTTTTCATCTTGTTTGGCCATAGTAGGGCGCTTTTCTCACGCGTTTCCATTTTCTTCGTATTTATTTTTGAAATTTTCTGCTGACAATATACTCCGCGAGGATTTTTGATTTTATCTATTGTAAATTTGCATATGCGTGTGTCAAGAATTTGCAGGGGGTTTGGATTGGGTTGGTTTATTAATATTTAAATAGGGATTGAAGTAGAGCATGGTAAAAATGAGTTTCGGGCTTGGAGAAAAATTCAGCCGGCTCCAAGAACTTCTGTGATTTTGCTTTATAGACGGTGATTTTTTAATCCGAAACAATTTCAAGTTTTTTCAACTGAAAAATGGCAAATTATGTGACTTTCAATGCTGACTTTTAAACGTCGAAACTAATTTCTCGGCTACAAATTGGAAGTTCGCTCAGTTGGGCCGCAACGGTCATTTCGAGGCCATTGAATTGACCGGATGGACTTTGGCTTCTTTTTTCTTCACTGCGCGACATAACACACTCGACATGCCGGTTTGGCGCCTCGGGCATTATTAATGTGTTCTTTTTTCCAACATAACTTATAACGACATAGAATGGGGGTCGCGGCCGTTACATTTTCTTGAAACATGATATTCTTATTGAGGGGGTTCATGATGTACATAAAGGTCGTATTAGGACTTTGTGGTTTATTGAGGTAGAGTAGGATCTAGTCTAAGTCTAGTTGTAGGCCAAGGTTAATCTTAAGCCTAATCTTCAGTTTAAGAGTCAACGTACTAAGCTTAAACCTGCTAAGCCTAAACTCTAAAGTTTAATTACAAATAGTTTTTGTCTTACGTTCTACAAAACTATGATATAATACAAGATTACTCGAAGAATTTGTGCGGGGTTACCTAATATTGATGATATAATTAAATAGCCTTAGAGAAATTGCGAGAAACCGCATTACGCAACTTTTTCTTATGCAATTTTATGGTTTTATATAATATTTGCCCCGGTGTAATACGACCCAACAAATTACTGCGAGTGTTGGGATATGATTCTAGATTTCTGCGAGGTATCAGTTTTTAGCTGCCTTATTTATCGAGTACTTAGGTCTAAACTCTAAAGTCTGCTTTGTAATAAGCAGAGGGTTAAGCCTAAACCACGACAGCTATAGGCCAAGGAAAAAAATTTTTAATTTTTTTAAAAAGTTTTAGTAAATAATAATAAGCTTTCGTATTTCAAAAAAAAGTCTTTGTAAAATAACTCTCTATAGTAAGCTCCTTGAAGAGTTGTCAATAGCCACTTTCGTCACTGATTTTCAATGTTTTTTGGCATTTTTTTTCAAAAAACGGGCGTTTTGCTTTTCTGGCTGCTCTCTTAACAAAGTTCTTGGTGATTGAAGACATTAAAAAGTATTCGTGTTATACGATTTGTTTGCGATTATTTTTGGAAATAAAACAGATTGTAAATTAACCACTTTTGTTGTTTTATGTTTTTGGAGTTGTGAAAGATAAGGTTTTTAAAATCAAAAGGCTGGGGTATAGGTGTTGGTTGGTGGGGAATTTTGGTCTAGGAAGCGAGGGAAGGGGGTGTTAAAGACTTTTTCAAATTTTGTTATAATTAACGAGGTATAATTTTCATTGATCACGTTTAGATTTTCAAGAATTTCTAAACCTCCATTTATATTAGATGCCGACATAAAGAACCCGCCATACTTTACCTGTAATTTCCTGTAAGAAATGGCGGGTTCTTTATGTCGGCACCTAATATTTCCTAAAAAACATGGGAAAAATGAAAATATAAGCAAATAACGGCCATATTATCATAGAGACAAGATATGTACGTTATTTGCTCAAGTTTTTGTTTCGAATTTAAAAAAATTGAAATGTTTGCGCGATAAAAACTATAGCTATTTAGATTGGACTTGTCTTTATCCCTGACTAATTTTATCCTTTTTTTCAAAATTTTTTAAAATTAAAATTAGGGGTTGTTTAATTATAATTTGATTAGTTTTTTCGTTTTTGGCCGAATATTCTCAAAATATATTTTTTGGTCTAAAAGTTCTCAGAATTTCATTTTTACTTCCATTTTTTATCCCAATAGTATTTTTGCCAAACCTCCCCCCCCCCTCCATAATTAAATTTGAGGTGTTTTTCGGTTTGTATAGTAATTGTGTTAAAAGTTTTTTGCTGGACATTTCGGTTTTTGCATGGGAACAAATGTCCTTAGGAAAGCAATTTGAGGGTTTTGCGGTCAGTTGTTTCAACACTCTTCCAATGCTTTTTTTGTAATAAGTACGTCCTTTAACAACTTTTTGGACTATTCGAGGCCAAATAATTTTTCGAATAGCGAAAGTGGGTTGATGGGCTTGGAAATAATGGCATTTTAAATTTTTTAAAATTCTAACAACAATTTTTAATTTTTTTTGTCAGTGAACGATTAATATTCAAAAAAAAATAAGATACGTGATCTGTTGGACTAGAAAAAGTAAATTCCACAAAATTTTAGACAATAAACTGAAATTTTTATGACCTTTTAGCCCAATTTCCTAAAAATATTTTCATTTCAAGAATTTGGGATCAAAAAAATTTGTGCCAAAATAATCAGCCCAAAAAAGATAGCACTTCAAAAAACGTATAGTGCAATTCTTCAAGCTGTAAAAACGTGCTTTCTTACACAAAGCCTTTAAACTCGAAAAGCCGTCTTTTTTCCATTCTGGGTGTTCTACAAGTTCCGGAATTTTTTGTTTCCCGTTATGGACCGTAATTTATGCCGTTTGAATGGAAAACAGTTAAAACTGAATTATTTGTTCTGATTTTTTTTAAAAAGGGGGGGGGGGTAGTTAGGGTTTTTTATTTTTGGATAGTTAGGGTTTTTTCATTTTCAAGCAAATTTTTAAAAATTAAGATTTTTTTGTTTTTTTTTCTTGTTAAAAAAGATTTTATAATTTTTTGTGAAGAAAGTTTTTGCTATTTTTTCTTGAAAAGGACCTTTTTTCTATTTTTTAAAATGTTTAAAATTAAAAAATATTTTTTCTATTGTTTTACCTAAAATTTTCCGTTATTTGACATTTTGTGATCTTTCACAACATGTGGCCTTGCTGCGAGCTCTCCGTTGATTTGCATATTGGCGCAAGCAGTTGGGGTCCGTAACAAAAAATGGCAAAAAAATGATAAATTGTTGGTCGCGGCACGGTTTTTTCGGGCTGTAAATTTTACTCTAAACATCTTATGGCGCGTTTGTTTCAAATATTGTCGTTTTTTTACACTGTCTTTGAAAACGTGCTAAATTTAAAAAATTTTACGAATAAAACGAAATTTTTTAAAATTTTAAATTTAAAGAATGTAGTTTTAAAATTCTTATAAGAATAAGATTTTGTATTAGGCGCCGACATAAAGAACCCGCCATAATTTGCCTGTAATTTCCTGTAAAACATGGCGGGTTCTTTATGTCGGCACCTAATAAAAGAGAGATTTTTATTTTAAAAATTTTTGGTTTACATGTACGATGTTTAATAATGTAATATAATATGACATTGTTTGTTTTTTCTTTTTAGTTTGTTTCATATGGTTTGATATTGCCGTAATCATGCTTTTTGCATCAAAACCCATACTCAAGTCGTAAATTCTAGTAAGTTCTACAATGTAAAGCAAGCATTCGACTTGCTAATTTTGTATTTTCTTCTCATTAGGTGCCGACATAAAGAACCCGCCATTTTTTACAGGAATTACAGGAAAAGTATGGCGGGTTCTTTATGTCGGCAACAAATATTTTTAAATTTTTGAGTTTCTTTTTTAAATTTTAGGTAATAAACCTGAATTTTAAATTTTTTACGTACAACTATACATATATACATATAGCACATTTTAAATTTCATTATAATTTTTTTGTCAATTTTTAAAATTTTTTCTAATTTCAGTATCAAAATCCGAAATTGCACACCAAATGCCTCCAGCCGGAAGTACGGGTAGGAACGGGACCAATCGCCCCACAAGTTCGCGTCAAGCGCCTGCACCATCTGACAATTGGCCAGTTTCTCATCCGATGGAGCCGATTCCAGAAGAGCAAGAAAGTGCGGCAACGTCACCAACTCGGGTACATCAACCATCAACGTCAACACTGATGTTGGAGGACAAAAGTCATATGAATGAGGGGAATCGAAGTGTGACACAAGTTCAACGAAAGAAGGAGGTGTATACTTCCGAACAAGTGGATACCTTGGTTAGGTAAGTCGGCCTACATGCTTTTTTTAATTGCTAAGCCTAAAATGCCTCTTAAGTCTAAAGTTTTGTGCTAAGATCATCATAGAAAGCCTAAGATTGTGTGCTAAGCCTAAACTTGCGTAATAAGCCTAAAATTGTGTGCTAAGCCTAAACTTGCGTAATAAGCCTAAAATTGTGTGCTAAGCCTAAACTTGCGTAATAAGCCGAAAATTGTGTGCTGCTAAGCCTAAACTTGCGAAACAAGCTTAATATTGTGTTCTAAGCCTAAACTTGCGCAATAAGCCTAAAATCGTGTTGTATGTCTAACTATTAACGGCCGCTCTACCTTATTGTGACACATGCACCAAGGCTAAAATCATGGATAGAAGTGAGATATTCTTCTGCCCTACGCACCACAATCTTACCTTTAATATATAGATGTAGTGTTTTAAAAAAGTAAAATTAGAGCCAGTTATAAAGCGCACCCTAGTTTTTTAACGCCGCTATTCAATGACTTCAAACACTTTCAAATTGGCGCCACGGATTTTTTTACTCAACACACCTTAAAGAGTATGCGGTTAGAAGTCGATCAAGCGCATTTTAAGGTATAAGTTACGAAAGAGGGGGTTTCGGTGAAAAAGATGTTTTTGTTTAAGTAATCGTTAGTTTGGATGGAATTTTTGACCAAAGAAGCATAAATTTCAAATTGAAAAGGTTTTAAAGACATGGCTGGCAGGGCCGGGCAGGGACTTTTGGTCTGGGGGTCGAAAGAATCGGCACAGGTTTTTTTTTCAAAATCCACAAGGGGACCAATTTCTACTTTTTTCGAATTTTTTTTTCAGGGGGGGGGGTTCCCCTCTCCTGTTGCCCCCCCCCTTCCCCGCCGCGCCCGGCCCTGATGGTTGGATATTAATTTTATAAACTGAGATCTTCTTCTTTTACCCCCCCCTCCCTTAACTGTAAAAGTTTTGTTTTCACCCCCCCCTTTTTTTTAGGTGAGGTTTTACTCAAAAACGAAATCACTTTCTTTGGCTAAACCTCACTTTCACGTACCCAAACTTGTAATTTAAGAATTTCGGAATGAGTGAAAAAGTCAGCAAATACTCGGATTCTCCCTCAACTCTCTTAAACCAGGTGAAAGTTCACAAATAAAGAATTTGAACCGCTTTTTCTTAAAGACACCCCCCTCTGCTTCTCTGTCCGTACGCATAGAGCGAATTCTTACGCATTTTGATATCAATTTATTGTGAGCCAAATCGTTTTTTCAACCATTACTCATATGTTCTCGGGTTTTTTTCACAAATGATGGGTAGGGTAAGGGAAAAGGACGAATTTTGGGTTGAAAAATTGGGGTTTGCTTACATTTTTTGTTCCGGGCAGTGTAAATTAAGGTGATATAGCAAACATGTGGGTAGAGAAGAGTAAGGTAGAACTTTGGGGGTAGGTTAGAGCAGGGTAGTAGACGGATAGAGAAGACCATTGAACTTTGAGATTATGTTAGAGCAGAGCAAGATAGATAATTTTTCTGTTTAAAAAATTTTTTTTTGTTTTTAACGATATCTTTTATAAGACAATGGTCTTTTTTAAAGTATTATATGTATACAACACAATAATCCATTGTTATCCTTGTTGATGTTTATTAAACATTGACTTCAAAGTCGTTTGTGTACAAAATTTAAGATAGGAATTTGCTCTTTTCCCAAAAAACCGCGGGTTTATTTGCATTTTTAAGAGCCTTATACGTAGAAAAAGATAATTTTTCGACTATAATTACACACTTTTAACGGTTTAAATGTGTCATACCTTCTTATTGCTTTAAAATTTTTTAAAATTTTAATTTTGAGTTTGGGGGGGGGGGGGAAGGGGGGGGTTTATTTCTTTTATACCCTAACCTGCTCTTTTCTACCGTTTTCTAAACTATTAGGAGCCGACATAAAGAACCCGCCATACTTTGTCTGTAATTTACTTTAAAAACTGGCGGGTTTATTATGTCGGCACCTCATACCTTACTCTATCCTACATTATCTTACCAGACCTTTACTTTTCTAACCTACTTCTTTAAATATATATTTAAATTAAAAAAATTGTTTTTCAGCACCCTGCCCGAAGATATTGTCCCGGAAGATTGGAGGAACTTTTCAAGCGAAGAGGTCGTTAACGACCCAATGTAAGTCTTTTTCCTGTCTTATCTATTTATGATTTACATAAAAACAAGGGAATTCTCATAAATAAACCACTCATCTTCAAGTTTTTTGCTTATGAATATATGGCATCTTAACATTGCTTTTTATATGGACAGGTAAAACATTAAAATTTTGTATTTATAAAAAATTTTTGACAATTTTTTGGACTAAGAAGTGAGTTAAATGCAACTGAAACCTATCTATCATTTAACAATATAATTTCAGTATGGCCCACACGTATGTAACACATTTGCCGGGGCAAATGTCGGCCAGAAGTTCGCGAACCACCTATATTTACGAGGCGCACTTGGACGACCCGAATGATATGAAGAACTCATTCTCCGAACACGACGACAGTTTGGAACGGCATTCGACACAAAAAGTGACCAGAGTGACCAAAGTTACCACCACACGGTCGATAAAACAGATTCCGGTAGACCCGTCTGATATCTACTTTGACAGCGAAGGTAATCCACGAAGTAATGGGTATGATGGCACACTGATCGAAAGCGATGAAGGTGTTGGTATTGATCTGAGTCGGGCTTCCATTACTGAAACGAGTGAGGAGAATAGTGAACCTGTCAGAGTTGATGGCAGCAGTGGTCAAAGTGGTGCAGGAGATGGTAATAAAGGATATGTTGGTACTGTAGAAGGTGCAAAGGGTCTTAATGGTACATATAATGACAGTGCAAGAAGCCAAGACAGTAGACACTATCAAGAGCCTTATCAACATACGAAACAACAGCAAGAACCCTCTCAGCATGCTCAGACGTACCATGAACAGTATCAAACGACAGAAATTAAAACTCATCCGACTTCCACTGCTACTCCAGATGCACCAGAAAGGCCAGAAGTGATGTTAACGGTTGATAATGACCTGCTTTTATCATGGAAACCGCCCAGAAATCACGGATCAGCTGGTGAAGTGATTGGGTACCTAGTAGAGTTTAGGAGAAACGAAAAAGACGATTGGGAACCGGCCCACGATGAACTTCTGGTCGATACTGATTGTCGAGGTGGGTGTTTTTACTTTTTTTATTATTAGTTGGAGAGGGGGGGGGGAGGGGAAAGGGTTAAAAAAATTTTTGGAGTACTTGACTGCCCGGCCTTGATATCAAATGCTACTTAGGTTGTACTATATACGAAATTCCTTTACTATCACCGAAAAGCATTAGCCGAAATATAAGGTATGGATGACCACTAGGGCCTTGGCTACCTTTGCTGACTCAAGAGCTTTAATCACGTCGTAGAGCGTTTAATTTCTTTCCGTAGGCAAACGTGCTCAAGCTACGGAATTGGTCATTTGACCGGTGTATCATTTCTCCAAGACCAGACGGTTTGGCCTAAAATTATATTTTTTAAGCCTGATTTAAAAAATATTATTTTAGGCCGAGGGGGGAGTTGGCAGTAAGATTTTTAAAATTTTTGCAGGATTTTTTAAACTTTTGAGTTGGTAACGGATATTATGGGCAGGAGCATTTTGGTCAGCTACAAATTTTTCGTTTTGTTGTCATTAAATTTGTATTGTTATTTAAAATCCCCAATTACAAAAAATATTAGAAGGTAATTCTAATTTTGCGATGCAATTTTAATACTCGCTCGAGGAGATTAACATTATTATAAGACAAGACGTTTAGTAGTTTGGGTGGGTTTGGTTGTGTTCTTAAAAGAAAAGTTTTCGCTTAGTAAGGTTGAAATTTATAGTATCAAAAGTCTGAAAAGCAGTAAAGTATTAAGTATCGACATAAAGAACCCGCCATCTTTTACAGGAAATCACAGGAAAAGTATGGCGGGTTTTTTATGTCGGCATCTAATAGAAAAGGGCATTTCTGGAAACTTTTAGACCAAAGAGTGAAATTCTAAAAATTTTTGGAAAAAAAAATTAAATTTTAGCAATTTTGGACTTAAAAAGGTATATAAAAACACTTTTTTTACAAAAAAAACAAGGAAACTTTGGAAATTTCAAAAAATTTTTATAAGTTAAAAAAGCGCGGTAAAACTTTGTTTGTTTTTTTTTGAGTTTTCGGATCAGCGAATTTGAAAAAGCTTGAACAAATATTGTGTTAAATGTATTTTTCCTTTATGAAAACATAAATTTGTGTGGGCGTGTTTTTTTTTGTTTTACCAGTCGATTTGGCATTTTTTAAAATTTATTTTTTAAATTTAGATATTTTTTGCAATTTTTAAATATTTTTAGGGGCATTTTTTTGCTTCTTCCTAATTCTAGGTACATTTCTGCTATTTTTTAGTGATTTGAAGTGAGTAGAATGAATTTTTTAGGTAAAGAATGTGAAAAAATGTCATTTCTTTTGTTGTTTTTTTAAAGTTTTGAGTAAAAAATTGTTTTCTTTGCGTTAAAAAACAAAAGCAAAGTTGTAAGGCACGGAAATTTAATCGTAGAAAATAAAAAAAAAGATAATTTCAACGAAATTTTGTTGTTTTTAGTGGTAATGTTGTTATTTTGAATCGGAATCCTTTTACTTCAGGGTTTGAAAACATCAAATTTTGGTGTTCTTTAGACTATATTAGGGTGAATCAAAAGCAGTGGGACACTTTTTAGTTGAAAAATAATTGAAAAGTGTCCCACCACTTTTGGTTTAACCTAATAATAACAATATTTTACTAGAAAACGAAATTTTCCACTTTTCCGTCATCAAATTTGTCGTCAATCACTCATTATATATTAGTGCGTTAATGCGTCGTGAAATGGGTGAGGGCATTTAAGGACACAAAAGCACTAAAGTGCCATTCTTTCTTTTTCCCGCGCGCTTAATCGAAAGCATAACGTTCCCTTTTGAAAAGAGCTTTGAAAACTTTTTAGTTTAATCCACATATAAGCTTTACGGGATAAGTTTTTGTTACGATTTCAGGTGCTTTTGGTACTTTTTGTGCAAAGGTCCTTAGATTTTTTAAAAGTTAAAAAAAAATTTATTTTTAAAATTTTTTTGTTATACGGACAAAAATTATCTTTTTATCGCATTTAAATTGATAATTATTTATATTTTTACGTATTGACATTTACTTATGAATATTACATTCACTGCGCGGGTTAACATCTTTACCTTGTAACATTACAGACCTTGAGTTTCTTAGTTTAAAAATTCGAAGTAGGCCAAGATTTGATGGACTAGTAGTACTAATATACTCAAAAATTGTTGAATATGTCATCAAATGCATATTGTCCAACTTCACTGTTTCGACCACCGTCGCCTGAGCCGGCTTTACCTTCGAACATACCATACAATATGTATGAGTCGGATTATGCCGAGGTTTTGACCACGAATCAAATGGACAACTGCCGTACCATTGATTATTACAAACAGGAACATTACAAAGATGCTTTTAGTAAGAATGACATCTTGGCAGTTTTGGGGGTGGTTCAATTTTTAGAATATTGGGGGGGGGGGGCGGTTCAATTTTTATTTTTTAAATAGGGGTAAATATAGATGAGTTTATGGTAAGGTAACGTAGGGTATGGTAAAGCAGTGTAGGATAAGGCATGCTAAAGTACATATGAAAATGAAAAACATTTAAAATTTCAAAAATCTTTTTAAAAATTCAGCTCTTTTGTAGAAAAACATAAAAATTTGAAAAAATCGCCAGCCGGCTGAACTTATAAATATTTTTTATGAAAACAAAGATTTTTCATCTTGCGCGAAAGACCTTCCTTTATTTCTCGAAAGGTGGTCAACGGTCGTTTCCCTCTTTTATAAATAAAAATAATTCTTTTACGGCAAAAAGGGTTTAAATTCCGACGAATTTACGGAATCGGGAACACCATAGTTACATAATGGTATTAATAGTTACAGGATGTGTTTAATAGTTGAATAGAGTGCTGGACGAGCAATTTTGGTCTGGTGGGGGGGGGGAGTCAAAAATGGGGGGAGGGGGATTCGGGAGTCAAAAAAACGGGGGGGGTAAAAAAACGGGTGGTGAGTCAAAACATAGGTTGAGGGTACTTACGGGCAGGGTGAATTATTTTATCAGTTTTTTATCCTGAGTAATCAACAAGCGAAACCGCGTTAAAATTTTTTAATTTGAGTGAAGGCAGGGGCGGATAACTTTTTAAAATTTTTAATCTTGAGTCAAGACAGGGGCGGATAACTTTTAAATTTTTTTTTTCATTTTTAAATTAAAAATTTAATATAAAAACTCAACTTGAAGCTTTTAAGACATACCGCACCTTTTCAATGTTTACCAAAGGGTTTCAAACGATGTTCCGGCGGTGTTTTGCGAATAGTTTTACGCATTGTTTTGGCCACGCGCAAAACGCACGGAAGGTTTTTCTTTGGGCTTGCGGAACTTTTAAGCTTTTGACATAATGAACGAATTTTTAAAAGGTGTTTTGGGAGTTATTTTATAATAAAGGGACTTTTGATATATTTTTTCAATTTTAAAATGTGTTTTAGAAGTTATTTTATAATAAAGTGTCTTTTCGTAAGTTTTTTTCGAATTTTAAAAGTTTCGCTTGTTAAACGCTGGCCTACACCAATAAAAATTTATTGCATTTTAATGCAAAGTGCTTTTTATTACATTATAATGCGCTTTTGGACATGCAATCTATAATATAAGATATTTTTGATGAAAATTATGGGCTAAACCTAAAGTTTTATGCCAAGTCTAAAACTATGTTAAAAATTTGGGCCTAAGCCTAAATTTGTGTGAATGGTCTAATATTGCAGGCTAAGCCTAACTTTGAGTGATAAGCTTTAAATAATTCTCAAAATATCACATTTTAAATTTAATCTTTACTTTTGGTTGCTGATTGAATACTTTGCCATTTTACTGTAACATAATAGGGTTTTTTTTAATTTTTAAAGTAAAACTATAGTATAGTATCTAAAGTAGTATTCCGCTTCAAAAAACTATTGCAGTAGGTTTAATTAAAAAACTTAAGAAGTTTGCACACGCAAAAGCAAAGTTTCATGTTTGGAGCTTCTGCGGCGCCGGAAGACAAATCCCCAATGGCCATTTCCGTGCTTAGTTTTAAAAAAATAGAAGTGCAGTTTGAAAAAAAGTATTTAAGACACTAAACCAGAGAATAGAGTAAAAAAGTGTTGTTTTTTAGTTGGAGGGGATGAGGAGGGTAAAAATTTTTTTCTAATTTTAAAATAGTTTTTTTTTTGAAATTTAAAAATTTTTTTAAAAATTTATATTTTTTTAGTATCAAAGCTAGAAGACTTGGACTATCAGTTCCGAGTAACCGCGGCAAATCCAGCTGGTTTTGGTGCTCCATCCTTAAGTTCGTTGCTGACTAGTGCTCCTCGACGGGATTCTCAGCCAGTACTACTTGGTATGTTATGTTTCATTTTTTTTTAAATTTTTTTTACTTTTTATTACTTTTTCGAGATTTTTTTAAGAATATTATAAAATGGCAAAAACTTTCTTTACAAACTAAAATTTTAGCTCCTTCTTCGCCAAAAGTAATTTTTGTTGGTCAAGACAAGGTGATATTGGAATGCGATCCCCTTCTTCACAATAACCCTAGATTTATTGGTACTACAGTAGAGTATCGACCAGTAACATCGAGTATCGTCGACTGGATTGTAGCCAACGACTACCCGAGTTTACAACTGAAGCACGAAGTTGTGGGTCTTCGACCAACCGGCGAGTACGAATTTCGTGCGATAGCGTTGTACGATGATAATAGTCGAGTACCATCAGTACCAGTTGGACCCATTTTGTTAAACGGAGATTACGGTTTGAATTACGGTATACCTCAAGACTACGATAAAACGCCGGAATACGGTAAAATCGACAGTGTGAACGGCCAAGTTGACGTCAATCTCCCGAGTCCCGGCCGACCTGAAGTTCAACAAGCTGACTTGACCTGGGTCCAACTGCATTGGACACCACCGGTCAACGCTGGTACACTAGGGCCATTTGTATACCTAGTAGAAGTACGAGATATTTCTAGTACCGACTGGTTTATAGTGGGACCGGAGCCGATAGCAACAAACGAATTCATCGCTGATAATCTACACCGTGACTTCAGCTACGAGTTTAGGGTCAGCATTATGCTGGAAAATGGTACTCGAAGTTTGCCTGGACCAGTATCAAATGTCATAAGCCTGAGCCAATTGATGGAATATGCGGAGGTTGGTCGAGGTGTAGCGAGTGTACCAGAGCGACCAGCACCGCCAGAGTATTTGGACTTTGATGGTGGGAACAGTGTGACACTATGTTGGTTACCGGCCAAAAGCACATTGCCGGTTACGGTAAGTAGTAGGGCAAGGCATGGTAGAGTAGAACACAATTTTAAGCTTAGCTGCAGAGAATCTGGGCGTATCACGCAATTTATTATTACGCAATACTAGGCTTAGTTGCAAAGAATTTTAGGCTCAGCATGTGATTTTTTGTTACGCAAGTTTAGGCTTATAACTAAAGTTTAGGCTTAGCAGCAGAGAATTTTAGGCTTAACAGCAGGTAATTTTACGCTTATTACGCAAGGTTTAGGCTTAACAGCAGGTAATTTTAGGCTTATAACGCAAGTTTAGGCTTAGCCGCAGAGACGTTTAGGCTTAGCATGTTGTTTTTGTCTACGCAAGTTTAGACTTATAACTAAAGTTTAGGCTTAGCAGCAGACAATTTTAGGCTTAATACACTATCTTAGGCTTAGCACGCCAGTTTAGGCTTATCCCTCAATTTTCTTTATTAGGGAGGGGGAAGGGGTATATTGGAGTAATGCAGTGTATTAAACACTGATTTTTGCCCGGGTCATTTAAAATATTTCGATACTATGGGCCGCAACTGTTGAGCCCATTAAATATCACCTTGAATAATGTCTTGTCATAAGCGAAATAATTGGAAATTTAACGAACTTTTAAGTCGTAAGGGTTGTTTTGTCATTAACTTATCAAATTGGGACCTTCTACAAAGAGATTAATGAATTAGGGGGTGAATTGAGAGTCAAAAATCGTTGTGGGAGGTTAATTTTTATTAAAAAATATATAAATTTTGTCATTTTAGGGCTACGACGTGGAGTTCCGTGACATAATGCAAGATTCCGCGTGGTACAAAGTGACTGATGCTTTAATACGGTCTTGTAAAACGACGGTGGGGTACCTAATTTATGGTCATCAATATCAATTTCGGATATTGGCTAAAAATTCACATGGGTTTTCGGAGCCTTCGGACCCATCGCCGTTGATTACTATTGGATCTTTGACTAGTAAGCTTGGTTTTTATTTTTTTAATTTAATTTGATTTTTATATTGATTATGCTTTGTAAAAAGAGTTATTGCAGTTGTTTTATGAAAAAAAAATTTTGTAATTTTTTTTTGTTTTGTAAGAAATATTGTACATTAAAAATTTTGTTGGTTGAGTGATTCTGCGCAAAAGTTTTTAATGAGCGACAAAACACAACAATGAGTATACCTTCTTTAGTTGTTTTTGAGTTTTTCTCACTTAAAATTTGAAAAAAAAATAATTTTTTAATTAAAAATATTTTTAATTAAATAAAAATTTTTTTTAAATTACTTTTTTTGTATTTTAGAAGACACGAAGTACTTGGAAGCAGAACGGCATGGTGCAATTTCACTTCTGCAGGACGAAATGATAAGAGAGAGTCCGCCATTGCCTGATAGGGATGATTCACCTCCGCCAATGTATAAACAGCCTAATAGTGGGAATTGTAAGTCAATGTTTACGACGTTCTACCTTTTTTGCTGTGTTTTGTCTTATCTTATTTTTTCTTACTCTACCCTATGTTACTATATATATTTTAATATGCCCTATTCTGCCATATCTTGCCTATTCCTACCTTAATCAACTATAATATACCTCATTCTGTACCTTGAAAGTTTAAAAATAAAAATTGTCATTTCAGTGCAATGGCGAGATCCCACTTTGAAAGAAGTTATAGAATACTTAAAAAGCAATGACGAAGAAGTGGTAAAGGATGCCTCAGGATATCTACAACATCTCACCTACCACAACGAACTCATCAAAGAGGACACTCGACAGTACGGTGGTATACCCTTACTAGTGAAACTTCTAAGTCATTCGAATCCAGAAATTGTGCGGAATTGCTGTGGCAGTTTGAAGAATCTATGTCACGGTAAAAACAACGATGTCAACAAGAACGCCATTAATGCTGACGGAGGAATCAAAGCTTTGGGACAAGTTCTGAAGACGACTTCTAGTGTGCACGTTCGTGAAGAGGCTACTGGAGCACTGTGGAACATCTCATCGTGCGACGACTTGAAGGAGCCGGTGTTTCATCAAGTGGCTGATCTTGTAGTTTCGTACGTGGTAGTACCCGCTTCTGGAATCATGCAGAATCAAGCGCCAGAACATGGCAAGCACGGTACTGCCAGTGTGTTTCGAAATGGTACAGGTATTTTGAGGAATGTGTCAGCGGCTAGTGCTGAAATCCGAAAACTTTTGCGAGTAGTACCAGGTTTAATAGAAGCTTTACTGTTTTCACTTAAAGCTTCGTTGGACCGACAACAAGTTGATACTCAAGCAGTGGAGAATACAGTGTCACTGTTGCGGAATCTGAGTTATCGTGTGCAAGAAGTGGTGGATCCGAAATACGATCCAAGGCTACAGACACCTAGAAGCAGTAGGGAACGGAGTAAAAGTGCTCCAAATATGAGTCCGAAGACCAAAAGGAAGGGGTTGTTTAAGAAGTCGAAGAAGGACGACATTGCCCAAAACGGCGGTATTACTGTAAGTTCTGTTTTTGTGGTGTAATAGGTAAGGTGATTAGACAGGAGTAGGATATAATGGTATATTAGCATATTAAGCACTGTGAAACAGCAAAGCTCATAAAAATATTTTACAGGGTCCACCTCTACTCTGGCACTCATCCACAGTAGAAATTTACCTTCGTCTGCTACAAGAAGCTTCAAAACCCGAAATTCTAGAAGCCAGTGCAGCTGCTATTCAAAACTTGGCAGCATGTGCATTCGAAGGCTCTGTACAAACTCGCATGACAGTACGAACTCTAAAAGGTCTGCCAATCTTGGTCGAGCTCTTAAAACTACGTGAAGACAAGGTGGTATGTGCTGTAATGACAGCTCTACGCAACTTGTGTATCGACCAGAAGAATCTCGAACTAATTATAAAATACGGATTGCGCGACTTATTGACCAAGCTTCCATCGCCCGGCCAAGAAACTCGAAACGATTTGGTATCTGATGGTACTATTGGTGCGGTTTTAGGAATTTTGTGGGAGGCAGCCCGAGGCAGTCTCGAGATGACTAGGACAATTCATGAGCACGGCGGCACGGACAGACTAAGAACGTTGGCCAAAAGTTATCCAATCTATGGCAAGAGAGTATGCAAATACGCGACTCAAGTATTGTTTTTGATGTGGCAACACCGTGAGCTACAGGATGGATTCAAACGAAGCGGTTTGAAGGACGCCGACTTTTACGCCGGCACGATACAGCGACGTGGACGATCGGCTGCGCCGTCTTCGGATGTGGCAACATTACGAAGACCAATATCATCTCAGGGAAATGAACGACCAGCGCATCTGAAGTCGGCCGATGAAACGATTGATAGTGCACGATATGAGTACGAAGCTTTGACTCCGACCGGTAGAAGGACATCATCCGCACGATATGCGGAATATTCACCGTACAATGATAGGAGTGCTTCAGCCAGGCTTGACGTAAGTGATCTTTGGTTAACTTGTTTTTATAAAATTGAAAAACTTCGATGTCGGCCGCTTTCAGTAGAACAACGCAGTCAGTGCCATTTCTAAAAGTTAATGCCACTTTATGTGATTATTTATTCTTTTTTTTATACTATTAATGTTACAATTGTTTATAGGGAGACGAAGCGTTGTACTCGGCCGTTCAGAAGAAGAAGATTGATTCAGCACGACGTGGATCAGTGGGAGGCGATAGTTGGGTGTAATACCGAATTTTATTATTAGTTTTAAAAATTTTAAAATATTGTAAACTTTACTCATGCTGTAAAGTACCATAAAACCCGTTTGTCTTTTATATTATAGTATTGAAGTTGATGTTTACATTTATATTTTTAATAATCCTTTTTTGTAAATATGTCTGTTTTCGTCTTTTTTAAAATATTTTTGTCGAATTTTAGTCTCTTAATATTTTTATTGTTATACCCTCTGTTAAACGCAAGCAATTAATCAGTGTAAGGGTAATGGAAATCAGGAATTTTCGGATTTTTTATATTCACACAATCATGTGCTTTCATTGTTTTCGTACCGGAATAAACAATTTTGAATAATAAACTTCGCGATATGTTCATTACGTTTCAACATATTAAATAAGTTAAGTTAGTTAGAGCACAATTCTAGGCTTATTACACGCACGTTTAAGCAGAACACAATTAGGGTTAGTATATAAACTGTAAACTTATTGGTCTAAAATATTTCAATTTATTTTTTGACAAAAAGTATCATTTTATATCTTCCGTATACGAGTAACAATAAATAATGACATACTGACAAGAACTTGCAAATCATAATAAAAAGCTCGACTCAAAAAGTGACGCCAGCACAATATAACACAAGGACCGAAACAAAAATTTTTGCGGACCGGTCCGGACCCAAAAACCTACCCGGACCGAAGAAAAAGCTCCGGACCGGTCCGGAAGAAAATTTTTTTTTATTTTAATTAAACTGCTTTAAAAATTGCAAATAAAATGTATTTTTAAGGGTTTTTAAGCAAAAAGAAAGCAGTTTTAGCGCTTCTTGCTTTTTTTAAAAATAAAAGAAATTTTTTGCGGACCAGACCCAAAAAATTTTGGGTTTGGACCAGACCGGACCCGAAAATCGCCGGACCGGTATGACCTATTCCGCCCGGGTGACCTTTTCCCGGGGGACGTAAAAATTCCAATTTCTGCCAAACCGTCGCCCATTTTCGGCCAAAAATTCACTTTTTGTCGATTTCTGCAAATCAAACTGCTTATTGTCAAGCGACTTTGCCTGATGTTCATTGTTTTTGGCATTCTGTTTCAACATATTTTGAGAGAAAATTCTTGCTATAGAAGAAATTCGATATTATTTTCGTAATTTTTTGATCGAAATGAACGATTCGGTTCGGTAAGTTATTTTTCTGTCTAGTTGACGTTTTTAGTCGATTAAAAAGTCTTCATTGTATAAGCATAAGAAAAAAGAAACAATAAATTGTATTTTCAGTACATATTCGTGCGGGAGCAAGAAAAAATCATCAAAGTGGCTTGTGCTGATGGAACAGTGGGGGAAGAAACACTAAGGACTTTGTTTCACGTTGGTGGAAATCTTTCATTGGCACTCTACAGAGGAGAAATTGGATTAGAGTAAGTTCTAAAATGTTTGTTAAATAGTTTTGTTTAGTTGGCAAGTTTGGATAAAATTTTTAACGTTTTTTATTCTTATATTTTAAGATTTCGACGGAATGTGTTTCTATTAGGACCTAACTGGAAGGCACAGTAATTTACATTGGAAGTAGCGAAATTCCGACGATCCAGGCCAAGAACTCCGAATGAAACGGAGCAGCTGACTACTAACTTTTCATCTGGCCTCAACATCTGAATACTCGAGTCCGCTTCAGGTGGGAGAACATCAACCAGAGCATTTGAGTACTTACGAAGAACAACAGAACACCCTGGCTTCAACAATTCTCTGTCCAAGATAGACAACACACGTACGGAGTAGTTTGAACCTCAAAATAAAAAAATAAGATAAAACTTGCATGTTCAACTTGATTTAAGTTGAACATGCAAGCCAAAGTATTGTTACCAGTTGTAAAACCAACAACAGCGTGATCTTGATCAACAGCTTCCAAAAACTGCCTAATAACAACAGGAACAGATTGAATACGTTTTATCGGTAAAAAAATAAAATTATTATTTTTCATTATGTCTTTTTTCAATTTTTTAAAATTCGTTTTAGTAAGTCTTATTCTTGTACCCCTTGTTAAAATCATAGTTGGTTTCATACCAGAACCAGGCATTTCCACAAATCGGGCCTCGCCCGGCACTTTTCAGTTTTTTTTTTAAATTATTGTAAAATTTATAAATGATTTTTGAACATCTATTAAGCTTCCGGTGTACTGTAAAATGATGTAAAAGAAGGCGGGATAATATATATTACTGTAGTTCTATATTTTTATGCTGTTCTTGTCAAAACGCAATTTATGACGCGTTTATCAAATACTCAAAAATAAGTAATTTTTTGGGCTTAACATGTGTTAAGGCTTATTTGCTTTTCAGTTTTAAAACTTGTTTTTGTGTAGAACGCAGACAAAAAGATAATTGATTGTGGTAAAGAAATTTTGGCTTCATGTTTTCTGTCTTTGAAATGTCCACCGGGTTCCAGTATTTACAGCTTTTTCACAACTGTTTTATTAGTATGTTGCGAGCATTTGGTCGATTATGGAATGGTTAGGTGTGTTTTTTGCTTTTTTTTGGCTGGGCGGATGATAAGGAAAAACTTTGTAAGAAAAAATATTTTCTTTTTTAATTTTTTAAAATTTTTTGGTTTAGAAGTATCCGAAATTTTATTTTTTGGTCAAAAAGTTCATAGAATATGATTTATTGTCTAAAATAATGTCAGAACTTCATTTTTTATAAATTTTTTAAAAATTGAAACCTTTTGGCCCGTAACTCCCTAGGGTTTTATTTTTTGGCCCAAAGAGTTTAAATTTCCTTTTTTTGGTCCACATGTACCAGAAATTAGTATGTTTTACAATAAAACACGAAACTTCCTACCAGTTATTGTTTTCTTCAAAATTTACTTAAATTACCAGTACTTTCTTTCCAAACCCTTTAACCTTTTTCCTTGTAGCCGGAGGCTTGTTTTTAGGATTTACTCAACCATTTCAAATATATTCGTAGACGGTTTCCGCACAACGTGCATCATTAGCGTCATCCTTCCGATATCTCCGTGTTTCTTTTATTGTTTAATGCCTTAGGGGCGTTCTTTCTAAGGTTTTAAAATTTTTGGAAAATAGTCCTTTAAACGATTTGAAACTTCGGGTTTATGGTTTTGTAAACAAAGTTTTTGTAATTTATTGTTTTGTAAAGAAGGTTTTGCTAAAGACATTTAAAAAATATATTGTAGTAGTTGATTAGGCATTAAAAATATATTGTATTAATTGATTAAGCTGTTTTAAGTACACAATTCCTTAATTGTGTCGTTAGGTTTCACGTGCCATTTGAATAAACACTGCCAAGCCATCAAGAATTTTTTGCCAATTTACATAAACAATTCAATTTCCACTTTCTTTCAAGAAAAAACACGCCGTTCTCAACGTTCATATTGTTTTAGGCGGTTCTTTAGGGCTTATTAAATGTGCAAAGTGCTTAAAAATTTTTAAAGGTTTTTTTGGTCCAAAAGTGTAAAGAATTATATTTTTTGGCCTATTGGTTTGTAGAATTTAATTTTTTGATCTAACGTTTTTTAAATTTTTATTTTATGGTCAAAAATTATTCAGAATCCTAGCTTTTTGTGCTTTTTTAATAACTTTAATCACAAGTGTTGAAAAAAGGATGTGTGGGAAGAATATGCTAATTATTTCACGCTGTTGGCAAAGAATTAACATTTCCTTGTCTGGCAGTAAATTTTACGGATGTTTAGTTATTTTAGTTTTACGTTTCTTATCTGTTTTGCCAGCAAACGGTGCCGACATAAAGAGCCCGCCATACTTTGCCTGTAATGTCCTGTAAAAAATGGCGGGTTCTTTATGTCGGCACCTAATAGTTTTTAATTTTGATGATTTGTCTGATCCACTAATTGTTCAAAAGCTGATTTTAGTTAAAATTTTGAAATTTTAAAATTGTGACAAAGTTCAAAAATCAATTTTTAACTTTGTAACTCAATATATAGTACTTGATCTTATAATTTGCAACACGAACGTCAGAAGCCTTATGTTATTTAGTTTCGGACACCTTTTCATACTTTCCAAATGTCAATCATAGAACGACGTTTTTTATTTCCTTGCTTTTGAAAATTTCACATTTTGTTTTTAAAGTTATATTGTTAACGATAATATGACTGTCAATGTCGATAATATGAAATTTAATGTCATATTTAGTATGTTCGGGCCTTAAAAAGCTTTGTTGTTAAACATATTTCGAAAGTTAGCTCGTAGTTATTGGCTAAATTTTAGGTATATCCATTGTTTAAACGTTCAAATTGACTATTGTATATTATGACGTTGGCTTTTTACTATCAACAATAAAGTGCCATCTCACAGAAAGGCAATGCACGGTGAAAATACTGTGTCAGAATCATGCTGAAGAGTATATTGCTTTTGTTATTATCAATTACGTGTGTAAAAGGTAATTTTCATCATTTAAACATACTATAAGATAAAGCCTAGATAGACTAATCTTGTTAAGCACAAGCCTACTAAGCTTAAGTTTGCTAAGCCTAAGATGTTTAAGCCTAAGTTTACTAAGTCTAAGCCTACTAAGCCTAAGCCTACTAAGCCTAAGCCTGCTAAGCCTAAGCCTACTAAGCCTAAGCCTACTAAGCCTAAGCCTACTAAGCCTAAGCCTACTAAGCCTAAGCCTACTAAGCCTAAGCCTACTAAGCCTAATTCTACTAAGCCTAAGCCTACTAAGCCTAAGCCTACTAAGCCTAATTCTACTAAGCCTAAGCCTACTAAGCCTGCTAAGCCTAAGTCTACTAAGCCTATGCCTACTAAGCCTACGCCTAAACCTAAGCCTACTAAGCCTGAACCTACTAAGCCTATGCTTGCTAAGTTTAAGCTTAAGCCTAATTTCCAAAATGTATAATTTAACTTTTAACCTTTTAGCGGGTCCATCAGAATTACTAGACCATATTCTAAACAAGTATGACAAACGGGTTCGGCCTTTTATCGATGATGGGCGACCGGTCGAAATACAAATGACTATTGTTCTGGCAATCTTAACTGAACTTGTAAGTTTATTTTTTAATTATAAAGTAAAATTTTAAAATTAACATAATTGAGAATTGATAATTCAGCACGAAAACAATCAAGTGGCTTCTTTTGTCATATCACATGTTCAAAAATGGGTGGATCCGAATTTAGTGTGGAATCCGGCGGAATACGGTATTGATCAACTTACCGTACCTCAGAGTTTAGTGTGGGTACCAAAAATGTTCATCTACAACAGGTAGCTTGCCAAACCTTATGTATTAGGTGCCGACATAAAGAACCCGCCATACTTTGCATGTAATTTCCCGTAAAAAATGGCGGGTTCTTTATGTCGGCACCTAATATCAAGTTGTCCGAATATGAATTAGCCATTCAAAGTGCCCTACTTTAAAAATTTTGGCTCATTCATATTCGGACAGCATATTATGGCATTCGATATTTAAATTTGTTAAATTTTAAAAATTTTTAGTATGGACACAAAAGACATGCTGACGGAAAACCGGTACGATATTAGGCTAAAACACGACGGGAATATCAAAGTTAACATACCACAGTATGTAACATGTATATGCAAATTGCAAATTGATGTAGGTTGTTGATTTTGCTTTTTCATTTTTTTAATTGTACTTTTAGCTTTTCCCATTTGATACTCAATTCTGTGCTATTGCTCAAGCTTCACCGTTGTTGAACATTAATGAAATGGTAGTTAACGCAACTCAACCACCCAAAGATGCTTACTTTGCTGTACGTTTTGTTTTCTAAAGCTACTGAGCATAAGCATACAAGCCAATGTATGCTAAGCCTAAACTTAAGCCGCGATATGCTAAGCCTAAACTTAAGCCAAAATATGATAAGCCTAAACTTAAGCCTAAATATGATAAGCCTAAACTTAAGCCTAAATATGATAAGCCTAAACTTAACCCAAAATATGATAAGCCTAATCTTAAGCCTAAATATGATAAGCCTAAACTTAAGCCTAAATATGATAAGCCTAAACTTAACCCAAAATATGATAAGCCTAAACTTAATAAGCCTTATTAAGAGTCTAAAATTTTCAGGGAAACGCAGAATGGGAAGTGATGAATGTGACCGTGCGTCATATGAAGTTTATGGAAGATGGTGAATATCGTGTAGAAGTGCATTACATTCTGCACTTACATCGTCGGCCAATCTACTATCTTACGGTTATTGTTGCCCCCACGTTTTTAATATCAGCATTGAGTATTTTGGGCATCTTTTCGCCTGGAGACAGCGATGGGCCACGAGGAGAAAAGGTAAAACATCCCTTTGTTTATTGGAAGGTACCCTAACGTATGAACCCTTACCCTACCACTCTACTCTGCCTTACTCTACCCTCTAGCTTTTACCCATGAAAACCTAAAAAGTTAGGTGCCGACATAACAAACCCGCCATACTTTGCCTGCAATCTCCTGTAAAAAATGGCGGGTTCTTTATGTCGGCACCTAAAAGGGTTCATTTCCAGGTATCCCTAGGCTTAGGCTCCCTACTAGCCATGGTTGTGCTACTTGACATTGTAGCCAATGCAATGCCAAAAAGTAACTCCATCCCCTTACTTGGCTATTACATTATTGCCGTCATATTGTTATGCGCACTTGGCGTTGGTATTTCAATGGCCATGTTGGGGATTAGTAGGTCGATGATCGAAAGTGAGAATATGCCTTCACAAATGGCCTACTCAATGGTGTTTATGAAGCGGCCGAAACATTTCATGGACTATTGGGAGAGGATGAGTGTGTTGGAGCAAATGGAGAACGATATTCATGTAGCACCGTGAGTTTTGTGACACTTTTGATTAAAAAGTGGCCAAGTACGTATCTGAAATTTCACTTTTTGGTCCAGAAATGCACGGAATGTCTGTGTTTTTCCTACAAATCCTTGAGATTTTAATGCTTGGTTAAAAAATTCATAAAATTTTCATTTTGTTTCAATGGTGAATAACATTATTTTAGGCCAAAGTTCCCAGACCTAATCGCTTTATTTTCACGAGTCCAAGAAATCGCTGATGCTCAAATCGCGTTTAGGAAAAAAATTGAAAAACAAAAATGGCTTGCATCGGTAAGTTGGATTTCGCATTACCTACTTAAACCTAAGCTGACTAACCCTAAGCCTACTAATACTAAACCTTCCCTTAAAGAATTGAGAAAGAAAAAACTTTCTTTACAAAACCCAGTCACAAGACACCACATTTTAGGTCGAAAAAGAATGGAATCGGATATTCGCCCGCTATGATTATTTGTTTTTACTGATATTTCAAGTGCTCAACCTCGTCGTACTCATGTTGTTTTTGCGTTTTTCGTGGTTACCCATACCTGAACTACCCACGGAGTTTGTTGTATAAATTTCTTTCGAATAAAGTTTTATTTTTTAGGTAACAAAATGAACAACAATAACAAAAACAACAAACACTGAGTGTAAATTAACCAAACTCGTGTTGTAACAACAAAAACATTAAAAATAACCCTTTCAAGGCACCTTCTGCAAGAAATTGAAGTCTTTAACAAAAATTTTTAAAAATCAGAAAGTTTCTTCCATCGGAGCAAACGCTGCCACTTTGGCTGTATTCACTGACCCTTTGGCTTTACACTTTGGGCCGTGATTCTTGCCATGATTGTCTTGGAAGCGTAGTAATCCGGCCACTCGACTGTTTTCCTTGGCTTTGGGATGGTATTGAGGGTTGAATGGGGTTCTGAAAAGTTTTTAAATAATTAAAATTTAAAAAACACCACTTCAAACCTTATTGTGTCAAAAAAAACTCATACTATCATTTAAACTCTTAAAACAATATTTTTACTTACACTGGCTTCAGAGCCAAAATTTGTCGTCCTGGAGCTTCTTCCGAAAAGTTCTTCATATCGCGGCCTTCTTGAGCAAACTAGAACAATATAAGAGCTAATAAATACAATAAAATATTATATATGATATAAAAATAATAAATAGTTAACCAAAAACTTTAAGATTAAAAAAAATACTTCAACCGATATCAAAAAACGACCATAAAACCTACCAAAGACCGTACAGTATCCCATAGTACCACCAATGGGGCGTCCGTTTTGATTGCCTTTGGATTGCAATGCGATCCCGAAACTCTGTAACCGGCATTCAGTATAACCGACCGGAACGTCAACGACTTTGGCACTCTGGCCTTGCAGATATTGACCAACTGATCAATCTCGTAGTAGAATGGCACATCATCCAACTCTTCGAGCATGACAGTTAGAACACCGACCAGTCGATTGTGGGTTCCTAATCGTTTGTCGGCCTCCGTTTCTAATATGTCCTTTAACAGGACTTGTACGAACGTCCTGTCAAAGTACGGTGCTGTGTAGAATGGTCCCGTAAGTTGAACCGAGTGTTTACAATGTACACAGTTACCTTCCGCGTCCATAATCTCAGAGTTGTTAGGTTTGGGCAATAGAAACTTGATCGAAGTCCCATTAACAACCTTCTTGACCAAGGGTTGAAATGATAATGAGTGACAGCCGGTACAGTGAAGAACATTAGACAGTTTAGTGGCTCCTTCTTTCACGTTTCTAGCTCCAGTTTTGATTCTGACAAAACATCTGATGTAGAAATCGACTGATACACAAATTAGAGGCTCGATATACCGGTCGTATGAAGCTGCATGTTGTTGAATTGACCGTAGCAACATTCGGATAGCCTGAAGATTACGAATTAAAGTTTGATCCGAAAATTCCAGCAATATCACTGTTCGACTCAACATTACTTATAATCCTAATTTTGAAACAAACAGTCCTTATAATTTCCAAACGATCATAAATGTTACCTAAAAACATAAAATAGTAAAAAATAACTTACCGCTTCATGACAGCACTTCGCCTTCAAAGGAGTTGAACCATATTTGCTTAAGGCTGCTTCGGGCGTGTTTCCACACAGCGTAGCCATATCGGTACATGTAACCATCAATATGCCACCATCCACAACCGATTGTACGGCCGTGTTCAAGAATGGCGTTGCAGAACCGTATGGATCAAGATCAACGGCATGAAAACGTTTGTCAACTTGACGACATTCGGACATTAACTGTCTGAAAATTAATTTTTAGAACTGACACTTTCTTAATAAAAAACAATAAGAACTTTCTTCAGAAAAATGGCAAAACCTGAAAAAATATAACAAAAAGAAAACATACGTAGCGTCAGCATAAGAAACATGTATCAGATCATCTACACCATTTAAAACCGCATTTTTCTTGATGTATTCAACAGCGTTTTCACTGAAATCATTCGCCCATACTTCTGTTACACCTTCCACCTCTTTTGAAAACCGTAGAGCACGAAGTCCAGATGCTGATAAGGCATCCAGCACTCGAAATCCTGTCTAAAACAATATAGCTTAAAACCAACTATATTATGTATTAAAAACTAACATAAACCAATAAATTTTATCCTACAAACATCTCAAAATAATATAAAACTAGTTATTACCGGCCCAATTTTCCTTTTCTTGACGCTAGGTTCATCATTGTTTTGATTCACAGCTTCATTCAGCTCTTTTCCGAGTATTCGCAGCACTGACACCCTAAAAAATAACAAACTAATGTATAAAATGAGAAAACTTGCGTTAGATCCCGGTTAAACTCTTGAGCAGGATTGTAAAAAGCTTCAGCACTTCCTTCAAAACGAATCGTTGCCAAACCTTCAGTAATTTCAGAAGTTGACATTTTTTAATGTCGAAATCTAAATTTAAGTATAAAAAAAAATTCAAAAGAACTATTGCATTTTCACAATAATTATTTTATTTTGAGTCAAGTTTCGCTTTTAGATTGCGCCAAGACTTTCCCTAAACCAGCAGGGAATGTACCTTGCCTGTCCCTCTCGGAATCAGCTCAAAATTTTTATACAGTACTCTCTCTATATAAGCAACCCGAAGGGACCGACATTTTATGTTTACTATAGGGGGTGTTTCGTCTTTACAGAGAGACTTTTTATTGCAAATTGACTTGGCGGGGCCAAATTTATTGTTTACTATAAGGAGAGTTGCTTGTACAGGTGGTTCACTATATAAAGAGACCACTATATGAATTCCTTGTACTACCAACAGTACCTATAAAAAATTTTAGCTCGCGCTTGTATAAAAATATTTAATTCAAAAAAATATTGTATGACATATTTAGGTAAATAAAGTTTAATTATGATTAAAAATATATTTTTATAAAATATAAAGGTATAAAATTAGCAAATTAGTAGGTGAAAGTATGTATAAGAGATCAAAGTACAGCACTATTATCACAATCTTTGCAATCATGTATTTTTTCGTAACACGATGGTCCCGCGCGGTCGTTTTATCACTTCTATTTCTGGTCGATTCACCAAGCGACGAATCTGAAATATTAATTTAAGTGTGATGCATAAAGTTACGGCGTAAAATAGAAAAAACTCCATTTTATAAACTTTATGTCAAAAATTAATTGAAATTAACAAAGAAAAATCGGAAATAGTCATAAAATTTAATTCATTATTTATAAAATCACTCAAACATACCGCAGCAATCCTGTAGGTATGCGAAATTGACATCTCTTCCTGAACAGTGTCGTTCAAAAAACGTTCAATTCGTCGCTTTAACGGAGGAGGAATGGCACCATTAGCTTGATCTCGGCATCTTAAAGCCGGTTTAGCAAATCGTGCCATTTTCATTGGAGGAGCTTCTGATGCAGAGTCGGGTTCAGGCGTAGTTTCCATCAGATCACCACGAACGTGCCTTTTCTTCACCAGAGAAGACGTTCCTACATCAACATCGGTGTTTGATTCAGGCCAGTCACTTTGCTCGTCATCTGCATCGTGGCCTTCGTTTGTAGTGTCCTCACCAGAGGTTTTTTCATCTCCAGAAGTCCCTTGTATTTGCCAATCCATTTGTGAAGCAGCTAAAATTAAAGTTCCAAATTCTAAATGAAAAACAAAAAAAGGTTATACCTATCCAAAAAGATCAGCTTTGATCAAACAAGTTAGCTTAACCGATAAACTGATCGTACTTCTTAAAAGCCAATCAGTTTATCTTTTTCGAAAAACATATAAATGTTATAAAATTCATTAAGCCTCCAACTTGTAACAGCAAAACTAAAAATCCAAGACAGAAATCCGTTTACCTAAACACAAATCAATAAAACAAGATCACATACGTCTTTTTCGGAGCCGCCGTCGTTTTTTGGTCTTCAACGAGCCAGAATTTTCTGATAAGTTGTCCGAATCCAAAGTTACACCAGCTACTCCATTTGTAGTACCATCTAGATCGCTTTCCGAAGTTGGTTTTGTAAGCACAATACGATGTCGCCGCGACATGATCCGCTTTATGTTTTTATTGCGATATTTTTATCTTTTATTTATGATGCGAAACGCCAACTATTTTGCATTCGTTTATTTCGTTGTGGGACCCAGAAAAACCTCTTTTTCAATGAAAAATATTTTTAAAAACACGATTGATCAACAAAATGTTTTGTTAAATTGATCGTTAGTTGTTTCAATGTTTTTTTAATTACATATAAGCATTGCAGCTGGTGTAGAAAGATTAGAAAGTAATTAGTTTAAAATACTTTGTTCGTATATAATTTACCATTTGCTTAGAGCAATTGGATGCGTGCACCCGGTTTTTTAGAATTAAGAGTATAACATGCTATGGAACTTGGCCTGAAAGGAGCCGGGTCGGGCTGGGTCGTCCACAACTTATTTTATTTAATATTTTAATGAATTTAAAAGAGGCCGGGCCGAGGCGAGTCTGAAAGGCCTGGCTGAGATATTTGGGCCTGAGGAGCTCAAACCATGGCCCCTCCTTTTTACAGTTTTATATGAACGATTACACTAATGTATCTGTGTAATAAATAAATACCTTTTTCATCAGCAATCATTGTTTATTTACGTTTCGAGGTGGCTTCAGTTTGATATAATATCATTTTATAGGTCAAAATGGACGAGTTGGCGATCAAACGTTTCCAACAATATTTGCAAGTGAATACAGAGCAGCCCACTCCTGATTATGGTATGATAAAGTTGTTGGAAGGTATACTGTGTGTTTTTAGAAAAAAGTACAACGTTTTTGATTGAATATGCTAACGAATTGGGGTTTGAGACATGGACATATGAGGTGAGTTATGTATAACATTGAAATTGAGTGTCATAATGCTAAAATCGACCTTGAATTGCTGATAAAATAGCTTTAAAATGATAGAAGTTTAAAAAAATTTTTATTATTAATTTATGTTTCAGTGTGTCAAAGGAAAGCCGTTTGTGGGCATGGTACTAAAAGGAAGTGACCCGTCTTTACCGTCTGTGATGCTGTACTCTCATACTGATGTAGTGCCAACATTTCCTGGTCATTGGAAGTATGACCCATATTCAGCGCATCGTGATGAAAAAGGCGACATATATGCGCGAGGTGCTCAAGATATGAAGTGTGTCGGAGTTCAGTATATGGAAGCTTTGAGACGGTTGATAAAAGAAGGCAAAACCTTTAAACGGACTATTCATTTGGTATGGGGACCTGGTATGTGATAGCATAGAGTTTAGTACACGTCTTTGCATAATGTAAAAGGGTTTTGTTAAGTTTTTCATGAGCTATACGTAATATATTAAGTTAGGTTAACAAGTTTTTTTGGGACGTTTGACTGTTTTATTAAATAACGTATTATGTTTAGAAGAAGAAGTTGGTGGGATTGATGGTATGGCATTGTTTGCCAAGACAGAGAAGCTGAAATCGTTGAACATAGGCTTTATTTTGGACGAAGGGTTGGCTACCGAAGACGATGCTTACAAGGTGTACTACGGAGAAAGGTGTCCTTGGTGTAAGTTGTAATTATTTTTTTAGTTTTGTTTTAAAAATTGAACTGTTATTTCTTTGCAATAAATTATATCTTTTAGGTTTTTTATTGCTGCCACTTTTTACTATACGGTATTGTTATAGGGATCAAGGTGACTTGTTCAGGCTCTCCTGGACATGGCTCGAAATTTATTGAGAATACAGCTGGTGAAAAGTTACAGTCAATTATCAATTCGTTTTTGGCATTTCGCGAGGAACAACGGCTTAAATTGGCCAACAATCCTGACCTTAAGTTAGGTGACGTTACTACAGTAAACTTGACCAAAATTGAAGGCGGAGTACAACAGAACGTCCTGCCGGCCGAATTTATTGCTTGTGAGCTGCTTGTTTGTAAATAGGATAGTTTTTTTTTTAATTCTTATGTAAATTAACATTTTTTAGATTTTGACATCCGTGTTACACCCACTGTCGATTTCGAAGTAAGTACAGTAGCGTGCTATTCTGTGTTTGGTTTATATTGTATATTTGTTGTTTAAAGCGGCTTATCTTGTTGATTTCGGAGAGATTTGAACGCGCGATAATCGCTTTTGTACGAATTTTTATGTCATCAAAAAGAAAGTAAAATTGGATTTTATTGTTTCAGGCAATGTGACAATACTTTTTATGGGAATTGTGGCTAATTTGTTAACTAAACCAAGTATTAAACTTGTAGTTATGCAGTAAAATAATTAAAAATGTTCATTTCTAACGCAAGGTCAATCATAAATCTGATGCACAACCAGACAGTCCTCATTTCTAATGAAAACCGCTTTAGGCCTTCGAAAAACAAATTCAAGAATGGTGCACTAAAGCCGGTCCGGGTGTGAAGTGCGAATTCCTGCAGAAGTGTATGGTGAAACAGTTGACTCCAACCACAAAAGATGACCCATGGTGGAATGCGTTCAGTAGTGTTATGGATGAGCTGAATTGCAAAATTTCTAAAGAAATCTTCGTTGGTGCTACTGATTCGCGGTATTTGAGAGAGGTGAGAAATGGAACAACATAGCTGTATAGAGCGGTGTACCTTTAGGAGGGGGGGGAGGTAATTTTAGGTCTAGCAGCACATAATTTCAGGCTTGTTACGCGAAGTTTAGGCTTAGCAGCACGTAACTTTAGGCTTATTACGCAAATTTAGGCTTAAAAGCACACAATTTTAGGCTTATTACGCAAACTTAGGCTTAACAGCACACATTTTTAGGCTTACTACGCAAAGTTAAATTTAGCAGCACATAATTTTAGGCTTATTACGCAAAATTCAGGCTTAGCAGCACATTATTTTAGGTTTATTACGCAAATTTAGGCTTAGCAGCGCATAAGTTCAGACTTGTTACGCAAAGTTTAGGCTTAGCAGCAAATAATTTCAGGCTTATTACGCAAATTTTAGGCTTAGCAGCACGCAATTTTAGGCTTAAAACTTTAGGCTTAACAGCACATATATTTAGGCTTAGCATTACCTAATTTTAGGCTTAGCTGCACACATTCAGGCTTATTACGCAAAGTTTAGACTTTTAATATATTACTGTAATTTTAGCAAGGCTACAAAAGCATTGGCTTTAGTCCAATGATCAATACTCCTCAACTCCTACACGATCATAATGAGTACCTGAATGACAAAGTGTTCTTAAGGGGGGGGTTCAGATCTACGAAAAACTTTTTGGAGCGCCTCGCCAATGTTTAAAATTCAAAATGAATTACCTAAAGTGCTAGTTTGTTTTATACCTAAATCAGTCTCCAAAACATGTTTCATTTTTAGATTCTATATGTTTTTAGCCTATAATTCCTCAATTGTGATACTGTAGTTTTGTCAATCAAAAAATAAATATTATTTCCGGTTCCGGAGCTATTTGGCCAAATATTTGGCCACGTACTTCAAACATAATCAAAAGGGTATCATTTGTCGCGCGCGATAACTTTTCGCACAATTAACTTTATAAGCGGGTTATTGTTGTGTTACATGGTATGTTAGCGTACGGGTTGCTGCAAAGTTTTATGTTAGTGTACTGGGTAGAGTTATAGTACGATAACGTACGGGGTAGGGTTATATAGTATGACAGTGTACGGGGTAATGTAATATGGTATGCTAAACTAAGGAGCGTCGCACTTTATTAGCATATTATAGTTAATGCACTGGGTATGGTAATAAGCGGTTGAACCAAAAGTAGCGGGACACTTTTTTGAGGAGAAACACAACGAAGAGTGTCCCGCTACTTTTGGTTCAACTCTAATATGCAAATATTTTTAAAATCGACCAAAACCACTTTAAAAAAGCAAAAAATCAGATGTAACTTGTCGATCCGCTTATGCAAATAGACTGGTCAAGGGCATGGCTGGTTTTTGTCGTATTTTTTACGTGTCTTTTCACTTCAGAGTTCATGGAAAAAGGTCTCTGAGTGGCTCGAGGCTCATCCTTTTCATGTTACTTTTGCTTTTTTCATGTATTGATATAGCATCAATAGCAAAAAATGGTTTTGTTTTTATAAAGTTACATTTATTGGTCTTTTAGGTTTATTTGAAGGCTAGGAAGGTATCTTAACCAGTCTTAAAAGTTGTATTTTTAAATTTGAGCTAAGAAGCATAAGTTATTTATAGTATGATTACTCGTTTTGTGACTCTAAATTGAGTTGCATTATCTTCTCCACCCCCGTCTTCACTCCTGTTCCCCTTTCACCTATCTCTTTGCCCCCCCCTCCTCAAAGTCTCCTCCACCCCAACATGACTTGGGCGGATCCGGGATGATCCGCTCGTACGAAACCTTGAACCATATACATGTATATGGAGGAGCGGGAGTGTTGCGCAACAATATTATTCATACGTTTTTTTATTGCCCGGAAGTGTATTTTTTGCACGCGTCAAGATTATTTATTTTTTGGACGAGCGGACCGGATTTGAGCGCGAAAATTTCGACTTTTTTTTGATATTTTACCCCGCCCGGCTGCGAATTGCGTCAAAATTCAGCACGAGACTTATCATCGGCTTCGGGATGGGTGTTACGGCCGCTTCGTGGGTAAATGCGGTTGGGTGGAGGGGGTAGAGGGGGTCAGAAGAAGGAGGGCAGACATTGAAATACGGACTAGACATGCAATCATCCGTGAATTATTAAAATTTTCAAAAATTTTTTTTTTAAATTTAGTTTCCAACCACCCTTTTTTCCAACTGCTACATTACTGCCTTAAACTGAAAGCCTAAAACACAGCTTAGGAATTGTTTGTAAAAGCAGTGTTGATCCGATCATGTCTAACAGAAGATGAAAATACGACTCTGCTGGTCGACTGGCCTTATTATTGCTTACAGTATACTTATGCCTACAGGTGCGTTTTTTTTGTTTAATTATGAAGTATACATGTATTAGGCCCCTTTTGAAAATTTTGAAATTAAAAATTTTTAATTGCTAAAATTTCGAATTTTTTAAATTTTTTAAAATTTTTAATTTTAAAATTTTTTTATTTTTAAAAAAATGTTTTAACTTGTTATTTTAGTAATATGTTCTCAGTCTTACTTAACAGAAGAAGATTTTAACAGGAGCATTGGTAAGTTTGTCATCTTAGGTTTTTTAAAATATTTTTGAACTAAATATACCAACGCTTTGTTTATACAACTCAAATTGCATGAACGTTCTTTACAAAACAAAAAACTGCAAAATCTTTCTTTACAGAACAAAAAACGGCAAGCACTTTCTTTACAAATTGAACAACTGCAAAAACTTTCTTTACAAAACTAAAAACGGCAAGAAATTTCTTTACAAATTGAAAAACTGCCAAAACGTTCTTTACAAAACAAAAAATAGCAAAATCTTTCTTTACAAAGCAAAAAATGGCAAGGACTTTCAATTTTTTTCATTTTAAAAAATATTTCTCAAAATCTTAAATTTTTCAGATGACGACGTGACATTTTTAACCTCAAAAAGACTTTGAAAACGCCGTAAAATACGACAAACAGCTCGGTAAGTGGGAAAAATTAGACCAGTGGATTATGTCCTACTCTATTTATAGTGGATAAACATTCGAATCGCGGTTATTTACTCTCCCATCAAAGGTTCTACCACGGTGATTTGCGTGGGAAAGCACAGTGGATCTCGGTAGGTTTATATAAATACACCATTTATCCCTTTTTTCTTATTCTGTTTTACGTTACCCTACATTACCTTGTCAAAGCTAAGCCTAACAACCTGTTATAGGTCTAAACTGGCATAATAAGCCTAAAATGATGTGTTAAGCCTAAAATAGACGTTCTTTTTTTATATTTCAGAACATTTCTCAAAATGGAAAAAGGCGGAATGGTGTAACAAATTTAGTCAAAAAATGGCCGAACGGCCGTATACCATACGTAATATCCACCCAATACAATGATCGGGAACGTGCTGTGCTGGCCAAAGCGTTCAATCAGTATCATACTCAAACGTGTATTAAGTTCGTGCCAAAAGAACCTTATGATCGAGACTATTTGTACGTTGGGAAGATTGATGGGTACGTTAAAACAGCGAAAACTTTCTTTACAGTGAAAAAAATGGCAAAGATTTTCTTTACAGTAGAAGACATGGCAAAAACTATTTACAAAACAAAAAATCGCAAGAACTTTCTTTCCAAAACAACAAATGGCAAAAACTTTCTTTACAAAGCAAAAAATGGCAAAACTTTGTTTACAACTCTTTTGCTTCTTTTTATTCGTGTTTTAGCTGTTACTCAGACGTTGGGAAAGCTGGTGGTCGACAAGAACTGTCGCTGGATGATGGTTGTTTACAGTATGATACTATAATCCACGAACTTATGCATTCTGTTGGGTTTTACCACGAACACGAGCGATGGGATCGCGACCATTTTATATCAATCTTGTGGCAAAACATTGACAAAGGTAATATCGAAACGGTGCTGATGGTACTGTAATATTATAAAGTGTATTTTGATACTATAATACTAGTGTTAATACTGTAGTTATTATTTAAGAAACAGCATTAATATTGGCATCTTTAGGCGCATACGACCAATTCGGACGCGTTGATCTTACTGAAAGTTCGTATTATGGGCAGATCTACGACTACCGGTCGATAATGCATTACGACAGTATGGCATTCACAAAGAATGGCAAAGAGACGTTGGTAGCCAAACAGCCAGACATGACAAAAGTCATTGGGGTGGCACAAGACTTTAGTCCAACTGACCTAGTTAAAATCAAAAAGATGTACATGTGTGGAGCTACTACGGTACGTCGTGCTGTATTAGTAACCTCGTAATTTTAGAACCCTCATACTTACAAGTATGTTAATGCATTGTCATCGAAACCTCATGCAACTTGGCCTACGGCACCATTATCAGTTAATAAGATTAGTTATGGTACAGCACCGAGCCCGTCATTGGTACCATTGACAATTTCTCGTAATGTTATGGAGCCAGAAAGTGCACCACGTAAGTAAATTCTATGAATTTCTGAAACGTAGGCGAAACCACAAGTTTTTGCGTAAAATATTGAATTCTATGCACTTTTAGGCCTAATTTATATTTTTTCAGAATGTGGAGATCGAAGTACGTTGTGCTGGCGATGGTTGGAACGGTGTCGTTCGCCGTTCTTTGAAAAAATCATGAAGGAGTTTTGTGCCCAATCTTGTGGGTATTGTACTCCACCAGTGCGACCGTCGTGGCGCTATTCAGAAGGCCGAGTTAGCCCGACGGAGCAAAATTACGATCAAATTGGAAATAGCTATTATAATCAACAACCTACGCAGATACCGTGGTACCAAATTGTTGGATAGGATACGTGAATCAACTTATGAAATCAGGTTAATGGAGAAGTTATAGAACTCAACTTGTGGCACCAAGATTGATAGAGGTATCTAAATTAAAACATTACCAAACTCTACCATCAACAAGCAACGTTTAATCGGCAAAATAAATAGGATTGTATTTACTGTAAAACGGGTTCAAAACATAACATAATTATAAAGTAATAAACAACAAAACCAGCTCAATTTGGGAAAATTAACTTCAACCTTTTTTTTACTTTTTACATTTAACTTCATCCTTTTTTTAATTTTTGACCATTTATAACATTCTTCATTGCCTTTTACTTCTTCTTCTGTACCTTCTTGGCTTCTACCTCAATTGGTGCCTCTTTAACGAAAGGAATCTTCTCCTTGTAGCGTTGTGGCATAAATTCCTGCAAAACTTCGGGGATTCTAATTCCATCGTCTTCTTGGTAGTTCTCCAGCACGGCACAAATCACTCTGGTCGTAGCACACATTGTAGCATTCAACATATGAACATAGTTCACTTCACCGTCCATTGACTTTTGGCCATATCGTACCTTGAGGCGTCTGGCCTGGTAGTCAGTACAATTTGAGCATGACACTAGTTCTCTGAAGGCTCCACCACCTGGGAACCAGCCTTCCAAATCGAACTTCTTGGCAGCGGCGTTGTTGAGTTCGCCGGATACAATGTTGACAATTTGATAAGGTATTCCAAGAGATTGGTAGAATTTTTCGGCGTTTCCAATCATCTAAAATATGGAAAATGAGTTAATGTCAAAAAAATATAAAATTAGTTAAATAAAAACCATGTCCAAACAAAAGATCAACTCATTACCTCGTCGAACAATTGCCAAGACACGTTGTCATGTGGAGAACATATCACAAACTGTTCAATCTTCTCAAACTGATGTACACGGAAGATACCACGTGTGTCTCTACCATGAGAACCGACTTCTTGTCTAAAACAAGTCGATAAACCAGCATATTTTATTGGCAGATCTTGTGGATTCAACCATTCGTTCCTGTGATACGCAGCAATTGGCTGTTCTGATGTGGCAATCAGATATTTTTCATCCACAGTCTCGTCTCCAACAACTTCCGAGCCCTTTGAACTAACCTAAGTAAAAATATAGGCTTATCAATTTATGACTTAACGTGATTAAAAATACCAAAATATGAAACTAATATACATATAAACCATACATCATTCACAACCTACTTTGTACAATTCGTCGTCAAACTGGCTGAGCTGAGCAACTTCCTGCATTACCTCCTTCCTCATGAAGAAAGGTGTATATAACGGCGTAAATTCGTTTTCATTCAAAATCCTCAGTGCCAAATTAATCAACGCTTGTTCCAAAAACACCAAAGGACCTTTCAGGAAGTATCCACGTCCACCAGCTACAGAAGTACCTCGTTCTCCATCAAATCCGTCGACCATTACAACTAAATCAACATGAGAATACTTCTTCTTGGAAAAACCGTCTTTTCCTTCGAACGTTCGCTCAATCTTGTTGTTGGCTTCGTCGTCACTGACTACAACACTGGAATGGAGAATGTTGCCAATTTGGCCAAGATATGAATCCCGTTCACCTTCCAATCTCGTCATTTCATCTTTGGCCTTCACCATCTGTTGTTCTACCAATTCTTTAAGCTTTTTGATTTGCACCACAGTTAAAGTCTAAAACTTAAACTACTTTAGAACGCTTAGACCTACTGATATGGCTTTTATTCAAATTTAAAAACATTTTTACTCTTTAATACACGTTCATAATCTTTTTAAAGTTTAACATCTGCCTAAATTAAGAACAAAAAAAAGTATAACACTTACGCTAACATCCTCCAACTTCAGCTCTTCCAATTTGGCAAGCAGATCTTCAGGAATGGTCGGATCGTTTCCTTGTGGCTCTTTCTTCTAAACAGCACTTATAGTAGTATTAAAATAACATATTCAATATCTAAAACCCAATATTTACCTTCATTTTCTCTCCCACAGCCTTGCTCGTCACATTCTTTAAGCGGTTCAAGTTGTCCAAAGTGAACCGAACTGAAACAGACAATATTACCTTATTTGTTCTATAGTTTTGTGAATCTAATAACAAATAACGTACCTTTAACCCAAGTTTCGTCGGTGTCAATCACTTTATCAACCAAAGTTTCATCCTTATACCGATCTTTTTGAGATTTCCGGATAACATCAGGTTCTCCACCCTTCTTCACACGGAAATAATCAATATCCAACACCATTCTGAAATAAAATTCGTTAAAACTACATATATAACGTTCTTCAAATACTACTTTTTTAAAAAACTAACTTGTAAATGATGCAATTTTATATTTCACTAAAATTTCTAGGATTTTTTGATTGACACAAAGCCAAGAAACATGTGTGTCTCGAAACGAAAATGCTCGTTCGTCCTTTTATTCTCTACGTGTTTTCTCTTTCACATTATGCGAGCTGCAGCCGTGTTTGCAGCTTGCGTACGTTCTTTTAACAAATGTTATACGAAAGAAAGTAGTAAATCTTGATAGCAAATACTTTTTTTAAAGTTTACTTTGAATCGTTAATATTTATATAAATAAACTCCAGCTGATTCAAGGTGGTTTGTGTTTATTTTCCAGTTCTTTTTTAAAGACAAAATATTTTTACATATAACTCTAATTACACATTTTGTACACTGATAGCATAAGTCAACATAAGTAGCGGTGATGGGAGGGGAATGCGACGAATAAGATTAACTACAATAACAATATTCTTTGATATACTACAATTACAATATTTCTTTAGTGTGCTACAATTACTTTTTCATATACTATAATATCAGTCAGTTTTTCATAGACTACAATACGGTGTGTCATTTTAATACCAAATAACATTAAAACATAAGAATACATCTTTTTGATACCCTATAATACTATAACCTACTATAGACTAAAGTTTTGAAAAGTATACAAAAGCCATAAAATAGTCGTTACTACAGTAGAAAATTGTATGTATTACTATAGAAAATCGTATGTAAAAAGCATGTAAAGCAGATAAGAGAAAATGCGAACTCTCGCGATACCCATTAGTTAAATGTGATTTTTCAAATGGCTTTCACAAAAATTGTAAAAACGTGTAGAAAAGTTCAAAAATGTGTAAGATTAGACTAACAACAAAGTAAAAAATTTTACAATTTTGAAAATTAGGCTCAAAAATCAAAAAAAAATTAAAAGTAGAGAAAAAAGAAACAGTTAGTAACTAAATATACAATATATGAGCTATAAAATTGCTTAAAAGTCCGCGTCCCAACCGGTTTCGTCTTCACCCGTCGCAAAGTTGTCCGTCGATGGATAACGGTCGAAATTCTGTGTGTCGGTCGAATTTCGGATCTGAAAATAATCGAAATTAGTGTTTAATCGAATACAAAGTTTAAAATCCTTATTTCAATTTAAAATCCTCACAATTAAAAAAAAATGTAATCCTCATTCCCAATGAAAAACCCATAACCTTACCTTAGGCCTGATTGGCGGCCGCATCGTGTGATTCCTGAATGAAACAAAGTCGAATCCTTGGAACCAAACATCCTTCCTAGCGTCCTCAATTCTACCATATCCGAGACGTTGAGCCGGGTCTTTGCGACAAAATTTGCAAATCAAGCTTTTGGCCTGATCCGTAATATACCTCGGCCACGCTAAGGCATTTACTCCCTTTAATATTGAGTTGTAGGTGTGCATCGGATCAGTTGATGCAAATGGAGGAGTTCCTGATATTAACTCGTACATAAAGATACCCAGACTCCAGATGTCTACGGCAGTATCTTGACCCTTATTTAGGATGATTTCTGGAGCCACGTACTCGGCCGTACCACAAAACGTCCATGTTTTCGCGTTCTCAGACTTTAGTCGTTTGGCGAAACCAAAGTCGGCCAATTTGGGTACGCCGTTCTTGTCCAAAAGCATATTCTCGGGCTTGAGATCACGGTAGATGATACAACGACGATGTAGGTAGTCGAAGGCTTCTAACGCTGCAGCACAGTAAAACCGCGCGGTGAGTTCGTCAAATCTGCCCCAATTCCTCAGCATCGTCCATACCTCGCCTCCAGGACAGTACTCCAACAGCATGTACAGTCGCTCCGCGTCGCGGAAAGTCTTGTAGAGTCTGACGATGAAGTCGCAACGACACGATATTAAGATATTCCGTTCGTTGAGGACATGATCTTGTTGATTCATCTCCTTCACGTGGGCTTTGTTCATGATCTTCAACGCGTACACTTTTTCCGTGTCAAAGTGTTTGACCAGGTTAACGCGGCCGAACCCGCCGATTCCAAGAGTGGCGACGGTTTTGAGATCGGGCAGTTCCACATCATCGATGTCAGCAGTGCTGAAATTAAATTTTGTTAAAGTTAATAATGATTAGATAAGTTGTTTATAAATTGACTTTCAATGATTTTAATGGTTTTTTTCCAAATTTTAAATTTCTAATAGGTTTTTAATCCAACTTATAAATTTTTAATATTTTTTCCTCGTTATTATGCTTCAACAGCCTTTATCTTCTCTTCTCTATTCTATTCTACTCGTTTTTCACGTTAAAAAAAGTACTTTTTTCATGTTGTTCATGACAAATTATCCGTTGAGTTTCTCTATTTTCTAGTAATTTGTTTTTCAGCCATTATCCAGGTTATTTTTTCCGGTGACGCACGGTCATACCTTCAAACTTATGATTTGTTTATCCATAGGTTTGAAGCGTTAAAAAAAAGTTCATTTATAGCATGTAGCTACTACAACATACTAAGATACTACTATAATAGTATCTTTGTTCTAATGTATGCCTTTTATAAAGCACGCTTATCTCAATGTCTATGTTTATCTTAAGGTAAGGCTTTCAAAGTGCCTGAGGGGCTCTTGATGAAAGTGGTTGGATACTTGAGATTTTAGCCAGTGAAGAGATCAGGTGGGCAGTAGGACACAAAGTACGTTACGGCCAAAGGTTGAAGAAAATATTGTAGTACATTAAGAGTTTTTTTTCATTTTAAAATTAAAAAATTGTTGAAATGACGCTCATCTAAAAAATCTTACAGTAATAACCGTCCTACAACTACTGTTACTAAAAATAAATTTTGACAACCAAATTGTAATTAAAGTTACAGAGTAAAAATTCAAGGCTGTTGTTCATAGAACGCTACAAATAGATTTGGAAAAGCCTTTTTGTAAGTTTTGTAATAAGCAATGAGCAACTACTATAACAAAAAAGTCTAACAGAACAACCCAATTATCTATAGTAGACTAGTCAATTCCCATAATAGTATAACTGAAATCCTTTGCATTACAAAACTTAAATCAGGAAGTACATGACTCATGCACTTTTCATTTGATTTACTGCAAAGTAAAACAATTTTACTCATTTTTTGCTCGACTGATAGTTATCAATCTCTGTTAACAAAAGTCACAGTTTTTAGCCATAAATTAAGGTTTGTCACCATATTTTTACCATAAATCAAGTTTATCACCTCATTTTTAGTTGGTTACTCATACAAAAAAATTAAAATTGTTTTGAAAGCCCTATGACAAGTTTGATACATTCGTCTTGTGACGTGCAAAAACCTTAAAACCGAAGGAAGAAACATCCTCCTCAGATCATTTGGTTCAAAAATAGAATATTGACTGATACTGTGGTTAAAAAATTGTTATATTGCCTACATGACGATCAAAAATAAGTCGAAAATAAGTAAAAACATAAAATTTCATAAACTTTTTCATCTTTTACGAGGAAGTATTTCACGGCTAGTGCCATAAAAGCCACCTAACTCAATTTCGCGACTTGACAATGGGTTTTAATTCGATTGTCACTGCCTATCATCCGAAATCAGATTAAAATCAGAAATAGGACAGCGTTTGTTTGATTAAAGACCCCATCATGAAATCCCGGTGACGAGCGGAAGGTAATCAAATAACACAACCGGTTTATGTGCATTTTGGGCAAATATTTGTGTCTAATCGAGTATCAGGTTCGCTTGTATAATATCAGTGACAATTTGTAAATATTTATGAGCAAACGGATTATAATCGTGTAATATTACAAAAAAAATTTAGGTAACAAAATAATTTTTTGACTATTAAAAATTAAAAACCTTTTTTTGAGTTAAACCTTTAAAACTATGCCCTTAAGATTTTGATTAATAGAAAACAAAGTACAGTAGACCCGATAGATATATCAAAAACAAGAATGCCATCAATTTAAGAGATTAACCTTTCTGCAACAAGTGTCCTGTGGGGTTCAAAGGGAAAAAATAAAATGTCCTTAGAGGTCAAGACATCAAAAAAAACCTGCAATGGTACCACTTTTCACCAAAATTTAAAAAAACATTTTAAGTTGCAAAATGGATGTTAAAGTTTCAAAGATTGATAAGAAAGCTTTCAAAAAATCATATTTTGATAAAAACGTTTAAAAAAATCAAATTTTAATTTAAAAACCGTAAAACACAATATTTTAAACAAAATAGAATTTAAAGACCAACATTTTGACACAAGACATTCAATTTGATCGTACTTACCTCGGCTTTTCGAACGACAACTCCAACGTGGCCTGCGCATGGGCCAGGGCTAATTTTTGGGCCGAGTTCGGGATTCCAAAACACCCAAACAAGCCCATTTTCGGCGCGAACAATGGAGACCAAGAAAGGCTATGAACTTTAACCTGGTCTCCGAGGTTCAATTATATCGGGTTCAGAAAACAGCCCCAAAATTCGTAGACGGATTCTTTAAATACCATAATGTTAAATAATGAAGTAAATGTACAGTAACGTAACGCACAATATTGCAATCGCAAAAATAAGATAAAGAAAGTATAGACAGTAGTGGTTATACAAAGAACAAGTCTTGTATCACAATAAATAAAAAAAAACAATTTTACAGTAACCGAATTTCTACCTTCGCCTAAATATTGGTCTCTTTCAGTGTCCGTCTACAAACCTAAAGTCCCCTTGTGAAAGTCGTTCGACCTTCGCAAACTCCTTAAACGTTTAATTGTTTCAATTTTTTAAAAAAATTGAGGATAGAAAAAATAGTTTTTCAGATCTGATCGAAAAAGAAGGTGAACGACGTCTTCAGTCACGCCTTTTCAGGTAAAAACGAAAATCTTTCTACAAGGTCGAATAGAGCCTACGATCTTTGAAGATCAACTATAATCGTAAAAACGAATCACCAAGGTTGGAAAAACTAACTATTTAAAGGAGAGAAAAATAAATAAATTAAGGCTATACATACCAAACAAACTACTGTAATCAAAACTAAATTATCGTTCAAAGCTAAACCACCGCCCACAAAACCAAACTACCACTGATACTCAACGATCTCGTTAAACCACAAGAAGTACAAACGAAGATGCTCACAAACTAAACCCCCCCCAAAACACTAAACAGTCAGAGGGGGAAGCAAGTAGGCGGAGTTCTGGGACATAACGGGAGCGAGTGGATCTCTCGCGCACGGCCTTAACGATGAAGAACAAAGGCTGTTAGCAAAATAAGATTATGACCAAAGGTTTCGTAAATGCAATTATGAGAGCTATTTGTGTGAATGCAACACTTTTGTAAATTGCTTTAACCTAATTTGCAAACGTTCAAACTGTTAAATTTGACAAAAGAGACAGAAATAGTAAAAAGTTACATCATTTTGAATAGTTTTTACACAGTAAAAAAGAAAATTGTAGTCAAAGTGTTAAAAAAAGAGTAAAGGAGGAACTCAAGTTTAATCAAAGTAAAAAAAATCAAGTAACAGAGTGTTAAACCTAACTTTCTCACAAGTTTATGCTGGTAAACCCCTAAAAATTTTCAACAAGCCTCGAATTTCAAAAAACCAATTAAAATTTCGCAAAAAATCAAACAATAAATTCAATTAAAACCCAGACCAATAAAACAATTATTGCCAAATAAACATTATCGTTTATAAACGAGCCTGATATAAACCTTAATATAAACGCAGATTTAGTATAAACCTTAATCTCACATAGTAAATACTAAAATAAAACCGTATAGAAAAACTAACCTCATGTTGAAAATACTGTACCTATGCTCTTCTAATAAATACTGTGATTGATATTTTGTCATAAAGATCATAAACAACAATTAAAAAACAAGAAAAGTTTTGAGACCAAGAAATTTCCCAAATCGAGTCGAAATCCAAAAAAATATTGACAACAAGTTAAAGAAGGCAAGTTTATAAACATCAAAGGTCATTTACGTATAAAAGTATGTTTACTCGTAAACAATAATATTGCTTATTATAGTACAGAGACAAAACAATATCGGAGACGTACATAACAATATAATAGACGTACCAACTTTTAAGCACTCAAGAAAAAAGATAAAAATGCTGATAAACTCATAACAGCTGTAAAAAGTAGTATTGAGATGAAAAATTGTGTTAGCGTACTGATAAGAAACATAATATAATAATGATCGATCAAAAGTAGTATGTTTTATATGAACTATTACTACTTTGCTATTATAGCATACTAATATCAAGCACAGAGTTACTGCTAATTTAGTATATCTAAAATCATCCCAAAAATGCGATATGTCAACTAACGGCCATAACATCTAGTACCCAAATAACAACCGTTTGTCTATTCTCTTTGTCCTAGCTTTATCAAACGACAAATTACCTCCCATGTCTACACCAAATGTCGTGTAAAACAAAGACAAACAGTCGCATGCTTAAAACAATCAACACGGAAATACGACGAATTTTAGAGCCAATTAAATTCGATCCAATTATCTAATAAATACCCATAAACCGGTCAATAAATAACGAAATTCGGCCCATCCTCAAATAGACTCCTCAACTATTCAGTTGGTGTTGATCCACTCAACTTATAAATTAGCCGGTTATTTATCGTGCTGTGTGAAAGCTCAAGTGACAGCCGACAGATCAGAGAATGGAATGATAACAAGGAAGTCGATCTAATCCGTCTTTTTTTGACGTTCAACCACAATGAGAGACCGACAATGTTATGGAATTAGAGGGAAAGACGAGGAACGGCAGCACGTTAAAAACTTGAAGAGAACGAAGCATAATATAAAAGGGGAAGAAACGCAAGATAAAGAAGAACGGCAGAACATTAGAAGAAGCCAAGATAATGAAAAACACCAAAGCAATAGAAGAACGTCAAGACAATAAAGGAACGTTGAAGAACGATGGAACAAATTTGAACTCAATTGCCTTAAACTAATCGCTTTGAAATTCTGGCATTAATTGCGTTGCCCTCTTTCGTTAATTGACTCTTACCGATTTTAAACTTTCACTAATTGTCCCTTTACCGTACTTGATTGTTCTACAACGTCAAGTGCGTATATTTTTTTTAATTTTTTGATTTTTATAAATTCATTCAATTAAATTTTTTTAAATTTCACATAAAACATGTAATTTTAGAAGTACTATCACCTCTTCTATTACGTATGATACTACATTTTGAACCTCAAAATTGTATATTACAACTTTTGTTCCTTTTACGTAGTTAACAATAGAGTGTAATACCAAAAAGTCCAGTTTACTATAAGTATTCTCAACACTAAATTGATGTTTTTAATATGTTATCATAGATGCCTGCATTACTAGACTATGTTGATGTCGCTTTTTGTAATTATAAAAATTATGTTAGTATGTATGTCATTAAAACCATATAAGAATTTTTAGAAACTTTCATTGTTTTTTGCGTAATTTTCTCAAAAAGGCTAGTGAAGCCAGTGAAGCGGGAGTTATATGAAACATACGAACACAGTAATTGTCAGCCAAAGGTCAGCCGAACATGACAATACACGTAATTGAGATTAAGTGAAAAGAGCAATGTGTTACATTTTACAATTATGACAACTGATTTACAGTACCAGGAAACTACAAAACATACTATTTGAATAAAAAATTGCATGATGCATAAGATCATCATGCAATTTTTTTTTCAACGCTCCAAAAACCAATTTTTTCCTAACATTTATCGCTGTTTTTGCTATATTTTTATGCAGATTATATTGTTATTTCCGTTTTAAAAACCACATTTCCCAAATCTTCTAGAATAAGGACTAAAACTACAGTATTATCGTCATAAATAACTTTAAAACACTGTAATTTCGCAAAAACTCCCAATACAGTGTAATTTTCAATTCGATAACACTGTAAATCAGCCAACATACACCGCGAGTTAGTCAAAGATCAATTTTTCAACTGTCTTATTTACCAGCAATTGCAATCAACAACTTTAACGCCAATTATTTTGGCATGTTCGAATCCAACGTAACTTTAAAATCTTAAAACTTTTGTCGTAGGATCCAATGATCACCTATCATTAAATTACAACGTTTTTGGAAAACAAACTTGTGTAATAAACATTTTCACAGTACTAATTAAGCTCAACTATAATGATCATCAGTAACTTATTAATTATATCCTAGTATGATAACACTTGTAATAACAAGCTTTATAACTGTTAATTATCTTTCACCATGACGATAGTGGCAATAGGCGACAAAAGTAACAATTATTCTATGATAAAACAGCCATAGTACTATAATTTTATATCAACATTTTTCAAAAAAAAGTGTTTTAATTTTAAAATTAATTTTAAAAAAATTTCAAATTTAAAAAACTAAAAATTTCAACCTACCTTTTTTGTGAAACCGAAGGCTCGTCTATTAATGATGTATTATCCAAAGTGCGACAAATTTGTTCGACTAGCATGACGATTAAGCGTGCTCCTTCGACCGAATCCACAAAATAACGTTCACCAACGTTGGTGTTTCTGCAAAATTATCATTAAAAACTGTGGAATTTGAAAGTAAAATTCGTACTACAAAAAGGATATTGTAGTAAAAACACGTTGATACACACAAATTAACGTACTATATTCAAAACTGAACAGAAATGTCAAAAGAACAAGACACGACAAGTTTAAAATATTGAAAACGCCACATACAATTAAAGCTACAATAATACAATACGAGGCATAGCGTAAAGACAGAAACAAAAAAAGAAAGGTAAGACTAGAGTAAAAATTTTTTGCTCCTACCCACCACCCACACCAAAAAAAAACAAAATCCGAGCAGCAAAATAAGCAAAAATGTCTCAATCCAACACAAAAGTGCCATTGAACACGCTGGAATCCAATTATATTACCCAAAATTATCCCATAACTAATCAAATTACGTGTTGTACAAAAACTCCACCACCCAACAACTCGATTATGTTCACGTTTGTTTTCGAACCGTTTCAACTATATTATCTTTGGTTTTTGAAAAATTAGTTTTAAAAAAAATAATATTAAGCTTAATTTTTTAATTTGATTTTAATTGCAAAAGGTTAAACAACAAACAACTTTTTATATTGAGTGGTTTCTACCATTAACATATGGCTGATCGTTAACTTTTATTCTCCACCCCCAGACTCTACCCCGCCCTAAAAATATATTATAATTTAAAGTTCATGAAAGCATAGTTTCTGAATACTTTTTGACCAGTATACAACGAAAAATATAAACAAACAAACATATTGATCAAAATGAAGCCATTACTGCTGAAAAGACAACAATACCCATAAAGTAACACAATATATTACTATCACAAAGTCAATAACACAATATTGTTATCACAATAACAAATTATT